CACAGGATTGAGCAGTGAGGCTGCAGGGGCATGTTCTATACACCAAAACTGCTTCATTAAGCTAAAGTTGTTTAGGTGACTATAGTGTCCCTTTAAGGATGTGTTGGGGCTTATTCACTAAGGAGCAAATTTAACATTTCTTACAAAATTGCAAATCATATAGTCAAAAAGATTCTCCAACTATGCTATTTAGTGAACTTTTTGTGTAAATTTCCAAAATTATAACATAGAATCACTGTTTAGCCAGTGAACATACGACAACATTTTCCCCCCATCAGGGAAAAAAACAAACCAAAAAAAAAAAAACACTTTCTGAGTTGGAGTTTACTTTTACTAACAACCAGAAATGAAACATTTACTGTCTTTTTTCAGGTTGTGTTGCATTATGAAAACATGTAAACAGAAAATCCCTTTGTGTATCGTGTATGGCCCATCATATGTTTACTTACCATTGCTGGATTACAATTATGCAATGACTGAAGATTGTGAAAGCTGGATAGCCAATCTTGCTCATTAAATAGTTTTTCATTCCTAACCCAGAGAACATTTTTTGGATACCAAGTTAAGCAGCTGGCAACTAGTTTAATTCATGAAAATACATGAATGATGTTTCGCTTACCTTAAGAATAGCTCCAGCCATGTTTTACTTCCTCTCCAAGTTCTAGATCAGGCATAGGCAACCTTCGGCACTGCAGATGTTTTGGACTACACCTCCCATGATGCTTTGCCAGCATTATAGGTGTAAAAGCATTATGGGGGATGTAGTCCACAACATCTGGAGTGCTGAAGGTTACCTACCCCTGTTCTAGATTCTGCCCTAGCATGGACATCTTCACAGAAACCTACACAGGAGCTTGCCAAATAAGCAGGGATTTGGATGACACACTGTGGACTCTGTGCATAAAATTATTTAAAGGAACACTATAGTCACCTAAATTACTTTAGCTAAATAAAGCAGTTTTAGTGTATAGATCATTCCCCTGCAATTTCACTGTTCAATTCACTGTCATTTAGGAGTTAACCCCTTAAGGACGGAGGGCGTACTATTACGCCCTGCAGGAGCCGGCTCTAAACGCCGGCGGGCGTAATAGTACGCCCTCACTTTAATGGCCGCCCACGTGGCCGGCGCTATTCGCCCGCTGCAGATCGCGGTCGGGGGGGATGCCCGGCCCCCCAGGCAACCCCCCCTGTGGCCGGTGACCGCGATCTGCAGTCACTGATCGCAGTGACAGGCTGTCACTGCGATCAGTATTTAACGTGTGTCAGCCGATTTCAAATCGGCTGACACACGTGGCCGGCGGCTTTCTGCAATGCAGATCGCGGTCGGGGGACTTACCTGGCCCCCCAGGCAGTCCCCCTGGGGTCAGTGACCGCGATCTGCTAAGTCTGAGATCGCAGTGACAGGCTGTCACTGCGATCTCAGAGCGCTCTGATCGCAGTGACAGCCTGTCACTGCGATCAGTGTTACATGTGTCAGCCTATTGGCTGACACATGTAACTGGCACAAAGATCCCCCTGCAGATTGGAAGGGGGGAGTGCTTGTACCACCCAGGCACTCCCCCCTGTGGCCAATTACCCAATCTGCAGGAGGTGATCACAGTGACAGGCAGTCACTGTGATCACTGATCCTGTATGTCAGCCAGTGATGTAAAATCACTTGCTGACACTGTCTCTGCCCCCTGTCCTGTAATAAAAATAAAATATTAGTTAAAAAAAAAAAAATTACAGTTAAATATAAAATATACTTAGATCATATATATTATATATATATATGATCTAAGTATATATATATATATATATATATATACACACACACACACATTTACACATACACGAAGTGTATTTAAATATTAATATATATAATTATTTATATATATTACTATCAAATTACACGTAGACTAATACTGATTAAATATATATATATAATTATTGTATATATATATATATTTATATATAATATAAAAAAATGTAAATACGTAAAAAAAATAAAATTAAAAAAATAATTAAAAATAAATAATAAAAAAATATATAGATGTTTGTTATTTCGTTCTAACTGTATTGTGATATTAATATATATATATTTATATCAAAATACACGTAGAACGAAATAATATATATATCTATATACATAAATATATACATATATATCACTAAATATATACACCTATATATAAATAAAAATATTTAAAAAAAATATATATATATATGTATATATACACATATGTATATATATACATACATATATTAATTCTACACATATATTTATGTAATATTTTTACATAATTAGGTATCCTAATTAATTACAATTAGCGGGACCTGCCTGACAACCCATGCCGAAAGTATAGGGAATTTAATTTGCTAGCACTATATTTAACCCTATAACTTTCCGAGACACCATAAAACCTGTAAATTGGGGGTACTGTTTTACTCGGGAGACTTCGCTGAACACAAATATTAGTGTTTCAAAACAGTAAAATGTATTACAACAATGATATCGCCAGTAAAAGTGAAGTTTTTTGCATTTTTCACGCACAAACAGCACTTACACGGATGATATTATTGCTGCAATACTTTTTACTGTTTTCAAACACAAATATTTGTGTTCAGCAAAGTCTCCCGAGTACAACAGTACCCCTCATGTACAGGTTTTATGGTGTTTTCAAAAGTTACAGCATCAAATATAAGGTTTGTGTTTCATTTTTTTCACATTAAAATTCGCCAGATTGGTTACGTTGCCTTTGAGACCCTATGGTAGCCCAAGAATGAAAATTACCCCTATGATGGCATACCATTTGCAATAGTAGACAACCCAAGGTATTGCAAACAGGGTATGTCCAGTCTTTTTTAGTAGCCACTTAGTCACAAACACTGGCCAAAATTGGCGTTTTTTGCATTTTTCACACAAACAGATACTAACGCTAACTTTGGCCAGTGTTTGTGACCAAATGGCTACTAAAAAAGACTGGACATACCCCATTTGCAATACCTTGGGTTGTCTACTATTGCAAATGGTATGCCATTATGGGTGTAAATTTCATTCCTGGACTACTATACAGTCTCAAAGGCAACGTAACCAATCTGGCGAATTTCAATTTCAAATGTAACGTGCTATATTTGACCCTGTAACTTCCCAAAACGCCATAAAAACTGTACATAGGGGGTACTGTTTTACACGTGAGACTTTGCTGAATACAAATATGTGTATTTTATTGCAGTAAAAGCAAACAGTATTATGACACTGACCGTTAAAATGTCATGTAGAACTAAAAAAATCAAAAAAATCTTATTTTCTCCCATTTTTTTCATATTAAATTATGTTTCATAGCTAAATATTTGATATTAAATGAAAGCCCTGTTTCCCCTGAATAAAATGATATATAATAAGGGTGGGTGCATTTACTATGAAAGAGGTGTATTACGGTTGGACAGACATGTAGCGCAAATGCCAGGTTTTGTTTACATTTTGTTTTGTTCACACTGTGTACATTTGGCTCCGTCCTTAAGGGGTTAAAGCACTTTGTTTCTGTTTATGCAGCCCTAGCCACACCTCCCCTGGCTATGATTGACAGAGCCTGCATGAAAAAAACCCACTGGTTTCACTTTCAAACAGATGTAATTTACCTTAAATAATTGTATCTCAATCTCTAAATTGAACTTTAATCACATACAGGAGGCTCTTGCAGGGTCTAGCAAGCTATTAACATAGCAGGGGATAAGAAAATCTTAATTAAACAGAACTTGCAATAAGAAAGCCTAAATAGGGCTCTCTTTACAGGAAGTGTTTATGGAAGGCTGTGCAAGTCACATGCAGGGAGGTGTGACTAGGGTTCATAAACAAAGGGATTTAACTCCTAAATTGCAGAGGATTGAGCAGTGAGGCTGCATGGGCATGTTCATACACCAAAACTGCTTCATTAAGCTAAAGTTGTTCAGGTGACTATAGTGTCCCTTTAATTAGGCATAGCATCCTCCTGTGATGTAACAGTTCAGGTCAGAGGGTTTTCGCTACAGAAACTGTTAAAGAGATACTATAGGTATCAAAACGAACTTAGCGCAATGAAGTGGTTTTAGTGTGTAGATCCCAGCCATCTCATTGCTCAAGTCTTATCCATTTAGGAGTTAAATTACTTATTTCTGTTTATACAGCCATAGCCACACTTCCACTGGCTATAACGGACATAGCCTGCTTGAAAAAAAGGTTTTATTTTCAATCAGATATTAGCTGCAAGATCTAGGAGGCTATTAACAGAACAGGAGATAAAATGTAGATTAAACAGAATGTGCAATTCAAGAACCTAGAATATCTAGGTTCCTTCACAAAAAAGTGTTTAGGAAGGCTGTGCAAGTCACATGCAGGGAGGTGTGAACAGGGCTGTATAAACAGAGTGACTTAAATCCTAAAATGACAGAGAACTAACCAATGAGACTGTAGGGACATGAGGTATACTCCAGAACTGCTTCATTAAGCTAGAGTTGTTTTGGTGCCTACAGTGTCTCTTTAACAGAACGCTGTTCCAAACAACTAGTAAAGTTGCGACAATGGCCAACTTGATGCATTTTTTCAATAACAACTATTGTGGCTGAAGTTTTTCCCATTCAGATTTAATCTGATAAAATTCAGTTTAGTGAAGAAACCTAGAAGGGTGCAAGTGCATGTTTACTGCTTTGTCAATGGCACAGCAGTAAAGCCAGAAAAATAGAAAATTACATAAAATATCAAATACAAAAATAACAAATTTGCTATCATAACCCACAGCTGACATTTTGAAAATTTTAAAGTGATACCAAGTCATGTCGGGTAAAATATGCACAGTTGCCTGCACATCCTATAGATTAAACATTTGCTATAAAATCACCAACATTGCTAAGGTTTGCATCAGATCTTGTTTAAAGCATGTGCTTACAATAATTATTTTGCCGCCGCTGATTATCCTTTGCTGTTTAGTTCATGTAAGGCTTTAAAATGGTGAATGAAGCTCTGCATTATGTAACATGATGGTCCTGCAAGTATCAAGGGAGTTGTTGCTCACCAATGTGATTTTAAAAAAACATTAAATCAATTTCTATTTAAGACAGAGCTCAAAATTTTCACTCATCACTGGCAAGTAAAAAATGTATGCCTCGCAAGTAGAAATTCACTCCTGATGAATGCTGTGACTTGCAGGGGTGAGTAACTTTTAAGGCATGGCTAGCAGCATAGGACTTCAAATTTTCAAGGGACACCCCAGGCATCAAAGAATAGTCATCTAAACAAAGTTGTTATGGTGCCAGAAGGCCCCAGGGGGCACTCTTACCTCAAGGGGTTAAACCATTCCCTAATGGTGTAACCCCTAAGGTTCCTCAACTCCACTCCCCTCCCCCGCCCCCAGTGGCATCTGGCTTCTGAATTTTCAGATTCATAAAGTGTAGTGTGCCGTTGGGCAGGGGCACCGCTGATTGGCTAAGAGCATCAGCAGTCTGCTCGCAGCCTATCAGTGACTCCCCATTCACAAAACTGGCTTGGAAAAGGTAAGTTTCTTTCCAAGCCAGTTTTGTGAATGTGGAGTCACCAAATGGTTGAGAGCGTCAGCTGACCGGCAGTACTCCACGCTTCCTGAATATGAAAATTCAGAAGCAGCCTGTGGGGGAGTGGACATTGGTGTTGGAGGCAACTTTGGGGTGAAATCGTTTAAGATCCCCTTTAAAGTAAGAGTGCCTTTGAGGGCCTCCTATTAGATCACATTGTTTTAGTGCCTGGAGTGTCCCTGTTTTAGGAAATAAACAAGACCCTAATTTCTACATGGTTGTGCATATCAGCAGGACAAAATGTTATGCCCACGTCTATTAAATATATTTTTGGGGTGAGAAAAGACTTTTCAGTAAGGATTTAACCAGATTTTAATTGTGCACTTGTTACTTGTTCAGTAACATTAGGTTATGTAAATAAATCATTTATCCTAAAGAAAGATTAAGAAAATAAGAAGATACAATGCAGCGGTTAGAAAAAGGACAACAAAACAAAAGGTTTTAGATAAATTAAATGTTCTTATATCACATGTCACAAGAAAATGCAGTACTCTGGTTATTTTCTTACAGACCCAGCAGTATAATGGTACACTGGGTGCTAACTTCAAAAGGAATCAGCAGCATCCTCGGACAAGATGTCTTTTGCAAGCATTTCAATTGTTCTTCAATCTTCTTAAAATGTCAGTGCCAAATAACAAACATGTGGCCCTTACTACTATTCTAAGCATTGTCACCATAAAACGGAGTCGCATTATCATTTACTTTGTAAATGCCCATCTCACACTCCTACTGAGCAGACAGATCTGTATAGTAAATCCGTATTATGTACCCATTTCCTGCAGGACTTGTCCAACAACAGCTCCAGCAGTATTTAACAGATAATCTGAATAGCAAAGAGGAGAAAGCAGAGGGGCTTGGGGTAGAATGTTGGCAGAAAGTCTTTGTTGTTTGTTTTTTTTAAACAGACACTCATAAGCGTTCATTTTTTTTTTTTATCTCAATATTAATGACAAAAGTGGCAACCAAGTTTAAACATACTGAAAGTGAAAGAGTATGATTTTAAAGGAACTTTGTAATAAATACCTTCATCCCACATACCTATATTCAAACAAGCTGCATGGTATAATGACCTCAGAATACCATCATACACTGTAAAACAGGCATGGTTTGGAAGTGTATCTGTCTTATGGCAAGAAAACTGTGTTACTTTGTTCCTTTATACCACAGTGAACTGTCATGGTTGAATGCTCTAATGTTTAGAACGAATGTTAATAAAATCAATTAGGTTTTTTTTTTTTTGTCTGCTGTAAATCAAGCCATTTCCCCTTCCAAAAAACCCCATTTCCTTTGGTACTCACAAGGAAGTTTAGCAATGTAAAATTATATCCAAAAGGAAAAATGATACAAACCCACTTTTCCCTCCAAAGTCAGGGAAAGAAAAAAACAAACAAAAAAAAAGGTGCAACCAGCAGCCTTCTTTGAAACTACATAAAAAATAAAAAAAAATTAGGTGGAAATAGTTTCATCAAGGCTGTGATGTAATTAGCAGATGGAGGAGGCATCTTGATTTATATGAAAACGTCAGATCATTTTTCATTCATGGGAGTATGAGGCTAGGATGGTCCACAGATATGAAATGAAATCCATAATTAGAAAATATGAAGTGGCAAATTGCGCTCCAGGATAGCAGAGGCCCAAACCACAAAAAGAATGGAATACGATATGGTCTTAAGATGTTGCCAATTGTCTGTTTCAACCCTCTGGACTTGCTGTGAGGGCTTATCTTCAGTATAGTCCAGCCAGAAGAAATTGACTGTGCAATTTTCCATTGCATTAATTTGTACAGACTATGTACATTCTAGAAGGTTCCTTAGTGCTACACTGTTGTACTTTTTGTTCCTGCAATTTGAGGACGTGCAAATTCAACAAAGTCATCAATAAGAACAGGCCATGCTCCTACGAAGAAAGAAACAAAGAAAAGAAAAAAAAACACATCACAAACTTTAGTTACAAAAGGAAGGAAACATGCATATTAATCATCTATGGACTATTCACCAAATTGTTTCCCAATTGGGTGCGGAGTTCTTAAAAATTCCACCAATGGCAAGGTAAACCAGGTTTTCGATATGTATATGGCTCTGAAGCATGAATTAGGTGAGGCTCATCATACCAGTTGTAGGCAACATTCCCAAAGTGTTTAGCAAATTAAGTTAACTGGCAATCTATTGTAAACTAACATTTTCAGAATATCAAGAGCCTGTAGCTTCCATATTGAGTCCGAGAATGTTGTTTTTTTTTTTTTATATATAAAATACCCTCGATGTTTATTCTTTACTTCCCCCCAGTAAAGTATCAGATGGTAAGTCCTTTTACGAAAGCCTAATACAGTGTATAGCAAATACGTTACACTGTAGTACTTAGCAAGCAAAGCTACTAGCAAAATTGCTTACAATGTTCAAACTTCTATTCCCACACTGCTTTACCAGATATGGAAATGAGCACAAAACTCCAATATATCTTCTAAAGTAGACTTCATTACTCTTCATTTATTGCACCATTTATTGTTCAAGTTCTAATATAGGCTCCTAAAACTTGCCAGAATAACATATCTCACCCCATTGGGGTTGTTGGTTTTTCTGTTTCTTTTTCACAGAGGATGTCACTTTAGCACTTGTTATTTTAAATACAAGGAGAAAGATATACCTTCTTCATCGTAGTTTGACATATCATCAGCTATCATCGTACTGAAGTCTAAAAGGAGATTCCACGTATCCTTAGGTATTGATCGTTTATGATGCTCCTAGTGAGGAAGAGAAGTTTCATATTCTAGAGTTATCCTTCAGAACTCAATAACCCTGAATCTATAAAGTATATAAATATAGTTTCACTAGAACATGCTCATTACCATACACATGTACTGTAAGTTTCTTGATAAAGTAAAAATATTTATTTTACACAAATACACATGTTAAACTCTTAACAAATACACATTTGAACTCCTAACAGAAAACTTACCAACAAAAACTTGTTCCACAAATCTAGGAATTTAAACCGTCCATTTAGAACTAAATTCCAGTAGGCAATGGCCATTTCTAAATCTGCAAAGTGACATTTCACAAAATTATTATAAATTGATTTTCCAAACATATGTAATTGACCTGGTAATGATGATAAAAAAATAATTGATAATCATCCCAGAAACATTAAAGCAAGTATCAGATGGCAGAAAACACAAGTTCTAAGACGGACAACAATTATGGAAACCAATTTCAGTGGCTTTCATTATGTTTGCTCCAAAATCACTATGTATATGAGCTCCACTGTATGTGAATGTATACATAAACACAAACAAAAATAATTACACAAATACTAACCTACTGAACAGTCTTTACGCAAAGAAGTGCTTACTAAAATATGTCACTTTTTTCAAAAGGTCCCCCCAAGCACCACAACCACTACAGTGGTTTTGGTGCCAATGATGCCTTGGCGTCCCCAAAATATAAAGGGTTAAAATCAATTTTGAACAGTTTGGCTTCTTAACTGTGGTCCATTTGGCGCCAATCCCCACCTCAATTACTACTTCCCGAGAGCCAGATGTTCCTAAGCATTGCTGCAGGGCTCAGTACAGGAAAGTTAAAAGGATCATAACCACTATAGTCCACAGTTTCAAATAAAAACTAAAATCAACATTTGTTACATATTTTACAGTGCTGGGGAAGCACTGTTCACACTATAGATTTTATCTGTTGGTTGGAAGTGCCTGTACACTTATTATTATTGTTTTTTAATAGTTCACGGTTTGCCCTCTTACCTGGGTTAACACCAGGCACAGAGAGTCCTCCAATGGCCAGTGACAACAACCCGCTTCTGCACAACAGTCATTCCGGCGGTCATTCATTGGCTGAAATCGTCAGGGAATTGCTCTCAGGCAATGGATGTAATTGAATTGACACTAGCCAGCCTGCAAGTCTTGTTCCAGGTTGTCTAATGATGCCCCTATTATGCTTCCAGAGGTGAACTTACACATCTGGCAGCAAAGTGGTTAAACTCTGTATGTGCAAAGTTTTAAAGAGAAAAGCTGCACATTCAGAATGGAGGCACCATGAGTACTTCAAATCAACAGAAGTTCCTGTCAACGAGCTTGTAGCTCTTCTGCATTAGTAGTGGAGGCGGTGGAGTGCCACCAGGCAGACCCCAAGTAAGAAGTCAAAAATGCTTTGGCTCCTTACAATGTTGGAGGCAGCAGGGTACTCCTTGCACCATGACCACTGCAAGCAGCTGTAGTAGTTATTATGCTTGGAGGGGGGGGGTAAAACTTAAAAGTAGACTTAACATTGGTAACTTCCTGCAGTAAAAACAAGATTACCTTTATATATCAATCATGAACCAGTAACTATTTTAAAGAACACTCCAATGAACATAACCACTACAGCCCTCTGTCATTAGTGCCCTAGTGCTATCCCAGTGAAATTTGTTACGCCACTTTAGTATGGTTTGACAACTTACCTGGTTTCTGCCTGAAAGCCACTTCTACTGTCTTCAAGGGAGCCAAATGGGGCTATGCAAGACTACGATTATTGGCTGAGAGTATCAGCTGAACATTCTCAGCCAATGAGAACAGTTCTTTATTGACTGGGCTTAGCTAAAGTGAGGCATCTGGCTTCTCTTTTGGTGAAGAACAGATATAAGCGAGCACTTGGAAACCAGGTAAATGATCAAACCTTATTAAAACGGATTGACGAATTCCACCAAGATAGTTTTAGAGCACCCCCTGGCACCATAAGAAGTACAGAGGGCTGCAGTGATTGTGGTACTTAGAGTGTTCCTTTAAAAGCAAGATGAAGACATTCTTTGTAATAAATAAAATTTTATATATATATATATATATATATATATATATACACACACACACACACACACACATATATATAAAAAATAAAAGCTATTCATAGAATATTTTTTTTTTTCTTCCTATAAAAGAACAGCACCTACTTGAGTGTGCATAGTTGCTTAGTACAGGTTATGATATTCTCTAACATCTACATAACAATGATCAACCTGGATACTTGTAAGACCCAGTTGCATCACAGTTTGATGTAATAGATGAACTGAATGAGGAACTTCTATCCGGACGTATTCAATAATATATTTATTGACAACACGTAGGCAAATGAGTATTTGCAATTTCTGGTGTTAACTCCTTAATTAACCAACTAATTATAAAGGCAGATAAAAGGTTAATTATTCCCTGGAAAGTCTTCCATCTTAGGGGGTGCTTAAAGGAACACTCAACTGCCTAAATAGAAAAACAAACAAATTAAATCACTATTTAGTATATGTATCCCAATGAAAACATGCATGAATTTCATTATGCATTTTTTTTTTTTTAAAGTGGGAGGATAGCTAAAACAGTTTGCAAAAGCTGCATTTACAAGCTCTCCCCTTCTTCCCCAGCCCAGACTTTCTGTGGCTGTCCAATCAGGGACTTCCCAATACAGCGCAATCAGAAGTCTTTGTAAGACAGGTGCTCTAAGTAATTGCAACCCTTTTGAGTTTAGCTCCATTAAGCTAAACAAACCAGAAAGTAACATGAGCTGTTGTCTGATTGACCCAGGGGGTGCAACAAGGTTAATTATTAATGAAAAAAAAAAAAGTGCCAATTTCTTTTAAAACTTGCACTTTTTCTAAAAAAAAAAAAAAAAAAAAGGGAAGAGTACGCACTCCACACACAGAGCACCTCAGTAAGCTAGTGCTTTAGGGGCCCGGAGTATAAATTTAAATTATGCCTTTGGCTTTATCTGCATAACTGAAGAAAGCATAACACAAATTTTACTCACAAAAAAACAAAGAAAACACATTTAAATAATGACAAACCTTTTTTTCCCCACAAAAAGGGTTTCATAGCCACTCTATGGAAACCCACACTTTTTTATTGTTTCCAATAGGGACTGCACATAACCAATAAGGCTGTTAACACATATATATTGATGCTAAATTCCATCATACTGCAGATTTTTTAATGGAACAAGCACAACACAACGTTTCAGCGATAAAGATGGTCTTTCTCAAGTAACAAGTTGATGGAGTTGTGCTTTTTCCAATAAAAAGTCTGCAGTATGACGAAATCTGTGTGACTGTACTCTCTCTGCACATGACACTTTTTGATAGTGCCACCTACTTTGGCACAGGACCTCCTATGCTTACCAAAACAAAAAGAGGAGGGTAGGCCTATCAATAGATAAACAATAACAAACTAAACATACAATGTGAAAAACATTTCAGCACATTATTCATTGCTTGGGCTTCTTGAAAACAAATGTCTGAAGGCACTATGATATGAACGCACACTATCTGAACATTTCACAGAGAAATCTAAACATACCTAGACCTTTCTGCCCTGGGTTCTTTGCAAAGTTGAATGTAAACTGATAAAAATCCTTAAATCTCCCAGGCTCTTTTAATTCTTGCTCCATTTTTGGTAGCTGTGCTTTTAACTTCTCTATGCTGTCACATCTGCAGGAGAAAGGAAAATAATGTATCTTTACATTGCAACCTAAACGTGGCAAGCTAGCCATATTCCAAAACACAATAAGATGCCATTATTTAAAGTGGTTTCCTTGAACTAGAATCATATGAATGGATGATAAATAAAAAATAAAAAAAAATATAAATTAAAAAATAAAACACCCTTTAGTAGGTTTGTATTTGTTTTCTTTAGGGGGGGGGGAGACACACAGACAGACAGACAGACACACACACACACACACACACTCTCTCTCTCTCTCTCTCTCTCTCTCTCTCTCTCTCTCTCTCTCTCTCTCAATTTAAGACATAGGTGGTGTTTGTAAAATGAGTAATTGGTTTGTAAAGTAATGCAAATACTTATGGAAAAATTGTGTGACTGTGATAGTAAAATAATTATTTTATGTTTAACAAAAAACATCTGTGACACATGCAAATTTTAAAACCACAGCCCCAAACACGTACTCACCTGCAAATCATTTTACATTAAACTAAATTACTCTGACCTAGGTTATATTACTTAATATACAAGGCAGCCACATATTTTACAAGCCTGCGTCTCCATCTCTTGGCTTTTAACAGGGGAGCCTGTATTGTGGCCATAAAAAGTTGCACTAATGAAACATAATGAATAGCTATCAGAATTTGCACACACGTCTTCCAAATAGAAACGATATCAGCCTGGGATTTTTTTAGACCAACTGATTAAAGGTTCTACTAACCTTGCTTGGATTGAACATGATAGGGAAATATGCGGTATCTGTTAAAAGATTATTTGTAGACGTTTCAGAAATGTAAAGGGTTTCTGCAACCAAAATCAAGTGTTTTCATAAAACAATGGTTTTCGGTAGAGTAACCCTTTCTGAGGTTGTCAGTCCACCCTGAAGTGGTAATGGAGCCCTTTAAGAATGATTCAAAATAATCAATGGCTTTGTAGTACATAATTAGCATGTGTACTATGGGGGTCACTGCAGGCACCTATTGCAGTCTACAAAGTTCCTGCAGTTTATGCAATATATTCAGAGCTCCTCCCAACTTGGCTGGTAGAATGCAGCCATGGTGTTTGACCTACAAAGTTTGTTGCATAATTCAGGAGGGACACCATTCAAAGGCTGTTTATCACATCAAGACACCTGTATAAGAAAAAAAAAAAAAAGACCATAGAGTAGAACAGTATATAACCACTTAGAATATTTATCTCTATATGGTCCCACTCACATGGTGCTGAGCCACTTGAATAGCTGGCTCAGACGTAAAAGCGTAAAAGTTTACAACGCTTTTAAGTCCGAGCCAGCTATTCAAGTGGCTCAGCACCATGTGAGTGGGACCATATAGAGATAAATATTCTAAGTGGTTATATACTGTACTACTCTATGGTCTTTTGTCTTATATTTTTTACAGGTGTCCTGATGTGATAACCTGTGGTAATTTTATATATTGAGTGCTCTCACTGTTTTTATATTATCAATTTATCATGTTTCTGTGTGTATTTGGAGTGAACACATCAGGTGATAGTAGCACCAACTTGTTTTATCCTGCACCAATCCCTGTATTTATTGTATATATACACACACATTCAAATGCTGTTTAATGAGAGACAGACATAATGGAGTCTTGGCAGCTGAAGAGGGTGTATGGACAAGATTTTGTTTTGCATTGCTTTTCAATGCATCAGATGAAACTAAGAACATGCATACATGCTGCTGGAAGACAAAATGTAAAACAGACACGTAAAAAACTGATTTTGATAGTTATACATAGAAAGCAAAAATCAAAACAGAACCTGCATGTTACAGCAAAATAATACAATTACATGTTTACACCATTTCAAATATAACTGGAAATTACAGTAATCAGCAGAGGCAGACCTAGAAAGACAAAAAGTATAAAAGTCAAGTTTAAATGCCCAATTCACCCACCTACCCTAATTCGGTCATTCCGTCTAAGAATTCTTGCTTTGAGAATTCACACTGTGTGGCTGCTCTGAATTTCCATGCAATTATTAGCACACTGACACTGGCAGGATCGAGAGCCAAATCATCACAAAACTGCTGAATTCCATCTATTCCAATTTTATTTTCATCTTGAGGGTCTGCAGAGTGCAAAAGAATTTAGACCAATATTAAATTAAGAAAAAAGTATGATATTACAACTTTCAACAAAGGATGACCGTGTGTGTATGAAGAGACACAAAAACAAAAAACAAAAAAAAAAACACACACTTATTTAACCTAACATGCTGCTTGTGGCTGTCAATCTGTCCCAGCACTAGACTTAAGGTAGCCTTAATAGCATTTTTCTTATTTAAAAATTGGAGCACCATAATTCACAGCATAGGAGCACACGAAGTGTGAATAATGCAAAGTAAAAAAAAAAAAAAAAAGTTCTGGACAAGAAGAAGAATGTGCTAATTATCCTAACACCAAGTAAAATAAAGTTGGTTTTTTGCTTAATACATCTAGCATACCCAATTCACACAGGACAACTCAGCACTTTTTTTAAAGTTAGTTGAGTGATGATAACATCTAAAATGGTTACTAAAGTGGTAATTCAAATATATTTCACATTTAAAGAAACCAAAAAAACACAAACATATTTTCGAGTACTCCTTTAAAGTGACACTCCATACCTCTAGAGCACTTTAGTTTGCTTTATGTTTAAAGAGTGTGTCCCTCTTATATTAATTTGACAAAAGTGCAGATTTCAATAGAAATTGACATTTTGATAAATTAACTTTGTTACAACCCTGGCTGTCAGACAGCTGATCCTATAACGTCCTAGTTATTTAGCTCAGTGGAGCTAAACTCAAGACGTGGATTATTGCTTAGAGCACCTGCTGTGCAAATACTTCTCAACAAGCTGCATTTTAGCATATGGGCTAACTTTAACATGGTGGTATTGGAACTTAAAGTGATACTATAGTGCCAGGAATACAAAGCTATATTCCTGGCACTATAGCTCCCCTCTAAAAATCTGATGCTGGATGTCCTCATGCAGAGCGTGAGGACATCCAGTGTCAGATACCGGACCAAAGGTCAGTTACGATCAAGGAAGTGCCTCCACTGGCTGCCTGGTAGACAGCCACAGTGTTGAGATGTAAACAGTGTTGTTTTTACATTGCAGCACTAAGTGCAAGTGCAAAAGGGACACTGCACCCAGACCACTTTAATACGCTGAAGTGGTCTACCTATAGTGTCCCTTTAAAAGCAGTTTAAAATTTACAATATTAAATAAAAGGTATCTTCAATCTCTCTAATCCCTAGAAACATCAAACATTAACCCATATGTGTATATATGTATTATACTTCATACATCTGAATGATACAAGTTAAAAAACACTAAATGTTCACTCAATTGTTTGTATTTCTTTACATAAAAGGTTCTAATACATTTGAGAAAAAAATTATTGACTGCTAAGAATACAGATTTGTTTACCTATGGGTAAAAATCTGATGCTGGATGTCCTCATGCAGATCGCGAGGACGTATGAGAGATTATATATATACACACACACACACAAAATATAAAAATTCTGCAAAGTGACAGATCCCCATCAATTGACAAACTGACCTTAAAAGACACCAAGCTTTGTATTGTACTCACCCTTATATCGGTTATAAAGTTGCTCTAATTTCTTTCTGTCCAATGCTCCTTTTACACATTCTCGTATATAAAGTTCCGGGTTCTGAAAAAAGTTGTCTGTAGCAACATCTAGCTTCCACTCATTCTGTGACAGGCAACTTACAGCAGTCTTTTCACTGGATTGGGTGAAGATCATAAACTGACGAACTTTATCTTTCTGGGAGGATTTCAACTTGTTCTGTGGAATTATGAATGAAACCATACATATGGTCAGATACAAGAAACACAGTTTCTACACTAAGGACTGGAAATAAATGTGTACATGTATACATCCATCTTAGCAACATACCGATCTCCCATGTATTTGCATGGAACAATCACTTACAGTGTTACTCACTGAAGTGAAAATTCAAAGTGAATTTCAAGTTTAAGGCCAGAGTACACAAATTGAAAGCATAGCATTAGAGATTTTTTTTTTCCAAATTTGGCTATTGAGACCTTACATTTAAAATTCACCTTTATTCTCACTTTAGGGAATAACCCTGTAAAACAGTTGTACACATTAATATAAAAATGAGTAAGAACCAAGCACCGACACAATAAAAAAATTGCAAATCGAGTAATTTTAGCAAGATTTGCAACAAAATAGACATGGAGTGTGCATTTATGTAGATTGCATGAGAATTTAGAAAAATAACCATTCTTAGGCTGCCAGGACTTCCAAAGATATATAATACATCTATAATAATTTTGTATTTCCACAATAACCTAAAATGTACTTGCTAATTTTTATGCAACCTTATTGTAGTTTGTATAGTGATTTTATTGTAAAGCGTTGCGGAATAAGCTGGCACTACATAAATACTACTACTACTACTACTACTAATAATAATAATAACAATAATAACAACAACTTTAAAAAGTTCTTAAAATCAGGCTTTACCTCTATTCAAGTGTGAAATACAAAACCATTCATCACAAAATATCCAAATATTTGTGACTTACCAGAGTCAAGGCACACACACACAAAATAAAGTACCGGTATATTAAAAGTATCAATTTATATTAAAATTCATTTGCAGGGTTATTCACTAAACTGTGAATTGTCAGGAATTCTAAAAGTAGGCTTCATAATTTAAGGCCAAAATAGCAAAATTCTGCTATGTTTTCAGTTCAGTTATTTTGGCATAAAATTTACTTTTACTTCATTGTTTACAGAATAATCGAACTAATAATTTAGTCACCATAGTCAAAGTAACAAATTAAAAGTATATTTCACGTTTATACGGAATTACAACAAAACATAATTTACCAGAGTCAATGTAACTGCATTCATAGCATGTATCTAAAATGATCAATTATTGTGAAAACCACCAAATATTCCTTACTACCCAGGACCAATGAAATACTTCATATTATGTATAGAGTACTAACAGTTTATGTGGGATTCCACTCTCAGAATCTGACCATCTGCATCTCTCTCACGGTGTTTATATCACAGTATGAGATGCCAGGCAATGCTTGGTGTGAATAGTGAGTTTAGCTGTCACTGTGCACACCTTGAAATACATGAATAGCCACAATAAATCACAGTGTAATGATATATACACACACACATAGCCTCTTCTATCATTAGCCTGGCTCTCACAGCTTTGCTCTTTCATTGTATTTATTCAGATGTCTCCCAGGGCTCATTATACATGTTCTACAGACACAGGCGAATACACCCACTAACTAGGCCTTAAGACCCCGAGCTGGAGTAGAACGACTACCCGGCTTGGAGCAGTGGCGCCCGGCGTCCTGTTTCCTGACAGCCCCGGCTGCCTGGAGAGTCGGTGCCCGGCTGGCCCTGTACCCAGACAGCAGGTGTGAGGCCCCGGGCTGCTCTCACTCACTCACTCACCATGTTGGTGCTCGGCCTCCCGGTGAGTGTGAGTGGCGCTCTCCGCTCTCACGGGCTCTCCACGATCTCGCTCATGCGCAATGGGGCCGCGGCCTGCGGGGCCCGGGGAGAGGGCTGACTGGCGGGCTGGCTGGCTGGGCTGGCCGGGCGGGCAGTGAGGGCACCGGGTTACTGTGAGAGGGAGCGGGAGGGAGATCCAGGGACAGAGCGTGAGAGAGGGGGCATGGTGACCCCGGAGAGAGACAGCCAACTATGGAGAAACTAACTGCTCACTGAGTCACACTGGGCGAGTTATTAGTCACAACAACTGGCTTCTTATTGAGTCAGATTATCTGTAATTACATCCCTTATTCACACACTTTAATTCTATATAGATAGATATAAACCTAAAGTGTGTGAATAAGGGATGTAATTACAGATAATCTGACTCAATAAGATGCCCGTTGCAGTATGTGTATATATATATATATATATATCTGACTTTGTAACTTTTGAAAACACCATAAAACCTGTACATGAAGGGGTACTCGGGAGACTTCGCTGAACACAAATATTTGTGTTTCAAAACAGTAAAACTAAAAAAATGTGTGGAAAAATTAAAAAAATGTCACATTCACTGACAATATCGTCGTTGTAATACATTTTACTGTTTTGAAACTCTTATATTTGTGTTCAGTGAAGTCTTCCGAGTAAAACAGTACCCCCCATGTACAGGTTTTATGGTGTCTTGGAAAGTTACAGGGTTAAATATAGTGCTAGCAAATTAAATTCCCTGGACTTTTGGCCTGGGTTGTCAGGTAGGTCCCGCAAATTGTAATTAATAAAATGACCTAATTATGTAAAATTATTACATAAATATATACGTAGAATTAGTATGTGTGTATATATATATACGTGTGTGTATATATATATATATATATATAATTTTTTTTAAATTATTTTTATTTATATATAGGTATATATATATAGTGATATATACGTATATACTTATGTATATAGATATATATTATTTCGTTCTGCATGTATTTTGATATCAATATATATATTAATTTTAAAATACAGTTAGAACAAATTTACACATATATATATAATTTTTTTTAACATATTTATTTTATATTTATATATATATATATATATAATGAAAATTATATATATATATTTAATCAATATCATTGTACATGTATTTTGATAATATATATTTAAAATTATATATATATTAATATTAAAATACACTTAGTTTATGTGTATGTATATGTGTATGTATATGTGTATATTATTATGATATTTATAGAGCGCCGTCAAATTCCGCAGCGCTTTACAATGGGTGGACGAACATACATGTAGTTGGAACCAGACAAGTTGGACACACAGGAACAGAGGGGTTGAGGGTCCTGCTCAATGAGCTTACATGCTAGAGGGAATGGGGTAAAATGACATAAAAAGGTAAGGATAGTATTAGACTAGTGACAGTTGCAGAAGAGGAATCAGTCAGGAGCTATTAACAGTTTAATTCATACGCTTTTATCAAGAAGTGGGTTTTTAATGATTTTTTGAAGGAGTGGAGACTGGGTGAGCATCTAACGGAGGAGGGAAGCGAGTTCCACAGGAATGGTGCAGCCCTTGAGAAATCTTGAAGGCGAGCATCAGAGGTGTGAGTACGGACTGAAGATAGGCGTAAGTCTTCAGAAGATCGTAAGGGCCTAGATGGGACATACTTGTGTATAAGGGAGGATAGATAGGTGGGAGCAGCAATATGTAGAGATTTGAAAGCAAGAACCAGAATTTTAAATTGAGCTCTATAATTTATAGGAAGCCAATGTAGGGACTCTAAGTATATATTTTATTTTAAACTGTAACTTTAACTTTCTTTTTACAGGCAGCAGGGGGAGTACCAGTAATTACAGGCACTCCCCCAGCTGGCATTGACATGGACGGCTATGCCGTCCCTGTGATCGTGAGGTCCTCGCAAGGACCTCGCGAATACATGGCCCGGGGGGGCCGGAGAGGAAGGAGGGGGACTCCCTGGGCTGCCAGGTTAGTCCCCACACCACGATCGCCGGCGACCGGGTACTTACATAGGACCTTTAGAGCTGGGTCTCCAAGGACGGCATAGAATGCCCGCCGTCCTTAAGGGGTTAAACAATTATTCAAACGAAAAGAAGCAAGAAAAACTTTAAAAAGTATATATTACAAGTTTATAAAGTTGTACAGATTGCATTGTTGGACATGCGTCTTAGCTAGGGGAGTTTCTTCAGCCTCCCCTCCCCCTCTTACCTAACCAGCTTAGTGGGTATGACAAGTACACTAATGGCTGAAACAGGGCATCATTGTGCAGCAGCAGGTGAGAGGGACTCCACACTGGAGCCTACTCTGCATGATGACACTGATCAGACTCCCTCTCTTCTCCCCCTGTCAGGATGTTGCAAGAAAAATGGACCTTCCAACTGCACTTGTGTAAATCTGCCAAGCATGCCCAATGCACTTTTCCAGCATTCCTAGGGATAGGACACTGATTGGTTAAATCAATGTTTCCCTGGAGTGGAAACAGGTAAAGAAGAAGCAGGTAAATATGAAAAATTAAGTAATAACAAGTACATGATTCCACATTCACACACTCTTCCATACTACACTTTCGCTTTGCGTTCAGGTTCTTAAAGTGGGCTGCTGTGTAGTTTAAATGTCCATACCTATTTCTAGCCAGTCTGGCCCTTGTGTGGGGGACAACTTTGCCTATACACAGCCTATTCAATGAGCTTAAGTAGTTACAGTATTTTGAGAATGCCTTTAAAATGAATCTTTCTAGAAGCATCTAGATTTTTATTTTCATTTATTACACACAACGTATCTATCCATGCCAACAGTCATTGTAAGAGAATTTATTGGAAATCACATTTGTTTGGTAAATACAGGAATAGAGAGATAACATGCAGGCACAACATGCAAGACTGATTATTATACAGCCACGGTCTATGTGTCACCTTAATAGCAATACAAAACCAATTCACTACTCAAGTATATACATTGATAGTTAAAATAAAGACAGGAACACATGTAAACACAATTTCAATTATTAGAAAGCAAACTCTTCTGCTCCTAATGCAATGTTTTGAATCATGAACACTCTCACTTTTCTCTGGCAATGTAAAACATTGCCATTTGTGAGAATACTTTAATCTGCCAAGCTGCCCAGGATAGAGAGGTATGTCGCCATCTTGGGCATACGTTTCTATTATTATTATTTTATTATTTATAAAGTGCCAGCAAATTCCGTAGCACTGTGCTATGGGTGGACTAACAAACACATAATTGTAATCAGACAAGATGGAAGCACAGGAACAGAGGGGTTGAGGGCCCCGCTCAGTTTACTAGGTTATTTTTGACAGTTGCAGGAGAGGAGTCAGGGTGTGGGAATGAAAAACTGTTAACAGTTTAATTGATATGCTTCCTAGATTACTGTTGGCCATGGCCATGGTCAGGCTGTGGTTGAGGAGGCTTGTCAGCCAAATACAATGGAATGGCTCACCCGTATGCATCTATCTCCCTGTTCCTCATTTCCTTGAGCTTAAAAGATGGCAAATGTGGTGACTGGAGCAAAGGAGGTACTGAGAGTGAAAAAAAAATGGTCATAGTGTCACACCCAACAGTTTATTCTGTTACAAGAGGAAGAAAAATGAACAGGTTCATAGAAAACATTTCCGAACCCTGAATGACCCTCAGGCAAAGCCCACAAGGGGATAGCCCTGGAAACAATAGAGCTAAATAAATACCAAAAAGTGTACCCCTAAATAGCTGGGGAACAACACAAAGGGCCAAGCCAATTAAAAAATAGCTACTAAGTTAACATAACAGTCTAATAAACGTTATTGACATTAAAGGGAAAATAACCCCATAAATGATAAAGTGAATAAAACACACTTTTAACAAATTGCGGATAGTGATGCTGAGAGTAGCTGTATTTGTTGGTCAGAATATATCAAAAGATAAGCTCAATTGAGATAACGAAGAAGAGGCTAAACTTGGAGTAAAAAATACCAAAATGTATGTGTAATTCACACCATGTAGCACTATCGACATCTGTAACAAGGAAGTCACATAGAAACAAGAAAGTTATATCAAGAACAAAGTTAGTAATAACAGTGATACTGTAAAGGGACACTACAGTTACCAAAACAAGTTTTGCTTAATGAAGAAGTTTTGGTGTATAGATCATGCCCATGCAGTCTCACTGCTCAATTATCTGCCATTAGGAGTTAAATCCCTTTAGTGTATGTCCATGCAGCCCGAGCCACATCTCCCATGGCTATGACTTACACAGCCTTCCTAAACACTTCCTCTAAAGCAAGCATGTCAAACTCGCGGCCCGCATTTGGCCCACAATGGACATCTTTGCGGCCCGGCGAGCCGAGAGTGCATGCTTACTGTTAAAGCAGAGTAGGCACCTGCTTTTTCCACATTGCAGGTGCCTACTCTGCTACTCTGTTAAAAGTTACCCGGCCGGGGAGGAGAGGAAGGTGGATGCAGCGAGGGAGCTCAGCCTTCCTGCTCCTCACTTCTCCCTCATGTGCGCCGTCTTAGTGATGCCCGGCACAAGAATATGACGTCATATTACGGCACCCGGCATCACTAAACTGCGTGGGGGAGCAGTGAACACCAGCTTCCAAAGTTAGGGAGCAATAAATAAAATGATGTGAGTGCAAGAATGTGTAAATGTGTGTGTGTCTGTCAGTGAGTGTGTGTCTGTCTGTGTGTGTGTCTGTGAGTGTGTATGTGTGTGTGTGTTGGTCAGTGTTGCATTGGCTGCGACAAGACATTGGAGTACCTGGAGGTGCATGGAGGCACGCAACGCCACATCACATTCCAACATGACATTGATGTGCTCCACCTTCCCAGGGTTTCAAGACATAGCGGGAGGATCATATTTGGCACAGGGTGCAGACGGTGCCATTTGGGGTATACTCCGGAGTCGAATACTGGCAGGGGCAATGTGAGTGAAATCTGCTTGTTGGCTAGAGGGGGTACTGGGATTTAGTATCTGAGGGGGCTGTGGTTTAGTAGAGGGGGATGCTGTTTTTTTTTTTATATATACTGTACTTTTCAAAATAAACCTAAGTTTCTATGAAAATTTAAGGTTTTTTTTTGTGGGCCACTTAAACTTGAACCTTGTTTTTGTGACCCAATCTAGACTTTGAGTTTGACATGCTTTCTGTAAAGAGTCATCATGTTTAGACTTACTTTATTGCAAATTCTGTTTAATTTTTTTTTTAACCCCTTAAGGACACATGACGTGTGCAGGGGCGTACCTAGAGCATTTGGCACCCGGGGCGGGTCCTAGTTTTTGGCACCCCACCTTTCCCCCCTTAACTTTAAATATAAAAACAACCCAATTTTTTTTTTAAATGTATTTAGCACTAAGCAGTGTTTGTGTGTTTGAATGTATGCATGTTTTTGTATGGAGTGTATGTGAGTGAATGTAGCGGTGTGTTTGTATGGAGTGTTGGCGTTTGAATGCAAGCATGCATTTGTGTATTGTGTGGTATTTGAATGCAGTGGTATGGTTATATATAATGGTGGGGTTTGTATGTAGTGTTGACGTTGAAATGCATGAGTGTATTTGTGTTTAGTGTTGGCGAAATTTTTAGATGTCTGCACATATACACATACACGGACATACACATATGCAGATACATATACACACAAACACAGTCACACACAGATGCACATTGACACACATGCAGACATTGTGGCGACTCTAGGAACAATATATATTGGGGGGGGGGGCACATAAGATACCACAGTCAAAACAGGAGGGGAAGGGGGAGCAGTAAAACTTCTCACTAGGGGATGGGGTAATATGCTGCCATTGGCTGTCTGATGCCAGCATGCTGTGTTCTGCATGCTGGTATCTGACTACACATTTGCATATAATTCACATTAGCCACCCATATTTCTTGTTGTGGGCTGGCTGTCACCTCTTAATTTCAATCTTTGTTTAGTAGATAACTCCTGTATTTGCTATCCTTTGTGGGATTGCCATATTTAAGGACACCAAATAAGGTGCTATCTGCTAAACAGAACCCTCATTTGGTATCTTTAAATATGGAAATCTCACATACGGGCACCAAATCAGGGAATGATCTACTAAACAGCTAAAGGATTAAAAAAACGCCCTTTTCTTATTTTCAGTTGTTTAGTAGATAAATCCCTTATTTGTTATCCTTATGTGGGATTGCAATATTTAAGGACAGGAAATAAGGGAGCTATCTACTAAACACATATGCAGAGATACACACAATCACACACATAATCACAGATATACACAAACACAATCACTGACCCACACACATACAATCACAGACACACAATCACATACACACACAAACATTACATACATACACACATTTAATAATTAACAGGTCCACCCAGCCTCCCTACCTTGCTCTAAAAGGGCTGGAGTGGATCCTCAGTCCCTGGTGGTCAGTGGTTGCTGCTGGGATCTCTGTGCTCTTTCTGCACAGGTCCATCGCACGCCCTGTAATGACGCAGAGGCCGCGATGATATCATATTCTGGCTGCCGGCTCACTGCAGGGCGAAGACCGTCAGACACAGTCAGATGCACACAGACCCACCTACAGTAACTCACACACAGTTACAGCCAGACAGTCACACATGCAGGCTATCACACAGGCAGACAGTCACACATACACACACAGATTCACAGACAGTCAAACACACAATCACAGGCAGACAGTCACACACACACACAGTCACAGACAGTCACTCACACACACACCCACAATCACAGGCAGACAGTGACACACACACACACACACAGAGTCACACAGACAATCACAGGCAGACAGTCACATACACACAGTGACACACACACACACACACAGTCACAGACAGTCACACACACAATCACTGGCAGACAGTCACACAGGCAGGCAGTCACACATACACACAACACAATCACAGACAGTCACACATACACACAACACAATCACAGACAGTCACACACACACACACAGAGTCAGAGACAGTCACTCACACACACACCCACAATCACAGGCAGACAGTCACACACACACACAGACACACACACACAGGCAGACAGTCACACACACACACACACACACACACACAGACAATCACACACACATAGTCACACAGACAATCACAGGCAGTCACACACACAGTCAAAGACAGTCACAGTTACAGTTACACACTCACAATCACAGTTAGACACAGCACACACTCTCTCACTTACAGTAAGCTTGGGCTGGAGGAGGAATGGATTCAGTCCCTGCTGTGTTGGAATTGGGGAAGCAGGGACTTCTGCTCTGCCCCCACATCTGGCTTGGCTCCGCCCCCACAGCGATCTGGCTCCGCCCCCAAATCTCCATGCAGGTCTCCTGCTCCCAGCCCCTGCGTGTGAGCTGTGTCGGCTGCCCGGCACCCCTGCTGCTATTGCACCCGGTGCAGCCACACAGCTCACTGAACTCCAAGCCTGGCCAGCCCTGGTGGCACCCCCCTACCTGATGGCACCCGGGGCGGACCGTCCCCCCCGCCCCCCTTAGTACGCCACTGCATATGTGACATGTCATGATTCCCTTTTATTCCAGAAGTTTGGTCCTTAAGGGGTTAAAGGAGCACTATAGTGTCAGGAACACAAATATGTATTCCTGGCCCTATAGTGTTAAAACCACCATCTAGCCCCCCTGTCACCCTTATGCCTCCCTAAAAATAGTAAAACTTACTTGTATACAAGTCTGCAGCCGCATATTTTGTCCCTGTTTCCTTTAGACCTGCCCACTGCCTGCTGACATCATCAGAAGTGGTAGCCTGATCCAATCACAATGCTTCCCCATAGGATTGGCTGAGACTGACAAAGAGGCAGATCAGGGGCAGAGCCAGCACAATTCAAACACATCCCTGGCCAATCAGCATCTCCTCATAGAGATGAATTGAATCAATGAATCTCTATAAGGAAAGTTCAGTGTCTGCATGCAGAGGGAGGAGACACTGAATGTTTGGATGCATTTTAGGCAGCCATGACCCAGAAACGATCTCTAACAGCCATCTGAGGAGTGGCCAGTGAAGTTATCACTAGGCTGTAATGTAAACAATGCATTTTCTCTGAAAAGACAGTGTTTACAGCAAAAAGCCCGAAGGTAATGATTCTACTCACCAGAACAAATTCAATAAGCTGTAGTTGTTCTGGTGACTATAGTATCCCTTTAACCCCTTAAGGACCAAACTTCTGGAATAAAAGGGAATCATAACATGTCACACATATTATGTGTCCTTAAGGGGTTAATCTCCTGATCTTTTAATAGCTTTCTAGAACCTGCAGGAGCCCACTTGTATGTAATAAAAGTTTATTTTACAGAGCAGGAGATAAAGTTTAAAGTAAGTTACATCTGATTGAAAATGAACCCATAACTGTTTTCATGCAGGCTGAGACAGTCACAACCATGGGAGATGTGGCTAGGGTTGCGTGGACAGAAACTACATGGCAGAGAATTTAGCAGTGAACCTGCATAGGCATGATTTATACACTAAAACTGATTCATTAAGCTAATGTTGTTTTGGTGACAATAGTGTTCCTGTAAATACTGAATATCTGGGAAGGTATGTATCATAAATAAGAGTTAAGATAAGCCTTTGGTAAATGTCCAGAATACATAAGTAATACTGAACTGAAGAGACACTAGAGAACCACCCAAAAGAATATGAAAAGGTAGAATTAAATGTAATGTCACTTTAAATCCTATCTTAGGATGGCAACATAAAACCCATAGACATGAGAATGCTGACCTATCACTTCTGACTGAAGCCTATCAGCTAAAATCAGCTAGTTCTGCATAAAGTTACCTAGTATATGCTTGGATGGGATACATTGCCTACATCCTTGCATGGCTATAAATTCCCTTGACCTTAAACTGGCAAATCTAGCTGGAACTTGTCCTAAGAAGCTTGTAAAAGAACACTAAACTATGAGTAGAATTAAGCAGTCATTCCCATCGGCTCACTAAATCACCCCCAGTGTGACATGGTGCATATTAAATCCCTCATACCATGTTAAATAATTAAAATAAAAAAAGACCAGACATATTTCCGTGCCTCGCAGCACATTCGTCAATGACTGAATGTGTAAATCTGAGCCAATGGGAATGACTGCCTAGTGTTACTCATAGTTTAGCACACATTTACAAGCTTCTTAGGACAAGTTCCTGCCAGATTATCAGACTGTCATGCTAACTTAATAGTTAATTTTTAGTTGGCTTACCATTGTGGTGTTCCCCAGCTATATAGGGTTACACGTTTTGGTATGTATTTTGTTAAGGAAGGATACCTGCCAGGCTAGATACCTGGGGGCATAAGGATACACTGGGATGTGAGAGATACCTGGGGAATGGAGATACCTGTATGTGTAAAGGATTGTGTAGCTGTGTGTGGTTGTGTCTGCATGTGCGTTGGATAGTGTGTATGGATATAATATTATTATTGTCATTTATATAGCGCCAACAGATTCAGTAGCGCTTCACAATATTATAAGAGGGGAGATTTGACTATAAATAGGACCTGTGACGCTGTTTGCTATACAGGTGATACTCGAAAAATTAGAATATTGTGAATAAGGTTCATTTGTTTCAGTAATGCAACGTAAAAGGGGAAACTAATACATGAGATTGACGCATTACATGCAAATCAAGATAGTTCAAGCCGTGATTAAGTGCGATGATTATGGATTACAGCTCATGAAAACCCCAAATCCACAATCTCAGTAAATTAGAATATTACATGCAATCAATAAAACAAGGAGTGTACATAGAACAATATCGGACCTCTGAAAGTATAAGCATGCATATGGACTCAGTACTTGGTTTGGGCCCCTTTTGCAGCAATTACTGCCTCAATGTGGCGTGGCATGGAAACTATCAGCCTGTGGCACTGCTGAGGTGTTATGGAAAACCAGGATGCTTCAATAGTGGCCTTCAGCTCTTCTGCATTGTTTGGTGTCATGTCTCTCATCTTTCTCTTGGTAATGCCCTATATATTCTCTATGGCAGGGTTTCCCAACCCAGTCCTCATGGAACCCCTACCAGTCCAGGATTCAGGGATTACCCAGTTGTATCTAAGGTGTTTTTAGAAAAAAAGAAAAACACCTTGGACACAACAGAGTTATCCCTAAATCCTGAACTGGTAGGGGTTCCACAAGGACTTGTTTGGGAACCACTGCTCTATGGGGTTCAGGTCAGGCGAGTTTGCTGGCCAATCAAGAATAATAATCCCACGGTCATTGAACCAGGCTTTGGTGCTTTTGGCAGTGTGGGCAGATGCCAAGTCCTGCTGGAAAATGAAGTCAGCATCCCCATAAAGCTCGTCTGCGGAAGGAAGCATGAAGTGCTCCAAAATCTCCTGGTAGACGGCTGTGTTGACCCTGGACTTAATGAAGCACAGTGGACCAACACCAGCAGATGACATGGCTCCCCAAATCAACACACACTGTGGAAACTTCACACTGGACTTCAAGCATCTTGCAGTGTGTGCCTCTCCATTCTTCCTCCAGACTCTGGGTTCTTGGTTTCCAAATGAGATGCAAAAGTTGCTCTCATCAGAAAAGAGGACTTTGGACCAGGTCTGTTTTTCTTTAGCCCAGGTAAGACGCTTCTGACGTTGTTTGTTGTTCAGGAGCGGCTTGACAAGAGGAATACGACATCTGAAGCCCATGTCCAGGATCCATCTGTGTGTGGTGGCTCTTGATGCACTGACTCCAGCCTCAGTCCACTCCTTGTGTAAGTCCCCAACACATTTGAATTGCCTTTTCCTGACAATCCTCTCCAGGCTGCGCTCATCCCCGTTGCTTGTGCACCTTTTTATTCCACACAATTTTCTATTAATGTGCTTTGACACAGCACTTTGGGAATATGCAACTTCCTTCGCAATTACCTTTTGAGGCTTTCCCTCCTTATGGAGGGTGTCAATTATGGTTTTCTGCACAACTGTCAGGTCAGCAGTCTTCCCCATGATTGTGATTCCTACTGAACCAGACTGAGAGACCATTTAAAGGCTCAGAAACCCTTTGCAGGTGTTATGGCTTACTTAGCTGATTAGAGTGGGACACTGTGAGCCTAGAATATTGCACCTTTTCACAATATTCTAATTTACTGAGATTGTGTATTTGGGGTTTTCATGAGCTGTAAACTATAATCATCGCACTTATGACAAATCACGGCTTGAACTATCTTGCTTTGCATGTAATGCGTCTATCTCATATATTAGTTTCCCCTTTTACGTTGCATTACTGAAATAAATTAACTTTTGCACAATATTCAAATTTTTCAAGTATCACCTGTATGCATTTCATTGCTTTATATCTGTATTATACTGACTGGGTTAAAGTTATTTTTTTCATAGAGAATCAATGTGTCACTCACATTGACTACAAAATGGAAACTGGTTGAGATCCGAAGAGGAAGTGACAGAATGGCTGTCTAGTAGCTTCTATTCCACAGAAACACAGAGAACATGGTATTTCAGAATTTCACAAAACTTTATGCAAGTACAAAGTAATGTTGAACAAGTAACAAATGCATGTAAAATACATCTGGTTTTGCACATAGAGCCCACTAGAGGGACACTATAAACCCCAATACTACTTCATATCAATAAAGTGGTCTAGGTGCAATGACCCTGCCTTTTCTCTCCTGCAGTGTAAAATATTGGCGTTTTGGAGATAGGCAATGTTTACATTAAGGGGCTAAGTACCAGGACAGCCACTAAATGGTTCTTATGCTTCCAGAACGGAGTCAAACTTGGTTCTTGATATTCAACATCTTCACGCATTGCATAAGGACTTCAAATGCTTAAGGCTTCTCAATGAGCTCTGGATTCAATTGTTCTCTATGAGAAGCATTTGATTGCTGCATCATGGCGATAGCTGCTCGTGCGCATTACACCCCCAATGCTTCTCTATGAGAAGCATTTGTTTTGACCGAAATGTCATCAAGCCTGATCACATCAGCGGAGGCAGATCAGGCTGCAGACAAGAGCATGTGTCAGCACTGGATTGCAGGTATTTTTTTATTGTTGTTGGGGGGTGCGTGGGGTAGGGCAGAAACTAAAACACCCCGCTGAAACACTGTGGTATAAAACAATATATTTCCAACAGTAGTGTTCCTTTAATGACTTAAGAGTTACTATCAATCATGTTATTATTCAAATAATTAGCAAATGTGAGTTGCAATAGAAAATGCATAACAAAACAATGATGTAGATTTTTCATACCTCAAAACGAAGATGCTCTGTACTACAAAGTGTTTTGTGAAACTAAAGCATGTAGTGGCCCCCCATTAAAAGCAGCAATATAACTTTGGTTTCAATACGTTTTCTTCCTTTATATAAAGCCATGTGAATGATGCTCTTTGTCTGGATTAATTATTGCACGTAAGCCATATTTAAATCGACCATTGTTTTCAAAAATTACATAAAAAATGAAATAAACCAAAGTGTGTAAAATATTTATTATAAACAAATGAAAACACATTTATAGGTTCTTAATCTTGTAATAAACAAGATTATTTTTTTTATTATTTAATTTCCTGGAAATTATTCTGATTCGGCTTCTTCTTCCTCCAGTTCAACCAGCGGAGCATGTCTATTGGCTTGGGTGCCTTCTAGAAAGTAAATTTTTTTTATGGTGCCACTTTTTGGAGCACGTATTGTGTGCTGTAAAGAAACAGATCTTTAGTTAAAAACCTCGTATAAAAAGATCTATGAAAAAGCATAAACAAAAAATCTTAATGGTCAATGTATATATAGTGAGAGGAAACCGATCAGAGAGGCGCTCAAACATTTGAATGCTTTTCATGTGTCAGCCCTGGGTGTACTAGTTAAAGGGCAACTGCCAGTAAACTTTCACTTTTTATTTTGTAAGATTACAGTTAAAGAAAACAAATGATTTAAAACATTTTTTTATGTATATACTTTTTTTCCACAGGCTGGGCAGCCATGTTGGTTCAGACACTACTGTTATCTGAACAAGTATTGCACAATCTACGTTTCTTGCTTTTGCAGGTTCACACAGAGCAACCACAGCAGCAAGTAAGTTAGATTAGGCACTAGTTGGTCAGATAATAGTGGAGTATGACCCCTAAAATTACTGTTTAGACAGATAGAAAAGTGTTTTTTTTAAAGAAAAAAATAAATACATCATGTATTGGCATTTGCTTCAAATGTAATAAACTATTATTTATGTGGTATACACAAGGCATGGTGTCTACAGCCTGCAGTACTAATTTATATGGTCAATTAGCAAGCCTTACACTAGGAAAGTAATATTCATTAATCTGGAAAGTGTTGGCCCTGGTCAATTCACAATTACTTCAGGTTTCAGAAATAGAAAATAAAGGTCTCTCAAAGTGCATTACTCAAGTTGTGCTTAATGATATCTGCACATTTGTTAGAATTAATACAAATATTCAATAGAGTCATGGAAGCAACACACATAACATATACAGGCTCAAAAGGAAAATACCAAGTACCATAACCACTAAAGCCTGCTGTGATGAAGGTTGATGTATGCCTTTGTCCTGTAATTCGGTTTTGTAACTGAGTTTAACTCATTATCTGGAGACAGACTTTATTTTTGACTTATGATATTCTCGTTATTCTTATCACATTTTCTTGAAGTCATTTCAGATAATTTGATCAGGACAAGTGACAGGCCTTTCTAAACTTACAATTCATTTAAAAGGTAACTCTTCTCTACGATATCTACGTATCACAGGACTGCAAGAAAGAACAGTTTACAGAAGCCACATTCACAACAAAAATCTCACCTCCATTTTCATTGCTATCATAACCATCAGTGGATCTCCAGCTTTAACTTTATCACCCACCTTTACAAACACCTACAGATAAGCATATACATTTCATTAAGCAGACAATATGGACCAGGAACCAATATTGACATGAAAGAGACGAAATGCAATCCTTTCTAAAAAATACTTTCTTTAAATCAAAAAATAATGAAAAATATAACCTTCGAAGGAAGCCAATGTAATTGGGCAAATGCATCACGTATTTTGGCCTCAATTTAATAGGGCTTTCCAAATAATGAAATACTGTTACATAAAAATCCCAAATGTCAGAAGTTATCATTAAAGTCAATGGAAATTTTTGTAGATAAGTAATTTAGAAGCTAAGAAGGTAAATGGAAAAAAAATGAAACATTAGCTTTATTAGTTATAGTTATTAAGATATTGGTAAATGCAATCAATAATCTTTTATATTCTATAGTTTCCCATCTACTACCATTTCCTAGGTGTTAACTTATGCTATAATTTTCTATATATGTTGGTCAGCTCCTAGTTTTTTTATCATAGATAAAACATTGTGAAAGTTCTTTTTAAACATTGATAGCTCAATAAATCGAGACCTAGTTCAGAGGAGGCCAGTACTGAGTTCTTGCGTGATTGGAGAATACGAAACACCAATGTGAGAGCAAGTGGAAGTTTGGAACATGTGTATTAGTGTGCAGTGAGTTTCTTTAGTTAAGAACTCATAAAATAGTTTATGAGTCTCTAGCTGCATTACTTTGTTTGGGTGAGAAGGCCATTTAATCTTTTGTGTATGCTACTGACTAAACATTTAGTACCACTTTTTAGCTTCTCGCACTATCCTTTTTTATTTTAATAAGTTTCTTATAAAACTTACCAATATGTTTTATTTCCTGACCATCTATGAAGGTACATTACCTTTTCTATAGTCCCAGTCATTGGTGCTACTGCTCCTCCTTGAGAAACAGTAGTGCTTACTCCTGACAAAAATTTTGGAGTTGGAATACCAAGCTGTGCACTTCTTTCCTGTAACATGAAAAGTGAAATCATTAAGAAGCACGACAAGAAGAAAAAGTAGACAAAATTTAGGACAGATGTATATGTTAAGGAACTTTTAGTAAAAATGCTTACGGTATATTTCAATGTATACTGAGAATGCTTCAAAGTGCACAAATCATGGTACTCACATCGGCTGAATGGATAGTACAATAAAATATATATATATATTTACACTGTGCTAGCAGTACTGTTGGCAAATGTATTGGTTTTCAGATTGAAATATTTTATAGTTTGGGTCCCTCCCCTCACCAGTCACTCAATTGATGACAAAGTCTTGTTGACAACAAAATATTTTAATCTGCTACAATGTGTATATGACACTCTTGGCAGTGTATATGACACTCTTGGTAGTGTCATATCTTTATTGGAAATGCGTGTTAGAGAACAAAAATAATAATTAATATTAATTAAAAAACAAAGTTTATCTATAAGCAAGTCTAGGGCTGAACATTTCCACTTGACACTAGCCACTGGCAAGAAAAAAATTTAGTTCCGGTAAATAGAAATTCACATCCAGTGAGTGTGACATGTATTCTCCAGACTTGTAGTAAGAGAAACTTTCAAGGCTTGGCTTGTAGCATTGGCTTGAAATTTTAAGCCCTGAATAAGTCCATCTGTGTTGAATACAGAGACTAGGTTTTTCAAGACCTTCTGAATAAATTAACGTTAAGCAAACTAGTTTCACAATTACTAAATAAAATGTACATTATGAATTGGATAGATAGTATGCAGGGATGTTAATCCATCAGTAGGTTAGAATTTGTAAACATTGTGAAGTAAAAAGGATTCTTGACCATTGAGAAGAGATGTATTGTGCCATCCAGAATAACCAGCTTGGATTTACAAACTGTGCCGTCCACCGAGCATTTCAAATAAGTTACATCTCCTTCATTGAAAAGTTCTCCTGACACTTTCCACACTTTATCCTGAATCTACAATATAACAAGCATAAGAGGTTTTGAAATGTATTTTTTTATTAAAACATAGAAATCACAGAATAAATCACACTAAAATGACCTGCCCCCCGAATAAAAAATAAAAACAGATTAGAGTAAAAGAAACACGGGTAGAACTAAATTCATTTTATTGTTAAATTATACTTAAAATAAATAAAAAAATAAAAATAAATCCAGCATGCCTTAAAATCAAAATCAAATAATTAAATAAATTGTGTTAACCTTGTGTTAACCTTGTGTTAACCACGTGAGACTCCATTTTTCTAAGTGAACTAGGATGTAATTCTAGTTAAATCTTGAAAGGTACTCCAACCACCGTGATCACTTTGTAGTGGTCATGGTGGTCGGATACTGGACGTGCAGTATTTCTTCTGGAAACACTGTACATTCATAGTTATTTTTAATTGCGCACAACAAGCTGGCAACATATGTAAAAATCTTCTCCTTTGCAGGCAGAGGACCTGCAAGGAGAAGATATCTTTTCCCTCCCTCCCTGTGTGGGTTCCTTCCCAATTCCCTCTGCTACTTAAATAGAGGTTTTATTTTTCCTCTTAATTAAAATATTGCTCCCACCTCTTCTCGCACTTCCTCTTAGATTGTACACACACTCTGAACCAGTGAAACGGTCCAATCACTTGCTTGTTACTCCAATCACTTGTTACTTGCTTCCTTTCTTCCCCTCTACCAGTATAGCTCCAGACCACCCTACTTACTTCCTTAATTTCTCTCTTACCTATAATCCCCCTTCCTCTAGCCTCTCAATTAAAGAGGGTTGGCTATCCACTGTTCTCGGTGAGTGTACCGGATAGCAAGACCAAACACTCTAAAGCTGGGTTGTGTTGACTGCTGTACGTGCAGATCAGGATAGATCAGACACCGGGGAAATGTCCACCACACTGATATCGTTCATTCATATAATTACATATAGCGGCTAAGAATAGTACAATGTTATCTCTACAGTATATGAATCACACGATAAGTCTATAGGTGCACTGTGACAGCCCACACGAGAAAGGGAAACCAGGCACAGCCAAAAGCTGATGCCTCTAAGGGCAGGCCACGTTTTGACTAACTGCAAGAAACATCACCACTAACGACAGGGGGACTGGGTGGAAGTTGCTTTCAGCAGGCAATGAAGGTAATTCAAGCATTAAGTCGACACCCAGCAGGCCTCCATTGGGGCGTTAGCCAGAGAGCATGCCAACCGTCTTTGGAATTACAAAGTCATGACTGCTTTATGAAGTGTCTTGTATAACATGTACTCCTATCTCGATGTATGGCAACCCCCGGATGTAAGCTTATACTTCCTTCTTATTTTCTGTACCCTTTAATTCTTTTATGTTACAAAATGAATAAACTTCAACTGCAAAAAATACCAAAATCCTGGGAAGTGACAGTTCCTCTTGAAGTTACATTTATTACTTACATGCATTTCAAATGATTCATCATGGTTGTAATTTATTCTCATCTCCACTTCTGTTAAACAAATAAATATATATATTATTTAGAAGGCTTTAAGTGTGCTGGTAAACTCGCTTTTGACATACTGCAGTTACAAATAGGCTTACTGTATGTGGCTAACATAATGAATCAATAGGAGGCAAGAGTTTGGATCATGCCATTCCAATTTGAGTTTTGGCCTAGAACCCTGTGTTAAACATTTTACTAAAAGGAAACAATTCTATTTATAGAAGAAATTGATTATATCTTGTCTGGTGACTCTTTTGGCTACATTAATTGAGTGTTCAGTTATAACCTGGGACAGCTCTTGGCTCTTAATACATATTTCAACCCTGATTGTTATGTTTAATGTATTATTTCAGATGTTATTGATGCTTATTTATATTGTGTGTATATTTTCTATGAATAGCATTTTTATGATTGTGGTTCTATATCACATAATTGTAATGTGCTGCAAAGTCATCGATAGAGATTCCCTATATAGCAACACCATGAGCACCATAACCACTAAAGCAGACTAGTTGTAATGTAAAAGCAATGCAATAAAAACAAGTAGAAAATATGCTTACAATACATTTACTATACAGATTGCATACTAGTAAATATAGCACTTGGAATTTGCCTTTAACTTTTGCAGAAAGGATGCTATAAATGTAAGTAAACGTTTTGGCACTAAAATTGCCAATAATCCAAAATGTACTTACTCTTTTCACAGTCAAGCAAAGTGAGGTTTCGTGTGTATAACAGATTCATTCGTCTACCACTATTGGAAGTGAATGGAGTATACAGTTCTAGAAAATAAATGTTCAAATATAAAAACAGAAATGTAAAAGCCGCAAAAGATTAGTTATAATTATTCTTGATATACTGATCGAGAGTGTGCAGTCTGTAAGATGGATTGGTGCCTCCATCATGTTGTTACCAGGAAGACTATGCATCCATCCATATATTTTAATTATAAAGATAAAGAAATTTAGGTTCCAAGTTTAAAAAGTGGAACCAACATGATTTAATAGAGATTATCCACTTTTTAGTACTTTTCCATTGTTCTTAATAAATATTGCCCCTATGTATGCCCATAAGATATTAATTTCTATTGTTGGATCCTTCTCATTTCTGTTTACTTAGCGCCAGTTATTGCAAGGCAATGAGTTTGAGATAGTCTTGATGTATGGACAAACCTGCAGTGGGCCTACTAAGCTGCTACATGCCAGTGTGTTCTGAACAAAAGATGTAATCAATTTTCTTAATCAAACCACTACTTTGGGCATGTTTGGCACATTCTAAGAGTTAGTGCTTGGAGTGTGAGCGGGATGAACAAGTTAATACTAGAGAGGGAAAAAAAGACCAGGGAGAACCCCAATAGTTTTATATCATCAAAGTTTTATATATAAGAAAGAAAAAAATAACTTTAAAACCCTCTTATTTAAAGTATGAGTTCACAACAAAGGAAACTTACTACTGACTCTAGACACATGGGAACTCTGAGTCTGCCTCCTGTATATGATCTTTTGCCCTGATCACGTGGGCTTCCACTGACAGGTCACTGATCTCATCTGTGTATAGTTTGACTGTCGCACTCCTCGTCCACTCCTCCACTTATTCCCATTGGCCCACAGGTATGCTCAATCTTCCTATCCAAGTGTACTTATAGCATAAAATCAAATCCCGTGATGATAAAGGAGTATTGATATATATAGTGCTCATGGTGAGTTTCCCTTGATATGAACTCACACGGATTTTAAGGAAGCATTTTTTACTTTCTTTGTATTCGATTTTATAAAAGTATCACTGGTTTATGTGAGTGCCACCTAGAAAGGAGATGAGCGGTGGTTTTAACACAAAGTGAACATACTCTCTGTACTATGTTTGTCTATAAGTATAAAACAAAGTATTCTGGTTTTATATTTCACATTCTTAAAGTGACAAAGTGATAGCGTATTACTGGTTGGGGTATTAAGGAGTTACAGTATGTCACAAAAGTGAGTACACCCCTCACATTTTTGAAAATATGACACTCTGCTACAATGTAAAGTAGTAAGTGTAGTAAAGTGTAGCAGTGTAAATTTTCTGTCCCCTCATAAAAACCCAACACACAGCCATTAATGTCTAAACCGTAGGCAACAAAAGTGAGTACACCCCTAAGTGGAAATGTCGCAATTGGACACAAAGTGTCAATATTTTGTGTGGCCACCATTATTTTCCAGCACTGCCTTAACCCTCATGGGCACGGAGTTCACCAGAGCTTCACAGGTTGCCACTGGAGTCCTCTTCCACGAAGACATCACGGAGCTGGTGGATATTAGAGACCTTGCGCTCCCCCACCTTCCGTTTGAGGATGCCCCACAGATGCTCAATAGGGTTTAGGTCTGGAGACATGCTTGGCAGTCCATCGCCTTTACCTTCAGCTTCTTTAGCAAGGCAGTGGTCGTCTTGGAGGTGTGTTTGGAGTCGTTATCATGTTGGAATACTGCCCTGCGGCCAAGACATGCTCTGCTTCAGTATGTAACAGTACATGTTGACATTCATGGTTCCCTCAATGAACTGTAGCTCCCCAGTGCCGGCAGCACTCATGCAAACCCAGACCATGACACTTCCACCACCATGCTTGACTGTAGGCAAGACATACTTGTCTTGGTACTCCTCACCTGGTTTTCCGCCACACACTCGTGATACCATCTGAGCCAAATACGTTTATCTTGGTCTCATTGGACCACAGGACAGGTTCGAGTAATCCATGTCCTTAGTCTGCTTGTCTTCAGCAAACGGTTTTCAGGCTTTCTTGTGCATCATCTGTAGAAGATGCTTCCGTCTGGGACGACAGCCACGCAGACCAATTTGATGCAGTGTGTGGGGTATGGTCTGAGCACTGACAGACTGACCCCTAACCCCTTCAACCTCTGCAGCAGTGCTGGCAGCACTAATACTATTTCCCAAAGACAACCTCTGGATATGATGCTGAGCATGTGCACTCAACTTCTTTGGTCGACCATGGCGAGGCCTGTTCTGAGGGGAACATGTCCTGTGAAACAGCTGTATGGTCTTGATGCAGCTCAGTTTCAGGGTCTTGGCAATCTTCTTATAGCCTAGGCCATCTTTATGTAACACAACAATTCTTTTTTTCAGATCCTCAGAGTTCTTTGCCATGAGGTGCCATGTTGCACTTTCAGTGACCAGTATGAGAGAGATAACACACCTGCTCCCCATTTACACCTGAGACCTTGTAACACTAACGAGTCACATGACACCAGAGAGGGAAAATGGCTAATTGGGCCCAATTTGGACATTTGCACTTAGGGCTGTACTCACTTTTGTTGCCATTGGTTTAGACATTAATGGCTGTGTGTTGAGTTATTTTGAGGCTGTATACTTACTACTTTAGATTGCAGCAAAGTGTCATTTCTTCAGTGTTGTCACATGAAAGATATAAAATATTTACAAAAATGTGAGGGGTGTACTCACTTTTGTGAGATACTGTACTTTAATGCTGTGTATATGGTGTATGTGGCTAAACTATATTAGTGGACACATCTCGTAAGTTTTAAAAGTGCCTTACACGTGTTTGATTTTAGAATTTAATACTAACAGTGAAAATGGTAATGAACAAAGAACTGGGAGAATATTCTAACACAGCAACCAGTGGCAAAACAATCGTCACCTCTCAAATTTAGTTTAGATATGATAAAAAGCTTTTATACCTAATGCTGCCTAGGATGAAATACAGAAATAACACCAAAAAAAGTTCTTTACTGGTTACTGAGTATAAAGAGGAAAAATACAGAAAAAAAAAAACATACCTCCAGACTGTAAATTAAACTCATTGCTTAAGACTTTCTCCTTCAGGATGAGGCCCAGTGCAGCTTGACACAACATCTCTCCTGAGGTTTCTTGCTTGGGAGGAAAGAGTTCATTGTGATGCTGGGGAATAAAATTAGTGTGTACATCCCCAGCTTCAAATGCAGGGTGATCAGACAGGCTGAGGAGGAAATCAATATTGGTGCTCAGTCCAACAATCTGAAAAGAAAAAAGTAATTAGAGTGCTTAGATATAACTCTACCACAGAGCATGACGTACTGGAGGCATCTGTTGCATAATCAACCACTGCCTATTTTTACAAACCAAAATCTAAAATAATTTACACTTCAAAAGATATAATTAGATAAAATACATACACTACACAGAACAGGCAAGTGCACAACATTATCACCATATTTTCTAAATATAAGAAGCACCATAATAGAAGACATTCCAATATATTTTAACTAGTAATTTAGAAGAAAAACAAAACAACCAATACTGTAATTACAGTAAAATTCCTCCTATGTGTGTATAGGGGATAATGTGTGTGTATTTGTAGTGTGGTATTTAGGTTCTAATATGTGGGGGTATTTTTTTTATTTTTTTATTATTTATTTAAAATGTTGCTTCTTACCTTCTTACCTTGTTCCGTGTAGGGGTGGGACATGTAGCTACCTGGTGGTCTATGGTGAGTGACTCTAGTTTTGCATGTCTCCTGAGTGCAGACTGAGTATGCTCCTTTGTGAGATCCGGCACTGGGTAATTTTTAGAGCGTTGCTATTGTAAATTGTGCAAACCTCTGAATGGCCAGAGCTTGGGATAGAAATATTTTCTCGGCACAAACAGTTTCAAAACAGAAGCCTGAACTGAGCCTCAAGGGAGATCTTTGATTTCCCCATAGCTGTACATATGCAGTGATGCTTAGTGTACATGTATATACTCAGAATATTTCCTACGCCTGACACTTCTAGACACTGGGCAGAGCTACCACCATCTACAAGTGTCAATCCACCCCGCCGTCACACGTGATGGCTGTAGGGAATTGGCTCTGTCTATGGAGAATCCACAATCTGGCAGGATCCTCCACAGACCTCAATGCTGTCCTCTCGCACATGCGGAAGAGTACAGAGGTGACGTCGGCTCCCGAAGCAGGAGCACAAGAGCTGAAGAACACCCGCAGAAGGAAGATGGCAGCGCCAACGAGGGACAGGTAAGCAGAACTCACATTTACCTGCTCTACCCGACAACCAGAGCCCCAGCAGTGAGGTCACCGTTGGGTGCCTTTTACGAATTCTGCACAGACCCCAGACAGTGACAATGCTGCTTTAACATCAGCAATTTCAATTAATGTAATTAAATGGTTTTAAGTTTATTAAATGGTCTCAGACATCACATGATTTTATATTTTGGATTGTATAATATGTTTGTTTGTTTTATTTTTAATCACCATTATGACAAGGTCATTTGAATGCAAGTTATTGAGGCTCAGCAGAACCTAGGTAAGTGGCAAAGCATTGTAAAACAGTTTTCCCCCTGACCTTGGAATAGTTCAAGGGTTCTCCTGGCATGATAATCACAACTTTAATGAGCTAGTATTTCAATTAACAAGTGGATTTTTTGCAGTCACTCAGTCCTGGTACTAGAGCATGGGTTCCCCTCCCTGAGTTACATCAATCAAATAAAACCCCAAACTTGTTAGCCTTACACGATGATCTTAAAAATTGGCAACACGACGGGGCAGGGCGGGACTTGGATGCCATACTGAATGGTCGCAGGTTGCATGAGCTCCTGCTTCAAACTGACTAAATAGCAATTTGTGGGACAAAATACCCTAATATCAAAGCGCCTCCAGATGGTACCTTCATCTGGTACAGCTGGGGCAACGTTGGGGAGAATTCTGGCACCCTTAAACCAGCTAATCGACAGATGCTGCCCTCGGCTTGTAGAGCCCTGGTGAATTCCTAGCGGGAGAAACGGCCGATCTCTCAGCCCGGGGCTGCCTGACCCTTCTCTTGAGTGGATACTCAGAGCCCCGTACTACCCCCCTCCCCCCCCTTGGGCTGGCGGGGGTTTTCCCAGCCCACACCAAACAGGCACTTACCTCCCAATGGACACGAGGCCTTTTACAACATGGCCAAGGATAACGACAGGTGTGATGAGCAGACGACCCAAGATGGCTGGATGGTAGGAATCGTGCATCGGTTTGACACCATGTGCCGAAAATTCTGTGAGGGATGGGAGAAAAGGCGACAGCCACCTGCACCTCCTAGGCCCGAAACACAGCCTTCAGGCAGAGGTCCGGTTCGGCGCCCCCTTCCTAGGCTGCAAATCAAGAGGGCCCGAGCGCCCACCCGTGGTCCACGCACCAGTGCGGTACAGCCTTGCCCGGATACCTGCGCTCCATTGCATCAGAGCCTACCACAAAAGTTTGAAGCTCCACATTGGAGGAAGGACCCCCCCACGACGTCTGCTCAAATGGCATGCACAGCCCAAGCGACGGACAACTAGGATGCAGAGGTCCACCAGGAAGCACCCTCAGAGAGCGGTACTGCCTAAAGCCTGGCTGACAACAACAGAGCTCCTGCACTACCACCAGGCACCTACTGGATATGCCCTGAAACAGCTCACTGGGAGGCTTGCACACCACCTGCCACGTGGGGGCATCGGTTGAGATGGGCCACTTGACAGGACCCATGGGACTTTTATGTGACCGTGCCTACCTATGGGATACATTGAGACTGCCACCGGGAGTAGCCATTGTTATAAAAGGGCTGCCTATGGGGACTAAATTACACTACCCGACTACACTAGACACACACACCACTGTCGAGATGAGGGGCACATGGCTAGTCCTCTGATTCCTGCTTAACCCTACTGACAAGTAGTCTAGCCGGTACCCTCACACACATAAAGCGATTAACCCACAACTAGCTTGAACACAATACAATATCAAGCATACTATATGACAGTTAACCAACACATGTTTACCTCGCAACTGTTGATGCATGTATGTCACACTAGTATTGTTATTAGTCTCAATCTTTAAAAAAAAAAAAAAGGATTCTAGAGGAAGCCTCCTGGGACACTCAGGTCAGGCACAGCCAGAGCTCAGAGATTTAACCTGAACCCACTCTCTAAGCATTTGACTGCACCAAACTCTAACATAACCTGTTGATGTTCATACTGCATGTTGTTAATCCCGACATAATTCAATAAGCCTGTTTATATTGCCTACACCGTAAACAAAAGTGTGCTACTACTTTAATGCCATGCTTGCGCATTACAGTGAAGATGCTGTACTTACCTAAGCTGTCGTGGCATCGACCAATATCCTTAGCTAGTAAGGCAATGTTTAATAGGATCTAACCACTACTATATATGCTAGAACCACTGTACGTTTACTGTCTCAAGCTTGACAAGCCCATCGTGACCCACCGCAACAGACATTCAAAGCTAGCCTGTATTTAGCATGTTTAAAAACTTTAAAGTGTTCCCAGTCTGTTATTTTTCTCATATAAAATGTGCTGTTTATTTCTGCCATGACAATGTATGCCATTGAAATGCCTTTAATTACTGTCGTGGCGCTACAGGTACCTCTATTATGTAATCAAATGCACAAGAAAAATAAAGAATAAAAAAAAAAAAAAAAATTGGCAACACAATAACAATTTTTACCAAAATAATAATAAAAAAAAAAATAATAAAAAAAAAAAGCATATTGTGTGTAACGGACCTTTAGCACTTTAACACTCCGTCATGCCCTCTTAGTCTACATAAGTGCAGCTCTTATTAATATTGTAACTTGTTGTGTCTTATAAAAAATATATATTCTACATATCTAAGAAACCAGAGATGGTGGTTATTATGAAGCAAACAGGAAACATATTTCATCTTGTGATCCAGCAGTTTTTGTTAACAACCTTAATGATCATGAGTTAATACATATGTTTATCTTGTGACCGAGCATTTGTTAACAACTCTGTTGAGAGGATCCTTTATAGTTAGTTCATTTTACTTACATTGTACTGGTGCAGGGAATATTTTAACTTTCGGAGTGCTGCTTGGCGATCTTCAGCCCACACAACCAATTTAGCAATCATTGGGTCATAGTGCACGGAAACTTCATCACCTTGAGAAATAATTCAGAAATACTTTTGAACACAATAAAGATATTAATTTGTATATCTCCACCAGGTTCCCCCTTAACGGATCAATAATATAATTTGATGCCAAATCAATTGGTAGTATCTAAACGAAAATATTAAAAAGGTAATAAAACTATGCAGCAACATACAGTTGGAAGAAAATGTTTGTGAACCCATTGGAATTACCAGAATTTCAGCAAAGATTGCTCAGAAAGAATGTCCTGACCTTCATCCAAGTTACCGTTATAGACAAACACAATCTATTTAAACTAATAGCACACAAATAGATGTACTTTTCAGATTTATATTGAAGACATTGATGGAAACTTGTGGATCCTCCTTTAACCCCTTAAGGACACATGACATGTGTGACATGTCGTGATTCCTTTTTATTCCAGAAGATTGGTCCTTAAGGGGTTAAAAGGAACACTATAGCGTTAAGAATACAAATCTTTATACCAAATGCTATAGTGTCTCTGTCCCTACTACTATTTAGGTGTCCCCACAGGTATTTAAATAAAAAAAAAGTTTTCTTAACGTTTTCCAGCACTGAGGCTTCTATGCAACGCTCACCGTATCACCACCTACCGCAACATCAAAGAAGGGGCATGTCCCCCTCCGCCAATGATCAATACAATGTGCGCTTTCAAAATTCCCTATAGGAAAACATTCAGTCAGTGCTTTCCTGTAGAGCTACTGCATCATATGACCGAGTTTTCCTTGGTCTGTGCCGCGGAAGCGACTTTGTGGCTGTCATACTGACATCCGCTAGAGGTGGACTTAACCCGGCAATATAAATATTGCAGTTTCTCAAATACTGCGAAACATTGCAGGGTTAAAAAGACAAAGACACAGACACTGCACCCAGACCACTTCACTGAGATGAAGTGGTCTGGGTGGCTATAGCGTTCCTTTAAATAGCAACAATCTCCACCAAAAACATTTTCTGTAGCTGCCTATAAGACTTGCACAACATTGAAGATACATTTTGGACCGTTCCTCCCTATAAATCTGTTTCACTCCATCAATATTTCTGGATTGTCTTAATTGCTATAAACTACTGCAGAGCTCTGAGTTCCTGCTATCTGTTCTCCCTCATCCAATAGGAAAAGAAAGATAAGTAGGTGGAACTATGACAAAAGTTTCATTTGCATTTCTTGCAAAACCACAGATCTGGAATTGTAATGATGGGGAGATTTATTTTGTGTACCATAAGTGCATAACGTTTCCCTTTAACCTCTTAAGGACACATGACATGTGTGAAGTGTCATGATTCCCTTTTATTCCAGAAGTTTGGTCCTTAAGGGATTAAATAATAAACCTTACTTATTGAGTTTTAAAATAATGCAGCAAATATAAACTTATTCTATAAATCTTTGATAGATGCACTAATACACATCCCGTTACCTTGCTTTACTCCAGTTTCAATGCGGGTGAATGGATCAGCTGGTGGTGTAGACAGATGCAGCAGTGGGCCGGCTCCAGGCATAAAGTTGTTATCAGGGTCTTCAGCATAAATTCTGGCTTCAAAAGCATGACCTTGCAGATTAATTTCATCCTGATTGAGTGGAATCTTTTCCCCAGCAGCAACCTGTATGATACCAAACATCAGTCAGTGATGAAAACCGCAATTTTATTGCCAAGCATTGCTCAGTGCTTTTAAAGTGATACTTCTAAGCACCCAAACCACTTCATATTAAGCTAATGGTTTTGGTGCACAGACCTTGTCCCTTTTTTTGAAAAATCAGATTGACAGATACTTGAAGCTCTTCTTTCTTAGAACCTTAGAAAATCAAAGATCTTTACATTTGGTCACCTCACACCCACGATTAGATATGAAAAGAGTCATTGGTAATTGGCAATAGTTATCTCAAAGAAGGCACACAAGCTGCCCTTATATGAAGGGGGAGATCCAATTCATTAAAATAACACACTACGGTTACATATATATATTTTTTAACCTTAGAGTGTTCCTTAAAGTACCAAGAGGGGTGGTTACTTATGGCAGAGACTATTTTATGTGGTTTGGATTAGTAAGCAAACTGGTATTCAACTAATTATTATTATTATGCCAGCTTTATAGCGCCATCAAATTCTGCAGCACTTTACAATTGGTGGACGAACATACATGTAGTTGGAACCAGACAAGTTGGACACACAGGAACAGAGGGGTTGAGGGTCCTGCTCAATGAGCTTACATGTTAGAGGGAGTGGGGTAAAATGACACAAAAAGGTAAGTAGAGTGTTAGACTAGTGACAGTTGCAGAAGAGGAGTCAGTCGGGAGCTATTAACAGTTTAATTGATACGCTTTTATGAAGAAGTGGGTTTTTAACGATTTTTGGAAGGAGTGGAGACTGGGTGAGCATCTAATGGAGGAGGGAAGCGAGTTCCACAGGAACGGTGCAGCCCTTGAGAAATCTTGAAGGCGAGCATCAGAGGTGGGAGTACGGACAGAAGATAGACGTAAGTCTTCAGCAGATCGTAAGGGCCTAGACGGGACATACTTGTGTATAAGGGAGGATAGATAGGTGGGAGCAGCAATATGTAGAGATTTGAAAGCAAGAACCAGAATTTTAAATTGAGCTCTATATTTTATAGGAAGCCAATGTAGGGATTGACAGAAGGGTGAGGCATGGGAGGTGCGGGCGGACAGGAAGATGAGCCTTGCCGCCGCATTCATTATGGACTGTAATGGTGCAAGTTGGGAGCATGTAAGACCACTGAGAAGCGGATTACAGTAGTCAAGGCGAGAAAGGACAGTGGAATGGACCAACACCTTAGTCGCATCTGGCGTTAAGTAGGGGCGGATGCGCGAAATGTTTTTGAGATAGAAATGACAGGATTTTGCAATAGACTGAACATGAGGCTTGAAGGAGAGGTCAGAGCCAAAGAGAACACCTAGGTAGCGAGCCTGCGTGGTGGAGCTGATGGTAGCACCGTTGACTTGGAGGGAGACAGACACAGGAGTAACAACACTTGAGGGAGTGTTATTATTATTTATAAAGCGCCAACAAATTCCCCAGAGCTGTAAAATAGGTGGACTAACAAACAAGTAGTGGCCGGACAAGACAAGTTGGAGACACAGGAACAGAAGGTGCTGAGGGCCCTAAATTCTTTATTTCAATGCAATAATTAAGCCATATACTAAAACTGATTTTTGGATCATTTTAAGCAAACAGACATTTATAAATAAAACATTGTATACCGGTATTATTTGGACTGCTCCACTGACCACAAAATCCAACTGGTCAAGATTTACTTCTTACTTACTCGAAGTTGCCACTCCACTAGATCAGTTCCTGTGATCATTTCAGTGACTGGATGCTCAACCTGTAGACGAGTGTTCATCTCCATGAAATAGAAATTCTGCTGTGGATCCATAATGAATTCCACAGTTCCTGAAAGAAATGTCAAAACACACATAACTTTAACAGATCCATCTTATACTTAAACATTTTCTCAGAGGAAAAAACAATAATGTATCTTGTGACTTTTCATCATTAAACCACATTTAAATTATAAAGGGAGATAACAAACTGTATAATAATACCCAAACCAACTTTTAAAAAATTGTTGTAGCCAACAGATTCCGTAGCGCTTTACAATATTATGAGAGGGGGGATTTCACTATAAATAGGACAATTACAAGACAACTTACAGGAACGATAGGTTGAAGAGGACCCTGCTCTTTTTTTTGTAATTCTTTATTTTCAATGACAGAAATTTCAGGCATGTGAACAGTACTTGGGCTTATGCAAAAGCCAAAATTCGTGTTTTACAGCAGTTTCACAGTGATACAGAAAAAAAAAGAGATTGACTTTTTAGATGCTAATGCTACTGTTCATAGTTCTTCTTTGCGGTCTTGTTCTGTCAGGGTTTTGCATTTATATATAAAACAAAACAAATTTAAGTTTTAACCTTAAACAACATAAAAACAAGAGGTGTTGCCACCATTTTTATGTGTAATTTATTTTATCACATAAGGCGGTGCACACATGCGATAATACTTGGGCTTACACAGAAGCCACTGTGGTTGTTTTTTTTTGGTTGTTGTTTTTTTTTTTATTATTTTTTTTTTTTTGTTATGCAATTTACATTTACATAAAGAGAAAGTAGTGCATTAGTGCAGTTTACATGCATAGTGACATTTTTAGGTCAATTCAGTGGTTTATCTGTCAATTTCAGGTTTGCTATGGATGTATTTCGCAGTTTGGTTGTTGAAGCTTACCGTGAGGCCGTTGTCGCCTCGTTTGGTGCAGATATATATATATATATATATATATATATATATATATATGTATCAGAGTAAAAACATACAAACGGATAGCGCTATAAGCAGAGAACTGAAAAACGTTTTGCTATCATGACTGTTACCTCTGCTCTGTATAGGTTCGTTATGTGCCCTTTTACTTTTTAGTTATCAGTGTTCGTTCAGGGCCCCTGTCCCCCCTCGGCATTCTCTTGGTATTGCTCCCACAGTTCCCATACCTTCCTACATTTTTTGGCGGTGTGTCTGACTAATGAGGTTAACCTGTCCATGAGACGGTTATCGTTTAGTTTTGCTAAGACCAGTGTCAAGGGGGGTGTTTCCAGACAGAGCCATTTTTGTGCTAGTACCCTTCAGGCCGCTAGATAAACCATGTTTAGTAGTTGTTGCTCTGGGCGTGTAAGGCAGTCTGTCGGCCTGGAGAGAAGGCAGGCCCACGGGTCCATCTGTAGTGTTCTCTGTATTATGTTTGAGCTTAGAGTGATGATTTGAGACCAGTAGGCCTGTACTGTAGGGCATGTCCACAACATATGCACGTATGTGCCCTTTTCCCCGCAGCCATGCCAGCATAGGTCTGAAGAGGTGATCTGCATTCAGAATTGTTTTACTGGGGTGGTGTACCATCTGAAAAGCGTTTTAAATGACTGCTCTTGGAGGGTGACACAAATGGATGAACGGGCTGTCGCCTCCCAGATGTCCCGCGGAGCCCTCTATTTTTTCCCCTAAGTCTGTCTCCCACTGGTCCGTGTAGCGAAGTTGGACCCTGCTCTTTTTAAAAGATAGAATCTGTATTAAATTAATGTGTTGAGTTGGAATTCTACTGAACTTCCAACTAGCTTCCAATTGACATGTGCATGCCTATTTTAAAACCAAAGGAAGCCAAGGCCAGAATATTAATGAGTATCTAGCTGTCTAAAGACTTTCAGTGTGCATGCATGAGATTGGTGGACAGTACTGCTGTTTCATATGATCTTACATAGTCCACTGTTTTGTGCTCTCACATGTATCATCTTGTAATAGTTGAAGAAATAAGATAATTGTACAAGAGGTTAGTAGATCAATTGATGTTACCTGGGCAGGTCTCTGCAAACAGGTATGCTTTACACTCATTGATAAAAACAAAAGTAAATATAAGGGGGAGGAATGAGATTAATGACTATTACTGTATCTGTCATGAAAATGCAAATCACTTAAAATGAAAGAATCAAATCTCAAATACATTTTGCGAGAAAAATTTCTGATCTTCATTGCCATTCACTAGTTGCCTTACACTGGATACTTTACCCCTTTCCCTGGTGGTCCCCATGATGTAAGACCAGGGCTATATTAACAGCTGGACCACAAAATACAACACCAAAACCTACCTGCTCCCACATAGTGCACAGCTTTTGCTGCTCTCACAGCAGCTTCTCCTAGTTTTTTTCTAACTTCAGGACTGATTCCAGGCTGTAAGAGTATTAAGAAATAGGGTACCAATTAGTGTTTGATGCTAGGTCTGTGATAAAATGACATTAAGATACACACACATTCTCAGATATACTATTTAACAGTATCGCATGATAAATTAAAAAAAAGTTAATTGACTCAAATACAGCAGTGCTATGCAGCTTCCAAAATGCATGGGTAACAAGCATATAAAACCAAGACAGGCTAGAGGATATATATATTTATTTGCAGAAATTGGTCATTTGTGTGATTTTTCAAATATATTACACGTCTATGTGGCTCAGGTGTTTATTTCACTAACTTTCCACCAACAATGATGGACAAGCTGGACATTAATATAGAGACCAATGCATACTATAAGATTAGCAACTGTACCTCCATAGTTCCAATTTATATTAAAATAAACACATACACTGTTAATTATCTTTATGTATTTTTCTGTTTTTGTTATTATCTTAACCACCGTCTAGTGGCTTGATTACATACATTTTTTTATTTTTCCTCGTAATAAAAATCTATTTTGGGGCTCTACATTGTTTATGTTAATTTACACATGGATGCTAAGCCCTACATGAGGATAATTATTGTGCCAAGACTGGCCCTTTAATTTTGTTTGCATTTATAAATCATTTCCCTAGTTTTAAAGAAAGTTAGCCAACTCACCCCAGGAGCTTCCTCAATGATTTTTTGATGTCTCCTCTGTACACTGCAATCTCTTTCAAAAAGATATACAGCATTTCCATGTTGATCACCAAACACTTGGACTTCCACATGTCTAGTGATATGGGAACAGAAAAATGAATGAGAAATTTCTGCACAACTCATGGTGCAATGGTATGACACTATCACTGCTGTTAGGGTTTGTTGTGCCGTACAAGGTTTCAAAGATCTAGTACAATATGAAACTTCTGATTCTGAAACACACTGTCATGACTTCAAAGTACAATATCAATAGCTTTAAAAATGCACTATGACCCATTTCTCACCTTGGATTGTCAACAAACTTCTCAATTAGCATAACGTCATCATTAAATGACTTTTTAGCTTCTCGTCTGGCGGATTCTAATTGTTCAAAGAACTCTTCCTCAGACCTTGCTATTCTCATCCCCTAATAATATAGATAAGAAGAATAGTAAGAAAAGAAAAAAATGTATCAAGTGAGGCTGCTCCTTTTTCATCATGGAAGATCAGCATAGCTGCATGTCGAGAGATATGCTCTGCACATATAAGATGGGTAACTGAAATGGTTAAATAACTTAAAATTATTTTTAAAAAGTTGTACATTCTGTTGATTAATTAAATATTAACTGTATTTAGTTTTTAAAAGAGAAATGTGTATGTAGTACCTTTGTCAGTAAAAGTTTTATTTAATTCACTGGTTTGAACGATTAGAAGTTAGCGTGCGGTGTATAATGAATTTATGTCATGCCTGAAGCAAACCGTTAATTTGGCTCACTTGCTTACCTTGCCACCACCTCCTCGTACAGCTTTAATCATTACAGGGTAGCCTATTCTCTGAGCTTGCTCCTTTAGATGTTGGTCAGACTGGTCATCGCCATGGTAACCTTCTATAATTGGTACGCCAGCAGCAGACATTATGGCCTTTGATGTGCTTGGGAAGAGGAACAATCAATATTACAATTAGCGCAACTGAGCTTTGAAATACCACCTGTTGGATGAGATTTACTATGAAAGCTGATTGAAAATATTAAAGGGACACTTAAGCATCAAAACAACTGCATCTTAATGTAATGATTTTTGGTGCATGAATGCGGTCCTTTTCTCTGGCGATGTAAAGCACTGTTGATTCTTTTTGTGTGTCTTCTTTATATCCACCAATCTATCCTTGATATATCTATCATCTCTATACTTGATGATCTCACAGTGTCAGTAGTAATTGCAGAGTGCAGTGTGTTATGGCACTGAATAAAGGTAAGTTTAAAGGGTTATTTTAAGGATCATGACCACTTCAGTGTTTTGAAGTGGTCATGGTGCTTGGAGTCTGTGCAGCCTTTTAGTTTGAAATGCTGCACATAGAGGGCTAAAGCCTAGTGCTGGGGGTATAACTCCAATTCTGACAGCATCATTACCCAGGGTTCCTGGCTACTTAATGTTAAATCTGTGCATAGCATGCTGGCAATAGACAACCAATGCTGGTAAAGTCACTCCGTCCTCATCACAGCCCTGACATTCCTTGAGAGTAAGTGAAGTCACCAGAACAGGATCAGGCTGCAGGGAGAACTTGGATTTAAAGTGGCAAAGCAGGTAAGTTTAGTTTCCTTCATTTTTTTGGGGGGGGGGAGGGGGGGAGGGTTGAGGGTAACCATGCCAATGATGATTACTTGAATATCAGCTCAATGTCACAGGGCCAAGTGTTAACTTTTTTACCTCTTTATCCCCATGTCCCGGATAGCAGATGATGGAGGCCCAATAAAAATAATACCATCTTTCTTGCACAACTCTGCAAACTCTGTGTTTTCTGACAGAAAACCATAGCCTGGATGAATAGCCTATCAGAAAAAGAAAAAAATTAGTATACATTATTTGTAACAATGTATTTTATGGTTTCAGGAAGAAAGCTTGAGGAAGTCAATAAATCAATGCATTCAAATCACATTAGATCATCAATGATACCAGGAATATAATAATAGACAGTCATAAGGTTTTAATTTTGTGTATGGAGAACTAATAGAAAAAGGAAGAAAAAAGGCACAAAGTCACAAGAAAACTAGGATGTGAAAATCTATTTATCTACTAAATGTTATGTTAAAAAAATTAGTCTCATTAATCGGTTTCCATTCTTGTCACAGGTTAGTGAATTTTACAAGTCGTGTGTTATTTTATTGCCAGGGGACATATATTATTTGAGTCTGGCGCGGGGTTATAGCTGAAAGAACAAAAACATGGAACCTCCTTGCAACAGAATCAGTGCAAGAAACACAAGATTTTAAAGTGTGGACGTATTCTTTTAAAAGGAAGCTATAACCTAAAAAATATAAAATGCTCATTTAGAAAAATGCTGCTATTGTTTGTTTTAAGTTCTGAACTACAGTATCAAAGTATTTAACCAAGAAAGGTATCTTTTGCATTAATAGCTCCGTTGTGTGCCCTTGTCTTGATGTTATTTTCATCCAACTTCTCTGAAAGTGACAGTTCCTCATTCCCAACTTCAGTAAGTACTACTGAAGTTCTAATGACAGCAGTGCAGTGTAGGCGTAAAACACACGTACCTCCGCAGCACTTTCATATAAGCTTTGGGCAAATTAATGCATTGTTCAAGACCTACAGAGAAACCAGGGCCGTCTTTAACATTGATTGGACACTGGGCAGGCATTTGTTTGGGCCCCCTGGATCCTGCCATCCCTCTAGCGCAAGAGCAGAGAAAAGATAGATCCTCATCTGTTGTACAATTCCAACGATGCTATGCCAGCTGGGGATCTACCATTTGTCCATTTTTGCAGGGCTGTATTTGTGAGCAGTGTTTGTGCATTTGAATGTGAGCATGTTGTTGTATAAAGTATGTGTGTGCATGTAGGGTGTAGTATTGGTGTTTAAGTGTAGGGATGTGTTTCCATATACTTTTTGAGTTTGAATTCAGGGGTGTGTTTGTATGTAATGTTTGCAGGGGTGTGGTTGCAGTGATGTATGAATGTCAACATTCACAGATATACATACACATTAGCACACTGATAGGCTGAACTTGATGGACGCAAGTCTCTTTTCAGCTATGTAACTGTGATACATGCACACATCTGGACACACTGACAAAGACTGGCGTATACACACACAGCCACATACATAAATACACGTGCACACACAGAGATAAAAACACTGGCACATCCACACACAGAGATACACACTTACACACACTGACACAGATATATACACAAATACATATGTATTTGTGTGCAGTGTTGGCGTAGGAATGCTGGGATGTATGCATTGTCACACAGATGCACTTTCACACAAACAGTGATACACACAGGAACACAGATACACATGCAGTGGTGTATTTGTGTGCATTGTTAATGTTGGAATGCAGGGTTGTATTTGTGTGCAATGTTAGATGGGATGTATGCTTTGCCACACGCACAGATACACACTTATACATACTGACACTCATACACACACAGGTACATATACACAGACAAGCAGGTACACATACAAACTGACACATAGGTATACATACATACAGATACACATAAACACTGACACAAAGGTACATGTACACTGACACAAACACAGCCATATAAACACACACTGACACAAATGATATACACTGACACACACAGCCAGATACACACTTACACACACACAGTCAGATACAGACACACACACACAGTCAGACACAAACACAGCCAGATACAATCACAGCCAGCCAGATACACACACACACACACACACAGTGAGATATACACACACACACAGTCGGATACACACACACACAGTCGATATACACACACACACAGTCAGATACACACACACACAGTCAGATACACACACACACAGCCAGATACACACACACACAGCCAGATACACACACACAGTCAGATACACACACAGTCAGATATACAAACATCCACCCAGATACACACACACAGATAAGCAAGCATACACACACACACACAGTCAGATATACAACACATACACACCAGCCAGATATACACACATACAGCCAGATACACACACATACAGCCAGATACACATACACAAATACAGCCAGATACACATACAGCCAGATACACACACATACAGCCAGATACACATACACACATACAGCCAGATACACACACACATACAGCCAGATACACATACACACATACAGCCAGATACACACACACATACAGCCAGATACACATACACACATACAGCCAGGTACACACACATACAGTCAGATACACATACACAGACACATAGAGCCAGATACACATACACACACACATACAGCCAGATACACATACACACATACAGCCAGATACACATACACACATACAGCCAGATACACACACATACAGCCAGATACACATACACACATACAGTCAGATATACACACATACAGCCAGATACACACACACAGCCAGATACACATACACACATACAGCCAGATACACACACACACACACATACAGCCAGATACACACACACACATACAGCCAGATACACACACACACATACAGCCAGATACACATACACACATACAGCCAGATACACATACACACATACAGCCAGATACACACACACACATACAGCCAGATACACACACACACATACAGCCAGATACACACACACATACAGCCAGATACACACACACATACAGCCAGATACACACACACATACAGCCAGATACACACACATACAGCCAGATACACACACACACAGCCAGATACACACACATACAGCCAGATACACATACACACATACAGCCAGATACACATACACACATACAGCCAGATACACATACACACATACAGTCAGATATACACACACACTGACACAAACACACAGAGTCATATGAATTCACATAGTTTAGCCACCCTCCTTACCTTTACAGAAGTGTGGCTTCCCTGTGGTCCAGTGGGAGCTGGATGGCTGAGATTGATGGGGGTCTTCTTCTTCTTGGTCTGTACTTCCTCCTGCTCTCCATGTATGCCTCCTCCTCCCCAGCGGCACTCTGTTAATTGGGAGGAAGTGACCTCACAACACTTCCTCCCAGCAGGCAGGAAGACAGGGGCCCGGTCAGGAGCTCTCTTAAAGGGCCGGGGCCCCTGATTACATCACCTGCTGCAGCCCACCGGGATATTTCTCAGTATCCCAGTGGGCTGTTCAGACCTGGCTGCGGGCAGGGGGCCCACAGGGCATCTGCTTTGGGCCCCCCAGGAGCAACTGGGCCCGGGGCAGCTGCCCTGTTTGCCCCTTGTTAAAGACGGCCCTGAGAGAAACACATGGCTAACTTCTAGTTAGCTATTGGGTTATGCAAATATCACAGAAGTGACAGGTCTGCTTTAATGGAATGTTTCTATGAGCAGAATATTTAACCAAGTGATTTTTATTTGAATACATACATATACAGATATACACACACACGCATACATATTTACACCCACATTTAGCAAACTTCACTCTGCATTTGCCTTATAATTGAACCTTGTTAAGTTTCCTGAAAATATTTTAGATTTTGCTCAAGCAACACAATTTGTTTTTAGATATAGTAAGAGAAAAAGAAGAAACGTTCAAGCTAATTTGAGTTATTGCAGTGGAAAATGCTCTATGTTTCTAACTGTATTTTCATTTGTACATTTTTGATCAATGACCATGACTTTAGTGCTGTCTATCCACTGCCCATTACAGTAGATATTCAGTCAGTCTTCAGACGTTTTAGTTTTCTTGTAACATGCTGAAAGAGTATGATTCCGGTCCCAAGCCATTGGAATATTGTGGAAGGAAGTGTAACAGAATAATCTTTTTTTAGCACAGACATTCCCCATCACTTTGTGTTACCTGAGCACCTGACCTTCTTGCCACTTGCAAGATTTTATCCATTGCAAGATAACTCTGCTGGGAAGCTGCTGGCCCAATCAGATATGCTTCATCTGCCTGTCAAAGAAACACAACACAGGTTAAAGACGTGCAAAATAAAGTTGGGATATGTGAAAGAGCATTATTTAGCCCTTATTCAAGTTGATTGGCGCTACATAAAAAGACTGTGGAAAGGAACCCAAAAATAAACCAATGGGGAAAATGGAATATTACTAAAAGACTGGATGGCCTGTAACAACACAGATCTACTACTGCTGGCAAAGCTGAAAGTATTTTATTTTAAAAGGAATGCCTCACCAAATTTTAGACATTTCTAAGTCTGATATAGTTTGAAGTGTTATATGCCACGTTTTGACAGGGTTATGCACTAAAGTGAGTAAAGTGATTTTCAAACTTTAGATCAGAGTCTCTGAACTGGATGCATAACGGTCTTAGATAATTTTTTTCTGTTTGGCTATTTTGGCCTTAAATTTGAAATCTACTTTGAATTCTTACTTTAGTGAAAAGCCCTGAGAACAATATTCTTAAGGCACTGATCTAAACTCAATACAGGGTAAGAAACTACTAAAACAGGATCACCAGTAAAACTTTGCATGGTTGGCTAATGTCAGTTTTGTGCATATTGGACTCAGCACACACAGTTTGCTGGTGACAGGCATCCAAAGGTGGCATGCTCCCCCCCATCTGTACCGCCCATGTCCTCCCCTCAGCAAGGAGAAGTAACATCAGTGGAGGTGGATCAGGCTTATAAAAGAGACCTTGACCTCAAAGCTGGAACGTACATCAGTTTTAGCTTTATTCTTTTTGTTTGAAGTGGGAGGTAGGATAGAAAGGTTGGTGTAAAACGTTAAGCTTCCCATGGACCTCTCATTAAAATTACACACAGAAAAAAAAACCAAAACATATAAATACTGTACCAGTGATACATGCATGGAATTTCTGTCTGCTTCACTGTATACTGCTACAGACTGCACACCCATCTTCTTAGCAGTGCGCATCACTCTGCACGCAATTTCCCCTCTATTTGCAATCAAGACTTTGTCGATGCATTTTCCTGTGTAACCCAAATAGAACAACAGAGCTTTAAACAAACTATTGATGTAACTGGACACAAAATAAATGCAAAGTACAGGATAAAATACATCTCATTAGAGAGGAAATAAGACATGAGATTAAGAGGTGGAAGGAAACATACTTGCTTATCAATTACGAAGGTTCAAACATAATGTTTACAAAACAGAATGTACAACTCACAGTACTTAAAAAAAAAAAAAAAAAAATCAATATTTGGATCCATTTTTTGTTTTGTTCCACCAATACATTTTCATTAGTTTACAAGACCCATGCGTGCACCCCTTTTTTCTTTAGAGATTTTATTTCATATGTACGTATACACACACACACACACACACACACACACACATATATATATGCATACAGATCCCTTTACATTTCAAGGCTCACACTACGAGCCAGGCTTTAAGAATTACTCACCACTGCAAGCTTAGAGAGTACATGGCACGCTAACCAGTAGTGCATTTCTTCCAGGGCCAAATATTCACTTGTTAATGAGCGGTGAAAATATTGAGCCATGCACACACACATATCAGGACCATTTTAAAGACACTTTAGCCAAGTAAACCTATTTCTATAGACTCATCAATCAATACATTGTGTTAACCAACTTTCTAGCAATCGCATAGACAACATAATTTGTGTTAACATTTTTTGGCTACAGCTGTGCTAGTGAATGGGCAAGTTCTGCAACTGTAATGGATCATTGATAGCATTGCATTCCAACAAGATACTTAGTGCACTAGTTTTTTCACAATGTCTAGTCACTGAGCAGTAAGAAAACTTCAGCTGAGTATATAATGAAATGTATATACTGGCACAGTATGTAGACGACATATTATTGCACGCGTGCAGATCAAGTCACCTTTAAAATTTGATATATAAACTGCATTGTTCACATACCTGCTTGGGAAGAGTACCTTAGTATTGTGGGACCACAAGACCATTTTCTGAAATATATAAAACATACAATTTAAAAAAAAACAAAAAAAAACCTAAAACGTACCATTCTTCCGAATTCATGGTTTAGCAAATTAACAACTGGAATATTTTTGTTGTGAAAAATAAAGCTTTGTAAGATTAAAAAAATACTGGCTCCCAACCTTTTTAGCTGGCTCCTAAATTTAAAGCAAATTAGTCAAGCCATGTGCTAAGCGACTATTAGCAGTCAGGAGACCGTTGTCTTTCAGCGTCATATCCAAAAGAAACAATAATAACCTACGGACGAATGATCATGCCTTCTCATGTGTATGTTCAGAAAGGGCAAAGCACACCCCACAAACAGAGTATAAATATGGCTAGCGCAGCTTCATCCATTTGGAAGGAATTGTCTGTGGTATTGTGTCAAGTAGGAAGTATGATATATCTATGGACTTGACAAAATGCAGAAAAATTAATGCAAGAATTATTTATGTGGCAAAAACAAGAGAGAAAATAAAATAAAAAAATTCTATTTAGATTGGAGTTGGTCTGAAACACAAGAGGGAAGCCTTGTGTTTCTACTCTGTTTGTGGGGTGTATGTTCCCCATTCTAAACATGCACACAGGAAGGCATGATTATTTATCTGTGGGTTATTATTAAGGTTTCTTTTGGATATGACACTGAAAGACAATGGTCTCCTGACTGCTAATGGTCACTTAGCACAGGGCTTAACAAATTTCAACAAATTGTTCCTATAGGTACACCTTCGCTCCACCACCTCTGGGCTAGCTTGGAAACTTGAGAAGGATACAGAAGGTATGAATATAATGATGTGCCAATGTCTTGTGGCTTACTAAGGGCCAAGATCTAATTTTGAGTAAGTCACCATCTTTCCTTGCCGGAGACCACCTGAATTGAAATTACAGCTACTTTACTATCAAAGTAAATATTTGGGTTTTCTGTTAAATTTTCTTTTTTATTTGTAACTGTTGTTAGTGTAAATAATTTGTATGCCTTCTGTCTTTGTATGCACGGTGTCTATTTTTTGTTTTCGTAATAACAGTTTCTTTATTATGTTCTGCCTTTGTCTGGTAAAGACTAACATTAGTGAATATAAAACACATAGATATTGTGCTAAATCTGATTTTGTGGGTTTTTAGTCTAACTTGCTTGGCACCCTATTTATAAATTGTCTTGGTGGTGGTAGCATTATATTACTATAATTACATATGTTGGTGGTAAGGGGAATTGTTATCATTACTTCCTTTCTAGTGCAGACAAATAGTCAATGTTAACCCTCTCACCGCCAGAACCAAGTCATGCGCACCCTTGGAGTAGACTGTGTATGTGACAGTTTTGGTAGAAGGTAAATTAAGGGTAAAGTAAAAGGAGAGTTTAATGCATGTTGAGTTTGATAAAATGTAATTACAAAATTAAGGATAGAATTTAATAACAAATTAGCCCCATACAACACTATTCATTTAAGTACAGGTCCATTCGGACTGCAAAATTCGGACAATGTTTAAAATATTTAACAATGTCCAGATTTTGCAAACCAGGCTCTGATTGAGTCTGAATTTGGTTCGGATTTCAGCTGGATTGAAAGTTGCCATAATCTGAAATACAGTCCCGGATTGTTAAAATACAAAGTATATGCTCACAAATAATTTAAAAAAAAACATTGGCAGTGTTAGCGTCAATCATGTGGCAGCTTGCTAGACATTCACCACATTAAATATAAGTTACATTTAAAAAATAAAATGAAATAAAAAGGCCTACGGGGTAAATTAGACCCCAATATTAGTATATGGGAAGTGTAAAGCCTACCTTATGCCCTTACTGGCAATGCTGTTGGTGGGTACAAAAGTCAGCCGCTACTCATTAAAAAAATAGAATAAAATAAAAAATAGCTACTAGGCTGCTAATGTTGCCCTGTTGCTAGGAAGGTACAATCTCATGGGAATGGGACATGAAAAATAACAAAGTGACCTGGCTTTGGGTGGGGGCTTAAAATTCAATAATAGGGGATGGATAAGTCAGTGTCCCTCCCCTATGGCCAGCTGGTGGGGATACTTTAAAAATGGGGAGGGGGGTTTCTAAAGTCCTCCCCAGTTATCATCCATGGATGGCAGATGATATCTAATAAACCGATAAATGGGTGGAAGAGGGTGTCTCATTTTACCCCGCCCCAAGTCCCAATCATGGGTGGTGGGTGGCCATTTTACTATCCATCCTTCCACCATGGGCTTCAGGTGAGGGTGTTAAATGTAATAAGGTGGAAGATGGACATACCATTGCTTCCAAAAAAATAATAGTATGGGTGGGCAATAGTGTGGGCTTAGAGGCCAACCAATCAGAGCACTCTACTGAGAATTCAAAGTGTTGGAAAACCTTTATAAAAAAATTCCCAGGCCTTGAAAACTCTGTCTGCACAGAGGCCTTGTGGGGTGCACATGGATTTATTTTTGTTGTGGGTCTGTTTTATTTTTTTGAGCATTTTTTATTTTTGCCTGGTTGTTAAATAATACCCACACCTGCAGCTCATTGGCCTTGACCCTTTTTTAATTTTATATAGAGCCCGATCAATATTGAATTTTAAGGTGGGTGGACCTGTCCAACAGTAGCTTGAGCAGCTGCTTTTGTTATAGTAGGTATGCCCCCACCCCTAGCATGGCTGATAGGGGCATTAGGGAGATTTTACAACTCTAATATGGGGTCAATATGGCATTTACAAATACTAATATGGGGGTCAATATGACATGTATTTTTTTCCACTTTTTTCAAATGAGGCAGCTAGCTAGAATGGCTAACACTCGCACTGCGGAATGTTTTCTATTTGTCCACTAGTGGCTAGCACCACCCAATGGGCAAATAGGACCTCAAATTATTGTTTTCTTGCCTAAAAGTAAGTGAATGGTAATTTGCTAAAGAGCACCCTACTGGAAGCATTCGGTTCCAATTGTGTTCAAATTCTGTGCTTTGTACGTATACTAAATACTGTACATTGAGTGGTGTTTGGATGCGAAAAGCACTGATTTTAGTCGATGAGTGCGCCTGTCCAGATGTTGCGGATTGGGTCTGGTTGACCGTATTCCAGCTGTAATTACCTTTAATAAGTAGTTATGGTAAATAGGAAGTCTCCATTGTCAGTGTTTAGTGAATAACCCTGTAAATTTTCCATTCTCATGTCACAATTCAGTGTGTTGCTTGATATATATATTTTTTTCATTCACTCTGAACTCCTGACAATTCAGATATTTTAGTAAATAACCCTAAAAGAGAGGACAGTGACAGCCAGGACTTATTGATTGATCTGGCTGGCTGAGCATGATAGGCAGTGCCACAGGCCAGCCTGGATGTTACAGGTGCAATGCATGTCATCCCAAGATACCCACCGAGGCTGGCAGAGGACGGATAGACCTGGGCAGCTTCTCCCCCTCAGTAGCACCAAGGTGGCGGCCATCTTCACGTCTCCTTGACAGCTTGGTGTTGTCCCCTTCCTAAAAAAAATTTAAAAAAATCCGAGCTGAGATTTCCTGGCGGAAGCCTCTCGTCAAATAAGGATTAGTAAAACATGCTGAAACCCCAACTTTATTCTATCTTTTCTTGTAAAACCATACAGAGGCGATAATATAAGCTGAAGAATTATGGCAGCTCCGAGCTTCCGTAAAGAGACTCAAAACATTAGAGAACCAATAGGCTGCGAGAGGCGAGCCGCTTCCAGCCAATCACGTCGAGGGGGCGGTCCGACTCCCTGTGCCCTTCGGAGTGTAGCCATCGGCATTCCCGAGGAAATGGATAAAAGGAAGAGCAGCCAATCAAATGAGAGAGCTGCATCCAATCAGAAAGACAGAGACGGGAGCCAATCACGGCTGTAGATCAGAGCAGCATGTGTATGTGTGTGTGTGTGTGTGTTTGGTGTGTGTCTTCCATCTTGTGGATGGCACATTATAATATGGTATATACTTCATACAGTAAAAGCCATTAATTGGCAAAGTGGGTTTATTCACTGACCTTCCAATTTGTCAGGAATTGAACATATTTATTAACTAAATTGATTTGTTGTGAATTAGTTACAGCTTGGTTATTGTAACCTCAATTTGGCAGTTCAGGTTTTTATTTGGTGAATTTAAGTAGTATTTGAAACTGTCTATCTGTGTGTGTTCACTATTACATGATTCATACCCATGTTCATAAGTGCTCTCACATATTTATTCCAGTTCTGGGAAGAATACATACATACATTACAAAAGAATAAATTTGTCACAAATTTGTCACTTGTCACAAATTCAAAGTGGATTTCAAACTTAATTCCAAAATAAATGAGTAGTAAAAATAAATGTCAAAGTCAAAGCTATGGGTTGACTTAACATTTTAAATTCACTTTGACATCTTAAAGGTTCACATTTTAGTGAATAACCCTGCAAATTGTAGCTGTGATCGAAAAGAGAAAAAGTAATTATTTGATTTTGCTAAAACATGACGTAAAAGCATGATTTTATTAAAGACACGGAGGCCGAGAATTATGCTTTCTCTTTAATAGTTAGACGTAGCAGTGAAGAGAGTTAACAGATTAATTAAAGATTAATTGAAACAGATTTAAAAATTGCATCAGCTGACATAAAACAGTTAGCCAATCAGGTTACAAAGTAGCTGATAAATACTGCCGACAACGTTCCAAAGTCCTCTTTGTTTGCAAAAAAAAAAAAAAAAACTATCCAACAAAATAGAACTAATCCAACAGAAGGTGCATAAATTGAGTGAAGAAAATAATGAGAAATTGAATACAATAAAGAGTGTTGAAATCCCTGAAGTGTTTCATATGTCCATGAAGCATTACACTGCAGAAATAATCAAACTTAATTAGTAAATTTATATTAACTATTAAGTAGCAACTCATTTATGAAATGAACTTAATATATACAGGGGCGGGGCCTGACTATCATGGACGTGAGACTTCGCTTTTTTGAGCTCCTCACTAATCTTGATAACTACAGCTTGTTTCAGCCTCACTCAACTCGAATTGAGAGAAATACAACAACCTGCCAGACCCTCGATATACATGGCACTCTGTGCAGTAGTCCACAACTCGACAAGTGACCACTTGCTACATACCTGAGAGCATGCAGCCTGGTGATACCTGAGAGCATGCAGCCTGGTGATACCTGAGAGCATGCGGCCTGGTGATACCTGAGAGCATGCGGCCTGGTGATACCTGAGAGCATGCAGCCTGGTGTGCACCGGATGGGAGAGGCGGCTGCTCTCCCAGTCCAGGGATGCTATGCACACATCTGCATCAAGCAGGTGCCCCATTACCCCCTGTCCTGGACCGAAGGGGGAGGTTGTGTGATCCCGGTCCACTCTGGGTGGAAATCCTGATTTAAGAGGAACACAAGGTGAATCCTTGCAGGCTGCTGGAATACCTGGCGACCGTCGCAAGATGGTGGACGGCACGTGGATTCCTGGCATCTGCTAGGACAGGGGTTCTCAATGTTAGTCCTCAGGACCCCCTACCAGTCCAGGGTTTAGGGATTACCTGGGTGTGTCTAAAGTGTTTTTTTCCCTTTTTCTAAACACCTGAGACACACCCAGGTAATCCCCAAATCCTGGACTGGTAGGGGGTCCTGAGGACTGGGTTTAGAACCCCTGTGCTAGGACTAGGCTGCTAACAATGTATCAACTTTGTTAGATGATGAGTTATCGACTTCTCCAGGTGTAACGGACATTTATAAGCTTGTGGGGGTATTACTACTCACGTAGTTAGGCAAACTGGAATAATAGTAATCAAGATGGTGAAAAATAAGGTTTTCTGACAGATATAACTGTCAAAAATAATTTTTATGGTAATAATTATAATAGCAGGAGCGCCAAAAAAAATTGACTAAACCTCACTTCAATGCAAATCCTTAGAGCGCAGAGTTGCAAAGCAACACATGCGGGCATACTACAGAAACTGGTCTGAATGCTCAGCTGTCAAAAGTGAATATGCAAATGGGGAATTTTAGTCGAATGGCCCCAAAAACTGTGAAATTAGCCGAATTTGCACTGTGCCGGGTTGTAAAAACCGCTGATAGGAAAGTCAGGAAGGAAATCGCCTGGCACAAAACACAGAAATGTGAGAAAAACATTACAAAAGAATAAATTATAAAACCAAGTACAGTAAATGAACAAATAAAAGGATAAAATAAATAAATTAACGACAAAGTTAAATAAGAATCACAATGTAATCAAATACAAAGATCACCATAGGAAAATAAGCAATATTCAATTCAAACGTTTATAAACCAGAAATAAATTCAGTTTTATATATATATACAGGGAGTGCAGAATTATTAGGCAAGTTGTATTTTTGAGGATTAATTTTATTATTGAACAACAACCATGTTCTCAATGAACCCAAAAAACTCATTAATATCAAAGCTGAATATTTTTGGAAGTAGTTTTTAGTTTGTTTTTAGTTATAGCTATGTTAGGGGGATATCTGTGTGTGCAGGTGACTATTACTGTGCATAATTATTAGGCAACTTAACAAAAAACAAATATATACCCATTTCAATTATTTATTATTACCAGTGAAACCAATATAACATCTCAACATTCACAAATATACATTTCTGACATTCAAAAACAAAACAAAAACAAATCAGTGACCAATATAGCCACCTTTCTTTGCAAGGACACTCAAAAGCCTGCCATCCATGGATTCTGTCAGTGTTTTGATCTGTTCACCATCAACATTGCGTGCAGCAGCAACCACAGCCTCCCAGACACTGTTCAGAGAGGTGTACTGTTTTCCCTCCTTGTAAATCTCACATTTGATGATGGACCACAGGTTCTCAATGGGGTTCAGATCAGGTGAACAAGGAGGCCATGTCATTAGATTTTCTTCTTTATACCCTTTCTTGCCAGCCACGCTGTGGAGTACTTGGACGCGTGTGATGGAGCATTGTCCTGCATGAAAATCATGTTTTTCTTGAAGGATGCAGACTTCTTCCTGTACCACTGCTTGAAGAAGGTGTCTTCCAGGAACTGGCAGTAGGACTGGGAGTTGAGCTTGACTCCATCCTCAACCCGAAAAGGCCCCACAAGCTCATCTTTGATGATACCAGCCCAAACCAGTACTCCACCTCCACCTTGCTGGCGTCTGAGTCGGACTGGAGCTCTCTGCCCTTTACCAATCCAGCCACGGGCCCATCCATCTGGCCCATCAAGACTCACTCTCATTTCATCAGTCCATAAAACCTTAGAAAAATCAGTCTTGAGATATTTCTTGGCCCAGTCTTGACGTTTCAGCTTGTGTGTCTTGTTCAGTGGTGGTCGTCTTTCAGCCTTTCTTACCTTGGCCATGTCTCTGAGTATTGCACACCTTGTGCTTTTGGGCACTCCAGTGATGTTGCAGCTCTGAAATATGGCCAAACTGGTGGCAAGTGGCATCGTGGCAGCTGCACGCTTGACTTTTCTCAGTTCATGGGCAGTTATTTTGCGCCTTGGTTTTTCCACACGCTTCTTGCGACCCTGTTGACTATTTTGAATGAAACGCTTGATTGTTCGATGATCACGCTTCAGAAGCTTTGCAATTTTAAGAGTGCTGCATCCCTCTGCAAGATATCTCACTATTTTTGACTTTTCTGAGCCTGTCAAGTCCTTCTTTTGACCCATTTTGCCAAAGGAAAGGAAGTTGCCTAATAATTATGCACACCTGATATAGGGTGTTGATGTCATTAGACCACACCCCTTCTCATTACAGAGATGCACATCACCTAATATGCTTAATTGGTAGTAGGCTTTCGAGCCTATACAGCTTGGAGTAAGACAACATGCATAAAGAGGATGATGTGGTCAAAATACTCATTTGCCTAATAATTCTGCACTCCCTGTATATATATATATATATATATATATATATATATATATATATATATATAGATAGATAGATAGATAAATAGCGAGGGCTTGCACTCCTGGTGTCCTGATGAAAGCTCAATGTGGGAGCTGAAACGTTGACTTTTTAAATGGATTGAATAAAAATTACATTTTATTTGAAAATCTCTATAAAGTCCTTGGCGTTTGGTCATTTTTGCTATGTCTATATACAGGGCCGGCCTTAGGGGTGTGCGAGCTGTGCGGCCGCACAGGGCGCCATGGCAACAGGGGCGCCGGGCGGCCAACACAGCTCGCAGGCCGGCCGAGTTCTGTATTTAAAGTGCAAGTCAAGTGCATAATACTAGTTTGCACTTGACTTGCAAATTATGAGCAGAGAGCCGCCGCCGGGAATCCACTTCTGTATGGAGGGTGGAGGAGGAGCGTGGGGGCGTTATGCCGCGTACTTGCGTAACGTCGACGTGCTCTGTCATCAGAGGGAGCCGCGGAAGGATCCAATTCAGTGAGTGAAGGCGGCACCCGGTGCTCTTCAATCGGCGGAGACAGCTCAGTCCAGGGAGCAGCAGCCTTTACTGTGAGTGACTTTTTTTTTCTTTTTTATTAAATAGGTTTTGTTGAAGAGGTGCAGGAATTTAATTAAGGGGGGCAGGGGATTGATGAAGGGGTGGCATGGATTGCATTAATTGGCAGGGGATTTATTAAGGGGGCTGATAAAGGGTGGCAGGAAACTGAAAAGGGGGCATGGGGCTGATTAAAGGGGGCAGGTGGTTGATAAAGGAGTGGGAGGGGATTGATGAGGAGATCAGGGGGCTGATGAAATGGGGGCAGATGGCTGATAAATAGGTGGGAGGGAATTGATGAGGGGGCAGGGGACTGATGAAGGGGTGGCCAGGGGTTGGATTATTTGGCATGGGATGTATTAAGGGGGCTGATGAAGGGGAGCAGGGGGTTGAAAAGGGGGCATGGGACTGATTAAAGGGGGGCAGGTGGGTGATAGGGGTGGGAGGGTACTGATGAGGGGGTCAGGGGGCTGATAAAAGGGGGAGGGGATTGGTAAGGGGGTCAGGGTACTGATGAATGGGGCAGAGGGCTGTTAAAGGGGTGGGAGGGGATTGATTAGGGGGTCAGGCGGCTGATGAATAGGGGCAGAGGGCTGAGTAAAGGGTGGGAGGGAATTGATGAGAGGGGCAGGGGACTGATGAAGGGGTGGCAGGAATTGATAAAGGGGTGGGAGGGGATTGATGAAGGGTAAGGGGTGGCTAGGAGTTTGACGAAGGGATGGCCAGGGCATTGATGAAGGGGAAGGGGTGGCCAGGAGTTTGATGAAGTGGTGGCCAGGGGCTTGGTGAAGATCTGGCCAGGGATTTTGGTTAAGAGGTGCAGTGGTTTTGTAGAAGGGGGTGGAGGCAACAGATTGTGAATGCTCCTAAAATAGTTTGAAGGGGTCCAAACAGAGACAGGTGAGGGGGGGGGGGGGCGCCACAAGATTGTTTCGCACAGGGCGCCTGAACACCTAAGGCCGGCCCTGTCTATATATATATATATATATATATATAAAAAACCGAATTTATATATATGTAGCTAATACTTTATATATATATATGTAGCTAATACTCATCTGTTCCTGTTGCAGTGCAGCAAAGACAGAGGACTTTAGAATGTTATCTGCAGTATTTATAAGCTACCTTGTAACCTTGTTATTGGCTAACAGTTTTTAAATCTTTTTCCGTCCACCTGTTAATTCTCTTTGCTGCTATATCTACGTAAAGAAAAAGAAATGCATAATACTCGCCTTTAATAAAATCCCGCATTTTATCCACATTACTACTGAGCTGTAGTTGTACATATATACAATTATAGCTCCACTTCCTTCATCAAATACATGTATTTCAGGGGTTTTTACTTCACACCCTCTGTATTCTCACTTGACTTGGTTCTCTATGTAATGTTTCAGAGTACATACATTAGTCATATATGATTATTGTCTGCTAAAAAAACATCTGGCCTAAAGCATTCTGTATATTTTTCTGGTGATTGAAAACATCAATTAAATCAATGACTTGAGTGGATTTAGTACTTTTCATCTTCTACAGTTGACTTGGGACTTTGTGTCCTTTTGATAGCTTCTGGGTGTGTGATGTCCTGGGTTTATGTATGATGCGTCCACCTTATAGATGTTGAATGGGAATTGAGTCTTAAAGAGTTATTCCCTAAAGTCAGAACTCAAAGTAAGTTTAAACTTTAAGGCCAGAGTAGGGGAATTGACAGCATAGCTGACTTTTCCAGTTCAGCTATTTCGCCCTTGAATGTGAAATTCACTTTTAATTCACCTTGAATTCGAACTTTAGTGAGTAACCCTGTTAGACTGTTATCAATAGACTGTAGTTTGGCACCATACATGTGTAGTTTTGCTAAATAGAACAAAATGCTATAATGCAGTACCACCAGCAGGTGGCATATTTATACATGATATACATTTTTGAGTAGAAGTCCGCTTCGGTTTAACCACTATCTTTTTATTGAGGGTGCTGGAATTTTGCTCATAATTCAGTTAAAGTAGAAAACAACTGATTTTAAAGGGACACTAGCATTAGGAATACATATCTGAATTCCTGGAACTACAATCTTAATGTCCCTTGTTAGTTTCTCATCATCTCTCCATCGCCAAGTCCACAGTCTCCACTTCGCTTGATGTCATTCTGGAGGCATGCCAGTCCGATGTTCCTCCTCCAGTAGGCCCATGTGTGGCGCTTGCCTTGATGCATCTATGGTTTTGCCGTAGAGAATCATTGCATTGAGTGATTCTCGATTGCAGACCGTGAGTGTGAAGTCACAGTATGCTAGGGTATGAGACCTTGGAGATGTGACTTGAAGCCAAGCCTTCTAATTAGTAAAATAAAGTCATTTGGGGCCACTAAGGAGGGGTTACTAACTATTGTAGGCACTTTAACAAATTAAATTAGATAAAGTTGTTTAGTACAGTGTTCTTTCAAGGAACACTTCATACTCTTAAAGCAGTTACGCTAACAGTCAGGAGGACTTCATGATTCATTCCTCCTGAACAATCATTCAAGCAGAAGTGAGAGCTTCCACAAGGAAGCATTAGTCACATGTCTTCCTACAGAAAGCATTCTATGGGCACACGCCACTTTCAGCCAGAGTTGAAGTGAGACTGTTGTCACTGACAGTCACCTGGTAACAGAGCAGAGGAGTGGTGAAAGAGGACTTGTCGGTGGAGAAAATGGTTTCAAAATCTTTATGTGGGGGAGGGAGTGTATCTGGCATCTAGAGGAAAGAAACACTCCAAAACTGACTATCAGTTTTCAACATTGGAGTGCTTACCTAAGCACAGCAGTAGATATACTGCATTCATTTTATTAAAAAATGCCATGCTCAGTATAAATAGACATATCAACTAAACAGGATACTAGAGTAAGTTGAGAACAGAGGATTTCCAGTAATAACCATGTTGGCTGCCATACATATCAAAGTATCTTGATATTTCCAGTTATCTGAAGACATTGTGACACACATGTCATACCTTTACACCTGTGCATTTTACAAATTTGTATTTTACTGGCATACAGGAGCTGTGGGTTGAGACGTCACAGAACTGTTCTACTTCTACTTAGAAGCACCTGGATGTGTGTCGGGATGTCTTTTAGAGGAGCACTGGAGGACTGAGGAAGCAGACAGGTAGTGTGTGGGGACTTTAATATAATATAAATATGAGCAGAGTACAGACACACAAACTCATTGGCACAAAGACATCACACAGGGGTCTAGTCACTAAGCACCAATGTTTGCATTTGGCTCAATTCTCCTGCATTTAGTTTTTAGAATTCCTCTGTTGTTCACTATATTCACTAAGAACTGAATGGTAACCAAATTGAGGTGAATAGACCCCTGCGGTAGTCAAATGGATATATTGGCTGGATAGAGCAGTAGTAAGAGGTCACTAATATTGGAGTCAGGTTTGGGGGCAGAATTTATGGTGACATATCCTTATAGTGTTAAAGTAAAACCATAATCACTAAACCAGCTTCATCTAATTTCCCCCAAAACATATTATGTTAATAGTTAAGAGACTTAGAAGCGCGACTTAAAGCCATGCCTCCAAGCCCCCCAGGATAGGAGATCTGTGAATGAAAGTTCCTAGCTCTCATACCCACATATCGTCTGCACACTGCAACGACACCTGCTGTCATGGCTTGTCAAGAGAATTATTACCTACAAGGATTCTCTATGGAAGAACCGATGGCGGATCGCGGCAAACTCCTCTATAAAGAGCAATTATTTAGACTGTCATCTTGGAGGCACGCCTCCAGGATGACATCACGCCGGGAGAAGCAGGTGGCAGTGTCGAAGCAGACTGTGGAGAAAGGATAAGTATATCTTTTTTTAAAAAATTAGGGATTATTCTAGTTTTAGTGACCGAATAATCTAAATTTTATTAACGACAGGAGGCAAATATTTGCTTACCTTTCTTTACTGGGAGGTTCTGTAAAGAAGGTTAAAACAAATATGAAGCCTCCTCTCTTGCCATAAAATTGCCTCGAAAATGCAATGTTCTAGCTATAATGCCTTAGTCATACACTTTCACACCAGTGGAGTCTTATCCATAGGGGCGTTTTAATTATTAGTACTGCAGTGACCCTCCCACCAGATATTTGGTTCTTTGCCCCAAAATCTGAACAAATCCTATAGGAAATTGTATGAGTCATGGTCATTAGCTGTTTGGAAGCCTCCTATTGTTTCCCAATGCCTTTTTTTTAGGCGGCAAATATGCCACCCTAACATATAGACCTGCTACTGACCTGTCATTAGGGCTATCATAGGCCACTGGTACCAGGGGGTGGAGCTTTAGCAGCTGTGAGGATAATTGCCATGAGGATTGGATGCCTGTAATCTCTCGCTCCCTCCCAGGTCTGGATTCGCCAGCCCCAAGTCCACAAATGTAAGGGAGGTAAGGAAGAGACATGGACTGGCTGGAAAGATCAGAGTTCCGTGAAGTGTGCACTTCACTACAGCATAGCCGAGCTGGATGTGAAGGCTTGCTCCACTGCAGACTCTGCATGATGAATGAAAGGCAGAGTTATATTTTCTCCATTTCAATCCCCACACAGAGCACAGCTGAGCAGAGCTTCTTTTACTTTATTTTATTTATTTTTTAAACTTAATTTTTCATTTACTTAACTAATATTATTAATATATTAATATTTTTCCACAATTCCTATAGTGTTAGGACTACAGCTTTGTATTCCTAACACCAGGGCCGGTGCTTCCTATAGACGACTTAGGCAGTCGCATCCGTTTCCTGTACCCGGCTGGACTGACAGGAAGTGCTCACTCAGTGAGCACTTCCTTTCAGTCCGGCCAGGTACAGGAAAAAGCAGCTCCTGTACCGCGGACCCTATAGAGAGGTAAGAGGACCACTTGGGGAAGGAGGGGTGGGAGGGAGGGAGGAGAGAGAGGGAAGGAGAGGGGCTCGGGATGGAGACACACAAAGGGGCTGGAGGGAGTAAGACACACAAAAAAGTTGGGAGGATGTAGGAGACATACAAAGAGGGGGGATAAGAGACAAACAATGGGCTTTCAAGAGATACACTAAAGGGGGATGTAAGACTCAAAACAAAAACAAAAAAATTATATTTTTTTCTGCTCCCCTCTCCCTATCCCACCCCACAAACTCTCTTTCACAATACACACACACACATAGAATGCATCCCTACACACACACAAACACACCATGCTTCCTTGACACAGAGAAACACACAATGCATCCATTGCACGCATACACAGAAACACACAATGCATCCCTTACACACACACACACACACACACTGTATCCCTTACACACAGAAACACACAATGCATCCCTTACACACACACACAGAAACACACACTGCTTCTCTTGCACACACTCAATTCACCCCTTAGAGACAATTAATGCAGCCCTTACAGACACACACACTGCATCCCTTACATACACATAAACACACCTTGCATTCGTTACACATACAAACACAGATTCACACAATGCATCCCTTACACACAAACAAACACTGCTTTCTATCCTTTACACAAAAACACACTGCATCCACTACACACACACACTGCATTGCCTACACAAACTGGTATCCCTATACATTCCATAAGCACACACATTAGATCCTCTATGAGTGGGCCTTATGGGCATACTCACCGTCAGGCCGTGGGGGCCCAGAACTTGAGCTGTATAAAGGGCCCCAAAAAATTGAGCTGCTTCCCGTTCCCCCAGAACATTGATTTTTGTGACCACAGTTGCAACCAGCCTCCAGAGATCCTGACTGCAACCAGAGGACATCACTATCCTCCTCTTGTTGTAAGTAGGCAATCTAGTATATTATTCGTGGCACTAATCTCTAATTTACCTCACATTAAAGGGACACTATAGTCCGCAGAACCACTGCAGCTTAATGAAGTGGTTCTGATGTCTATAGTCTGTCCCTGCAGGCCTTTTAATGTAAACACACACTGTGTGCAGCACTGGCATTGGTTCATATGGGTGGGGCATTGTGATGTCACACGGTGGGCAGCGCATATGGGGGGGCAAATTATTATTTTGCCTAGGGTGGCAAAAATCCTTGCACCGGCCCTACCTAACACTATAGTGTAACTTTAAGAAAAACAACATACAAATACATAATCCGCCAACCCACTTAAACCTGCCACTCTAGGTCTATTTGGTCTAGCAGTAAATACGTCACTCACTTAGAGTGTCCCTTTTAGCAGGAACTGTATGCTAGGCAAATGATTATCATTGTAAACTGATCAATAGTCAGGATAGCTGATCAACATAATGTTAAAAAAAAAAGAAATGTAAAAAATAAATAAAATTAAAATTAAAGAAGTCTCTCTTCTTTTCACCTGCTTGCCCAGTAAAAGGATTGGCAAATGTAGCAACATAAATAACATACACAGATTATTTTGTGCAAACTGGTTATTCGCTAAAATCTAAAACATACACTACACCTGAAAATCAATTAAACAGATGCTTCAATCCTTCACAACAGGTGTATTTATTTAAAAAAATACAAACAATGAATACAGTATTTTAACAGTCTTTGCACGCCCCAAATTATTACACAGAGTCAGAAATCTCCAAGTCAAAATTAGAAGTGAAATTGTAACTTTTGTCATGTGCTCGGCTCTTTTTCTACGATCTGTGACCCCTGTTACACTGAGGCTTCATCCTGAACTGTTGTAAACAATCATTATTCTAAATAAAAATGTAAGCTGGTTTACTGGCATATGATGAAAACCCATGCTGATATCAGGACTCCTGTAATCATACCACATGATTTTAGTCACACTTTATAGTCACATCTATATTTCACAAACTCATACAGAAAGAAAATCAAAAGCCTATTAACAATAAAACAACAGATGGTAAAACAACTGATCAAATATTAAAAAGCACCAGATTTTTAATTTGATTTCTTTTTTTCAACTAATAGTCAGAGAAAAGTGAAACCCAAGTTTAGAAACTGATATATTTTCATATAAATGGTTTATCTAACTTTTCTTGAAGCTAATATTTATTCTTACATTTTAAAAAGTTTAAACATACCTTTTTGACACTAACCCCACCCCTCTGACGATTTCAGATTTAAGTATATGAACTATATTGTTTTTATTTAGAGACATTCATGTTGATATTTGGTGTTTTCCATTTTCAAATATATAATGGGAAACTGAAATGACAACTTTGTTCATCTATCGGTTATATCAAACTGTGATTCCTAACATAAGGTGTGAAACCACTGCTTTCTTTAGTATATGTTTCAGTGATAAGTAGTTATTAGTTTTAATGCATGCTAATTATCTGGAAGGGCTGCATCCCTTAATGAATATAAATAGACTACTCACTTAGATGTTTTGTACTACATTTCCCATAATGCTCTCACAACCATAATGCTGGCAAAGCATCAAGAGAGATGTAGTCCATAACCTCTGGAGTAAAGAAGGTTGCTTACACCTTCCTTAGACCTTAGACTACTCTCATCCTCATCCTTTGTGCAATAGGGTGAAGGAGAAATAACCTGCCATATCTACCAAGTTTGGGAGGTCCAGAATTTGTATCGGGGCGCCATCACAATGGCACAGTTGAGTGACACCCAAAGTAGTCGAATCGAAAGTAATCAAAAAAGGGCAAGTCACCCAAAGTAATCGTAAAAGGGGTAAGTCAATCTGAGTGACACCCAAGTAGTGGATCTGGTCGAAAAAGGGGCAAGTCCGTCTGGCATGAGTTTTTGTTTACATTATCTGTACAGTTCCATCCAAATTTGGACAATTTTCATAAGAAACCCCTTGTCTCCACATTCTATCATTGCGGAAAGCCTCGATTTTTATCCCATTGCTTTAAACTGGCCTGGCAAAAACTGGAGGGTCTTCACCCTAAAAGACTTCTTTTGCCATTAAAGTGCTATATGTTGATTTTTCTGGCATAAATGTAGAATCAATTGAATAATCTGCACATAAAAACAGGATAGTTCATATTTCAGCAGATACCACACAGAATGATATATTTTAGAGTACACTTAGCTGTAAAACTGAACTTTACAAATCAGTATAATGGAAGCTGTGAAAAATAAAGCTGCAAATAGATGTTTAATGTTTGATCCAGTGGATTATATTTACAGATCTATTATTTTGGCACATAAACAAGGAAAACTTAAACGGGCATACTGCAAAATTTTAGGTGACCTGCTAATAATAATTGATGCAAATAAAATGTAATTTAGAATAAGAACAATTTATATTTTTACACAGACTGATTCCTAAACACGTTTCTTGTAGTTTAAAGACTGCAATACATAATACTGGGAATATTATTGCCGTGGTGCTTTTACACACTTAGACACATTAAAATATGGAGCTCCTTGAAAATGAGGACATTAGTTTAGAAAAGAGAGACAGAGGGATTTGGGCATAAAATAGGGGCTCACCCTCCTAAATAGGGACAGTTAAGTGGTATTCATTACTGTGATGTACTGTTTATAGATGGATTTAATCTTAAATATTTTCATTTTGTAGACAATAAATAGTGGTTAGTCGACAAGCAAATATCAAAATTTACACCACAATAGCCAAACTAGAAAAACGTCAACAGCACAATTGAGCCGAAAAGTTCTGTTTCAAAACTCTGATATTTAGGCATAACATTCCTTGACTGGCTGTTAACTCATCAAAACACTCTTGAGGCTCCATGGTTTATATGTGCTGCTGATTTGCAATTTGGAGATGTGTTTGATAATTTGCCTTGTATTGAGCTAGCTCTGATTTCACTGTGAGCAATGGGGGTACTGTGGGGTCCATTTTGTAAGAGCATGGCCAATTGTTTGTTAGGATTGTATTTACACCTGGACACTTACTCTGATATGAGAGATGTTACTGGCAAATAGCAGATGGAATGGGTGTGGGCTATATAGATTTTTTTCAAAAGCTACTATTTAGTCATGACCACTTCCCTTGTCCACAATAAAATGCATGTTTTAAATTGAAAGAAAGATACTACAGAACCATGATAGGACCAACAAGGTGTGTGCCAACCCTACTGAGTGCAAGTTAAAGCTCTTACAGAAAAAAAACAAAAGACCCCTGAGTACTACATTGCATTGTTTTATTATATTATTTTAAGACCCCCTGAGTACTACATTGCATTGCTTTAATATATTATTTTAAGGCCCCCGAGTACTCCATTGCATTGCTTTAATATATTATTTTAAGACCCCCCGAGTACTACATTGCATTGCTTTAATACACAATAATGTGTTACTGGCTTTAATAAATTCTCAGTTTTTAAACATTTTATGCAGTTTGCTCTATTGGTTTTACCATTCTTCTTTTTTTTTGCCATAGACCAAGCCAAACACAGGGACCAGCACCATAGTACTTTAAAGCACATAATCTGTCTCTTAATGCGGATAATATTACTGGTTTGTGATTATTTAATACTTATGAACCAGATTCTCCTATTTAGCATTTGCAGGATTATATGCATATTCTGCTAAATTTTATACACATTGTGAAATTCCCTTTTTTAATATTACTGGCAACTTTTCTGAGAAAAAAGAAAAGAAAATTAAATGTTTGTATGTTTATGCATTCAAGTTTTCAAAACTGAAGAAATTATTATATTGTTCAAATACAGTATGCATTTTTAGTTACCCAGTTTATTCAATATTTGCCTGGTTTAGTGCAGAAAGTGTTAAATGTTTTTAAAGTTATCTTTAAAAGGATTAGTTTCATTTCCTTAAACATTTAAATATTGAGAAATCTACATTTCTTTCCATTTGCATGGTTTCCTTACTAAGTTATTAAATGAGGACACTTTTGAGTTGTATGCTAAATTTTCTATGTGAAACTGTGCATTGTTTAACTTGAAAATTGTGTCTTTGGCTGGCTAGATTCTTTCATATCCAGAGGATTTCTTCTTATGCCAGATCAGATAGATAATTAAAATAATAATAATAATGACTAGTACTGTTACACCAACGGCTATACCAATGATGTTGCGGTCATATGAGCATGATGTCACTGTAAAGAAAAAGAAAAAAAAGTAATTATGAGAACAATTTATTTTTATTTTGCTAATTTTTTTCTACATTATTTTTGTTCTCAATTAAAATCTGTGAATAACACAGAGCATTTGGAGGTCGTGCACTAAACGTGGAAATTGTTTAAAATTCACTGGGAAATTGCAATTTCAACAAAAGACTAGCAGGACTGCAACATTCTCCAACTTAGATTTTTTCTAAATTGCCTATTTCAGACAATAATTTGTCTCCACAGATCCCAAATTAACAGATAAACCACCGTGTGTTTACTTAGATGTTTTTACAATAGGCGTGCTACCCAGAAAAACACATACATGCCTATTCATATTGCCAGAAATCAGAACATTTTAGACCAATAATGGGCATTTTAGAAAAAAACTCCATATTTTCAGTTTATTTTGGTCTTGTTTAACACATTTTTGTTTATTCCAGAGAATCGTGTATGTGAATGTAATGCTTATCTGCAAACACATATAGAACTCAATGAAAAACTATGCCTATCTAACATAACTAAATAACTTACTACAATGAGGAATGGTGAATTACAGCAGTGAACAGTGCTATTGGTGACACTTGTCATAAAATTCTAAGCCAACAACTAACTAGTGTTCTAGTGATATACAGATTTGATAAAATTTCTGCAAGTGCAATATACAGATATTTTAAAAGTATTATTTATGTACAGTTTAACAAAGTTAATAACATTATACAACACTAGGAATTACAGCACTATTTTACTTTTTAAATTGTAGACATGTGGATTCTGACATCAAGGCAAGTCCAGGTTTTGTCAGTATCTGCATTGTAACAGAATTGGGAAATTCCTAAATGCAGGATTGTTGGTGAGCCCTGAGGACTGTATTGAAAACTGCTGGTGTATGCCATCATTGTAAACATCATCCCTAACAGTGAAAACATGTAAACAAACTGTGTTTGATATAAACATATAAGATAATACTAATACATCAGGGATGCCAAAAAGATATATCTTTGGACTACATATATAGAATACCATGGTACTGGCCAACATCAACAACATACAAACATTGTAGATGATTTGGAACAGAATACAAAGAGATCTTGTCCCCTGTTTACCTCCTTAAAAGGTAATAAAACTTACCATATCTCCAGCGCCGCCGATCCGCCTCCTTTTTAGCCAATCCAATGCTTTCACATTGGGAAATGAAAAATGAAGAGCGGGGCCAAACGGCGGCTTGGCCAATCAGCACCTCCTCATAGAAATGCATTAAATCAATGTATCTCTCTGAAGAAAATTGAACGTCTCCATGCGGAGCGTGGAAATGCCGAACGGCAGTGCTGCACACTGTGCAGAACTGCCCCAGGATGCACCTCTAGTAGCCATTTAAGAAGTGGCCACTGGAGGTGTCCCTAGCAGGCAATGTGAACACTGCCGTTTCTCTGAAAAGGCAGTGTTTGCATGAAAATGCTAGAAGGTAATAATTATACTCACCCAAACAAATACATTAAGCTGTAGTTTTTCTGGTGACTATAGTGTCGCTTTAAGATGCATTGACATGGCTAGGCATAGGACAGATAATAACCTAAGTACATTTCTGCCCTTTTAGCATGCAGAAAAATTGACTTACTGGTACCAAAAAAAATATGCAAACAGCTAAAAAATATTAGACTCCTTAACATGCACATTCCCATGTTTGTTGTAGTGGTTAAATGATATTGTGGTGAAATTATCTTGATTCAGGTGCCATGGCTTATTATCTAATCATTTGAGTATGGATTGGAGTATACGTTTGGATAAGTAATTAGAGTAGATGGCCGATCAATAATATACAAATAATGAGATGAGAACAGATAAGGGGATAACCCTAGGGAGATTAATAACACAAAAAGAGAGAATCTGTTTTAATATAGTAGCAAAAAATAAAAATAAATATAAGTTAAAAATCTCTAAGAAACTATATTATGTACTCAAAAACAATGAACAAACATAAAGTACAATTACCACACAATAAGTGGTATAGTGTGGTAGTGTGCTAGAATAAACTAGGTAGGTAAGAGTGAGGGTAGTATACTGTAGGATAGGGGAGGAAAACAACGAATAAATTCAGGTGGAGTGAAACATAGAAACATAGAATGTGACGGCAGATAAGAACCATTCGGCCCATCTAGTCTGCCCAATTTTCTAAATACTTTCATTAGTCCCTGGCCTTATCTTATAGTTAGGATAGCCTTATGCCTATCCCACGCATGCTTAAACTCCTTTACTCTGTTAACCTCTACCACTTCAGCTGGAAGGCTATTCCATGCATCCACTACCCTCTCAGTAAAGTAATACCTACTGATATTATTTTTAAACCTTTGTCCCTCTAATTTAAGACTATGTCCTCTTGTTCTGGTAGTTTTTCTTCTTTTAAATATAGTCTCCTCCTTTACTGTGTTGATTCCCTTTATGTTTATGGAGATAAAACTCTGGGGTTAAAAAATACACCCCAGAGAGATAGCTGAAAAAGACTGTGTGCCTAGGTAAAGGATACACAGTAGTCAGAACATGTCCCGATGAGATTGATACAATAGAATGTATCGGAATCTCTAATGGCTGTTAGTAGAGTCATACAGCTATCTGCGTTTGAATAGTGCCGGCCTTACATGGGTCGGCAGTAGAGATCCTTTCTTCTCCCATGTCAGGCTCGATCGCTGCCCATCTGTCCTACGGTCATTCGCCCTATTTGCATTATGGTCATTCCAGGACTGCATTCAGTTAAAGGACCAATAAATGCATCCAGACCACTTCAAGGGTTCAGTTGGCTTTTAGTTTTAACCCTGCAATGTAAAACATAGCACCTTTGGATTGGAAACTGCAATTTTTCCTTTGCAGGGCTAAGCACACCTCTAAAAAAAACAAAAAACAAACATTAAAGGGACTCTCCAGTGCCAGGAAAACAATCAGTTTTCCTGCACTGCAGGTCCCCTCTCCTTCCCACCTCCCATCCCCGGTTGCTGAAAACCCCTTCAGTCACTTACCAAAGGCAGCAACGATATCCCTTGTCGCTGCTTCTTGGTCCGCCGCCGCTTCTCCCCTTCTGATCCTGCCGGCCGGCTGGGGAGACCTAATGCGCATGCGCAGCAATGCTGCGCACGCGCATTAGACCTCTCCATAGGAAAGCATTGAAAATGCTTTTCAATGCTTTCCTACGGGTATTTTAGCAACGCTGGAGGTCCTCACATAGCGTGAGGACATCCAGCGATGCTATAGCACAAAAACCTGTGCTATGGACCAGGAAGTGCCCTCTAGTGGCTGTCTAGTAGAGTTATGAAAACTGCAATAATTACACTTGCAGGGTTAAGGGTAGTGGGAGTTGGCACCCAGACCACTCCAATGGGCAGAAGTGGTCTGGGTGCCTGGAGTGTCCCTTTAAGTGCTATTCAACCAAAACAAATATAAGGAAAAGGCAGCACACCTAAAAAATGGGGCTTCCTCACAAGTCGTCCCCCCCGCTGAAAAAAAAAAATAGCACAATACAAGAAAAGGAGAGGAAGGTTGCACCAGTAAAATTGTAATAAAATATATTCCCAATGAGAGAACAATACAGAAGAATAAAAACCAATAGTGAAAAAGCTAAAAATAACCAATAAAATGTCTAAATAAATGTGCAAACTTGCATGGGGAACAGCCAAATCTTGTAGAGAAATCTCTTCTCCATGGAGGTGCCAGAATTTATCTTGATTCCAAGGCTCAAGCTTACAGGTGTCATGTAATGATATCCTATATTAAAATTGGCTAACTTGGACTCAGGAAATGCTTGATGGTTAACACAACACTTAAGACCATATATGTCTAGTTCCGGGAGCAGAGAGCCCCCACCTGATATGTCTCTTCTCTAATCTTTTTTTTTTTCTTACTTTGGAACTTATTTGTTATGTGTACATGACGTTCATCCCTATGTCTTATCTGTACTTACATTTCTATTACTGTTCTAAGAGTATTTGCACGTAAGCACTTACTTTTTAATGTATAAAACCCAGCTGATGAATAATATGGCAGAGGCTTATTTTGAATACCAACAGGTGTCTGGTGTCTAATTCTCGCTTCTCCAAGTGCACTTGTAATAATAATTTGGTCTTCCTCTGAATACAACAAAGATCAATATTTGGATCCACAACACAGATCAAGAAATGTTTGGGATCCGTATAAATATACAAAAAAAACCCCAGACAAAACCCCAATAGTATGTCACAACAATATATATATAACAATATATATATAACAATTATATATTGTCCTATTTACGTTTTCTAGCACTAGAACAAGCTCGAGTATGAATGGCGTGCAGTGGTATAATCCCCATTTATAGGATACGTGTGAAGATCTAGTCAGCTGATATCACAGCAGTATGGGGACCATACTACCCAGAAAAAAATGGAAAATTTATTATATTACATATTCTATATGATCCTATTAAAATACATATGAAGGTGTGGATGTCTAATGGGTTAAAAAGAACAGATGGTGTTTGCTATTCTGTACCATGAGGACTCTGGAATGTGCTGTATAGGGAGATTGGGGGCAGGGTCCTTATATGGGGAGTTTCATTATATGGCCAGAGTCTAAATTAAAAGTTATGTCGTAAATTAGCCTATAAAGGACCACGTTTTCTTTCTCCTACGATCCGCTCTCCTTTCCTGGTGTGTCCCTGACTTGCTGATCCAAAGACGACTACTTAAAAAGATCTCTCAATCTATATAACATTATGAAGAAATACTATCTCTTAAGTATATTGTTGTTTGCTTTTGAAGTAGAATAAATGCATATTTTTTATAAAGAATGTCAGATTGCGTATTAGTACTTTTTGGTTAATATAGATGTATAATTATCTGGTGGGTCTTAAACCAAACAAGATATATATATATATATATATATATATATATATATATATACACATATACATATATACATACACACTGCTCAAAAAAATAAAGGGAACACTTAAACAACACAATGTAACTCCAAGTCAATCACACTTTTGTGAAATCAAACTGTCCACTTAGGAAGCAACACTGAGTGACAATCAATTTCACATGCTGTTGTGCAAATGGCATAGACAACAGGTGGAAATTATAGGCAATTAGCAAGACACCCCCAATAAAGGAGTGGTTCTGCAGGTGGTGACCACAGACCACTTCTCAGTTCCTATGCTTCCTGGCTGATGTTTTGGTTACTTTTGAATGCTGACGGTGCTTTCACTCTAGTGGTAGCATGAGATGGAGTCTACAACCCACACAAGTGGCTCAGGTAGTGCAGCTCATCCAGGATGGCACATCAATGCGAGCTGTGGCAAGTAGGTTTGCTGTGTCTGTCAGCGTAGTGTCCAGAGCATGGAGGCGCTACCAGGAGACAGGCCAGTACATCAGGAGATGTGGAGGAGGCCGTAGGTGGGCAACAACCCTGCAGCAGGAACGCTACCTCCGCCTTTGTGCAAGGAGGAACAGGAGGAGCACTGCCAGAGCCCTGCAAAATGACCTCCAGCAGGCCACAAATGTGCACGTGTCTGCTCAAACGGTCAGAAACAGACTTCATGAGGGTGGTATGAGGGCCCGACGTCCACAGGTGGGGGTTGTGCTTACAGCCCAACACCGTGCAGGACGTTTGGCATTTGCCAGAGAACACCAAGATTGGCAAATTCGCCACTGGCGCCCTGTGCTCTTCACAGATGAAAGCAGGTTCACATTGAGCACATGTGACAGACGTGACAGAGTCTGGAGATGCCGTGGAGAACGTTCCGCTGCCTGCAACATCCTCCAGCATGACCAGTTTGGCAGTGGGTCAGTAATGGTGTGGGGTGGCATTTATTTGGGGGGCCACACAGCCCTCCATGTGCTCGCCAGAGGTAGCCTGACTGCCATTAGGTACCGAGATGAGATCCTCAGACCCCTTGTGAGACCATATGCTGGTGCGTTTGGCCCTGGGATCCTCCTAATGCAAGACAATGCTAGACCTCATGTGGCTGGAGTGTGTCAGCAGTTCCTTCAAGATGAAGGCAATGATGCTATGGACTGGCCCGCCCGTTCTCCAGCCCTGAATCCAATTGAGCACATCTGGGACATCATGTCTCGCTCCATCCACCAACGTCACGTTGCACCACAGACTGTCCAGGAGTTGGCAGATGCTTTAGTCCAGGTCTGGGAGGAGATCCCTCAGGAGACCATCAGCCACCTCATCAGGAGCAGGCACAGGCATTGTAGGGAGGTCATACAGGCACTTGGAGGCCACACACCACCGAGCCTCATTTTGACTTATTTTAAGGACATTACATCAAAGTTGGTCCAGCCTGTAGTGTGTTTTTCCACTTTAATTTTGAGTGTGACTCCAACGGCAGACCTCCATGGGTTGAAAAATTTGATTTCCATTTTTTTAATTTTTGTGTGATTTTGTTGTCAGCACATTCAACTATGTAAAGAACAAAGTATTTCAGAAGAATATTTAATTCATTCAGATCCAGGATGTGTTATTTTTGTGTTCCCTTTATTTTTTTGAGCAGTGTATATATATATATATATATATATATATATATACATACATATATATATATAAAGACTTATTCAACTGAGAAAACACAGACCACTTTTTACAGAAAACAACGACAATAGTGCTCTCTGTGTAAACTGAACCAGTAGTAATATATAAGAATTTTTACTCACATTTAATTGAGCAGGCAAACCACTCAATACATATGGCATGGGTGGTATAATCACCACCTGGGATTCTTTAGTGAGGTCCTCACTGGAACGATGAACAAATAGAGCTTAACAGCTGCTTCTCAGAGTCTGCTTTTTAGGCAAAGCTTTTCCTCTTGGGCTAAGCCACTGATAGAGGAAAATCTATGCCTAAAAAACAGACTCTAAAAAGCAGCTGTTTGTGAATGTGCATCCTGCCATGTGCGTTCAGTCCCGATTTTTATTAAACCCGGTACTTTGTAAATCTTCAGAGTTAAAAGAACTGAATTTAATCCAAACACCGATTGCATCAGGACGATTGCTTCTGATACTCTCAGGCAGACTGAATTCTGACCATGTCTGACTTTAGTAAATACGAGAATTTTCACTATTTCAGAATTTGGTAATTTGGTAATTTTCACTGGATTTTGTCCATCTTGACAAAACCTGGTGTTTAGTGATTAACCCTGCTAGAGAGCATTTAATTGGTACTTCACTGCATTTGTGGCACATGTTTACAGGGAACCCTATGGGGAAGCATTGGATTGTCTGAAATATCGATCTTAATGATCTCAGTCAGGGAAGCGGAGAAACCACAGTGACACCAGGACAGCAATGGAGTAAAGATAAATAAAACTCCCTTTTTGAACCCTCACTGGGACACACACAACCCAAAATTGTTAAGGTAAAACTATAGCATTAAGAATACATGTTTGGATTCCAAAAGCTATAGCGTTCCTTTAAGTATATCTCCCTATCTGCTCCCTTTTAGGCCACCTCCACAGACTGGTGGACATATCAAATTGTAGGATCTTTACAAAAAATGCAAAAACCTCTTTTAATGTTAGGGTGTGCCGACAGCAGGAAAAGATTTTTGGTATTTAATGCCATGTAGTAAGCCTAGCAACTTGGTTAAACATACTTGCGGCTGCTAATAATTTGCATATTTATATGCCTATGGAGAGCAAAAACTGCCTCACAAAAAAACACACATATAAAAGTATGCTTAAAGGGACTCTAGTGTAAGGAATGCAAAGTTGTATTCTTTACACTACAGTGCCCTTTGGTTGTAAATAGATAACGTAAATAGAAGATCCATTCTGCACACCATAACCAATATTTACACGCCCCCACAGCATGTAAACCTTTTTTTACTTACCCAATTCCAGCACGATATCTCTCAGTGCTGGGTTTGCGTTCCACCTCCTCTGACGTCATCCTAATGTGCATGCTCTGCGAGTGCATTAGGCCCTTGCCACAGGAAAGCATTGCTTCAATGCTTTCCTATGGGAATTTCTCTGACGCTGGATGTCGTCATTCAGAGCGTGAGGACGTCCAGCATCAGTTAGGTGACAGAGTCCAGTAAACTCCAGGAAGCGCTTCTAGTGGCTGTATAATTGACAGCCCCTAGAGGATGTCTTAGTTCTGCAATGTACACATTGAATTTTCTCTGAAACTGCAATGTTTTACATTGCAGGACTAAAGGGAACAGGGACACTGCACCCAGACCACTCTAAGGAGCCGGTATGGTCTGGATGCCTATAGTGTCTCTTTAATATTCTTCTCGAAACATAAGAAACTAATATTTTGAATACTTCCTCTGAGCTTAGCTTGCAAACCCCTCCATAATCATATGCAAACAGGTTAACCCTCATTACAACACTGATGCTAACACAGCGGGAAAATTGTATTTTATTATAGCACCATACTTCCTAAGGCAAAAGATAAAAAAAAATCAGTTACTTAGTTTCAACTTGATAGATAACGTAACTAGAAGAGCCATTCTGTACACCATAACCAATATTGTTCTATGTAGTAGTTATGGTGAAAAGAGTCTTTGTATATTAGCTGCCTTGTTTGTGTCAAATGCATTTTTGAGCAGCTTGATACATTCGGAAGCTGAAATAATCTAACCCCAATTTTCTTGACCAATCATCATTGTCCAGTGATTATTAAAGGATCACTGAATATTTAACATCTTAAAATATAAAAAATACAATTGTGGTTTGCATTCTTTAACATCAGATAAAATTGAACAAATTATTCTCATTCCATTGGAATTGGAATGTGAAGCACATACTGCATTATGAATGTCTATACTTACCAGGTATTTTAAATGCCAGAACGGAATGTGTATAATTACAAGCAGTAAGAGAGTCATGATGAAGAAAACTTTAAAATAACAATTATTACTTAATTTAGTAGTATATAGTTATGTGCAGTTTAATTTGTTGGTCACCTTCTTGCAGGGCTGGTGCTAGAACTTTTGGCTACACAGGCAAAGATGCATTTTTCCCCCGCAAAAAAAATTATCTTCACCTGTGTTCCTCTTAACCACCCCTTTTCAATTTATTGCCCCCACTTGTGTTTTTATCCCCTCTTTTGAATGTCTTACCCACTTTAGTGTATCTTATCCCCCATGTGTCCCCTTTCTGTATCTTCTCACTCCTCTTGTTTGTCTATTACAACCCCTCTTTGTGTATCTCTTACTTACTCCCTCCCCAGTATCTTTTTACCCTTCTCCAGCTTCTCTGTATGTATTTTTTCCCACCAGATCCTCTGTGTGTCTCTTTCTGTCCACACCCCCTCTGTGGGTCTCTTTCTCCCCAAGCCCCTTTTGTGTGTCCGTTTCTCCCCCAGCCCTCTGAATGTCTCTTTCTCTCTCCAATCTCCTTTGTCTGTCTCCCCCTCGCTCTCCTCAAGCTCCTTTATGTTTCTCCTTCTCCCCCAAAGTCCCTTTGTGTGTTTATTTCCCCCAAGACCATCTGTGTGTCTTTCTTCTGCCCCAGCACTTCTGTTTGTCTGTTTTTTTTTCCATAGCCCGACACATTCTTCCCTTCCTCAGCCCCACTGTGTGTCTCTTACTCCCCAAAGCCCCTTTTGTGTGTCTCTTTTCCCCCAGCCCTCTGAGTGTCTCTTTCACCCCTCAATCCTCTTTGTGTGTCACTCCCTCCTGCTTCTCGGTCTCTTTCTTTTCCAGCCCCTCTGTGTACCTCTTTCTCCCCCAATCCCATTTGTGTGTGCTGACAGAAGGAAAAGATTTTTGGTATTTAATGCCATGTAGTAAGCCTAGCAACTGGGTTAAACATACTTCTGCTTATAATTTGCAAATTTATATGCCTATGGAGAGCAAAAACTGCCTCACAAAAACACACACAGTCTCTTTCATCCAGAATCCTCCTTGTGTGTCACTCCCTCCTGCTCCTCGGTCTCTTTCTTTTCCAGCCCCTCTGTGTACCTCTTTCTCCCCCAATCCCATTTGTGTGTCTCTTTCTCTCCTACAGCCCCTTTTGTGTGTCTTTTTCTCTTCTACAGCCGGTCTGTGTGTTTCTTTCTCCACCCAGGCCCTTATGTTTGTATATTTCTCATCCACAGCTCCTTTGTGTGCCTCTGTCTCCTCCTCAAGCCCCTATGTGTGTCTCTTACTCCTTTCTAACCCCTCTGTGTGTTTCCTCCAAGCCCCTTTGTGTGTTTCCCCCAAGTTCCTTCTGCGTGTTTTTCTTCCCCCAGTCCCTCTGTGTGTCTTTCTAACCAACAGCCCCTCAGTGTGTTTCTCCTCATACTCTTTGTGTGTATCTTTCTTCTCCCTATCCCCTATTTGTCTCTTTTTCCCCAAGCCCCTCTGTGTGTCTGTCTCTTTGTCTTTCTCCCCTTATCTCCTCTCTGTGTCTTTCTCCTCGTGTGTATTTCTCTGCACAGCCCGTCTCTGTGTCTCTTTTTCACCCATCCCCTCTGTGTGTATCTCACCTGTGTATTCTCTTTCTTCTCCCAGTCCCTCTGTGTGTCTCTTTTCCCATCCCCTTTTATGTGTGTCTATTCCAACCCCCCGTCCCCTCCATTATTCTGTGCCTACTAACCATGCTCAATGAAGCATGGCCGAGTGGTCCGCGTTAGAGGATCTTCTGTATCCTCTACCCGGTCTGACAGGAAGCTGTTTATCACTCCTAGTGAGCACTTTCTGTCAGATTAGGTAGAGGATACAGAAGACCCTCCAGTGCAGTGTGCTAGGCAGCGCTATATGGTGTGACTGGCAGGATGGGGATTGCTCCCCCTCTGGGCCGGTGCCCTCCAGGAGGTCATCTGTGCGGCCTTATAGTTTCGCCGGCCCTGGCTTCTTGGCAGCGTTAAAGAAAAAGTTAATAATGAGAGATATTTTAAGTAAGTGGTCAGCAACCATTTTAAGGGCCATTTCAATCATGTATTAAGTCCACTTTTTATTGCATTAGGGAAATAATGCACTAAAATAACAAATTAAAAATAAATAAATCAATAAACAAAGTTACAGGGACACTCCAGGCACCCAGACCACTTCTGCCCATTGGAGTAGTCTGGGTGCCAACTCCCACCACTCTTAACCCTGCAACCGTTATTATTGCAGTTTTTCTAAACTGCAATAATTGCCTTGCAGGGTTAAGTCTTTCCGTGTTCTTAGAACACTAAAAGTGTTTTAAACGATGCTGGACATCCTCACGCAATGCATGAGAACCTCCAGCCTCGCCAGAATCCCCATAGGAAAGCATTGAATAATGTTTTCCTATGGGGAGGTGTAATGTGCGTGCGTGGGGCCATTGCCGCGCATGCGCATTAGGTATCCCCGGAGTGTGGACAGAACCTGACCCAGCACCGAGGAACATCGGCGCTAGATTCAGGTAAGTCACTGAAGGGGTTTTAACCCCTTCAGCAACATGGTATGGGGGGTAGGAGGGAAAGGGGATCTGCAGGGTCCTGCAGTGCCAGGAAAATGGATATGTTTTCCTGGCACTGGAGAGTCCCTTTAATATAATGTATCTGAATTCCCATTGCTTACTACAAATCTGTAGCTTCTACAGGGAACATGAATTAACTGAAATTTCTCAGTCAATTCAGTTGTTCCCATTATATTAGGGGTTTATTGATGCAATAGTCATGGGTAGCTTCACTTATGCAATTTGTAGGGCTAATAGAAACAGAAACTTGGTGTGAAGGGGTTAAAAGCACCCAGCCTCTGGTTACCATATACCTAAACCTCTACAAGGGCATAATGTGACACAAAATTAACCCCAATATCCTGCTTCCACTTCCACATACAGGCCCAGGCTGGCCATTAAACAAACCTGGCAAAGGGTATCCCAGGTTGGCCCATACAGTGAGTGTGTCCCAAACAAGAAACAATGTCTCTTCATGAGCCAATGGGGAGATTACACACATATGCAGAGCAGCTAAATTCTCCTCCGACTGATGCAGCAAGTCCTGCGAGCTCTGGTTAATGAGAGCGTTGCCGTGAGTTATCATGTCTTTTGTTATTATTATTTCATTTTGGAAATATTATATGTATATATATATATATATATATATATATATACACACACATATATATTTATATTATGTACCCAGCATCCAGAATACCCTATACCACAGTACAACCTCTACACATACAGCAGCCACTGCACATACAAACTAAAGCACCCTATACACACACTAAACAGCCTCTATCCAAACACACTGAGCCCCCCCCCACACACACTACAGCCTATATTAACATATACACATTCTACAGCACATAAGTATGCACATGACTGCCTTTCGATACGCACACTACAGCCCTTATACACATACATGCACAGTGCAGCCCCTAAATGCACACATACCATCTAGACTCAGTACTTCCAATAGACAAAAACATACATAACACCCTTTTAACACACAAACACCATCTACATCCCCTACATACAACATACACTACTGCCCTTCTACATACACACAGTATAACCCCTATACACACAGGCATACACAACAACCCCTATACAAACATACCACCTTCGAGAGCCCCTATACAAACACACAACCCTGTACACAAACTACAACATTCCTACATTCTCATTACTGCCTGCAAGAGTAGAAGCTGATTATGACGGATGCAATTTTTGCACACAATTAAAGGGGCACTCCAAGCAAGAAAAGTTCTTCATCTAAATAAAGTTGTTATGCCACCACACTCACTCTAACCTCAAGAGAACGGCACAACCCCACTGTTCTCAGCTCCCCCCAGGCAGCATCCGGCTTCTGAAATTTCTGTTTCAGGAAGCCTGGAGTTCCGCCGGGCAACGGCACCATTGATTGGTTGAGAGTGGTTAGCTGATGTACATTTCTTTTCAAGACAGTTTTGTGACTGGCGACTCACTTATTGGCTGAGAGCATCAGCTGACCGACCTCAGCACATCATTGGCAATTTCAATGAAATTTCAGAAGCCGTATGCTGCCTGGAAGGAGTTGACATCGGCGCTGGAGGAAACATGGAGGTTAAATGGTTCGAGAACGGTTTAACCCCTTGAGGCAAGAGTGAGCCTGGGGGGCTCCTGGCACCATAAGAACTTAATTCAGATGAAGTTTTTATGGTGCCTAAACTGTCCCTTTAACATTGGGCAGCCCAAAACAGAAGAAATTACATAAAGCAAAAAAAAAAAAACCCCCACATAAATCCATGTATAAATCAGTTCTTAAAATACAATGGGACTTAAAGTATACAACCTATACTTAAACAAATATGAGTAATGATCTTACAGTAGGCCAGTGGGAACTCTTGATTAAGTCCTGGTGTTGTTTAAAATAAAGTCCAAGAGAAGTTCAATTTGACCTGGGCTGGCATCAAATTGTTATATTTATGATGTAGGAGGAGAAAGATTCCTGGTGCTTGTTTGGTGTACGTGTAGCAGATAGGTCTTCCTTATGGCAGTAAGTAGATATTGATAAGAGTAGGCTGGGAAACAGCACTTTTAAATAAAGTCTTAAAGTTTACTGGTGTTTTATGTTATGTGCCATGCTCTTTCTGTGTTACTTCCAAGATGGCTTCTTACTTCTCTCTCCTGTGAGCACTGTAATCTCACCCTGACTGGAGAGGCCAATAGCATGCCTTTGCTCATTGACAGCTGGCTCTGCTTACTGAATGGCATCTCAATGGAAATTCTGGAAAATTACTATTTCAAGGACACTAGTCCTTGTGTACAATCTGTTTAAACAGGGCAGATTTCAAACCACCCCCAAGTTTTTTTTAAATTTTGTTTACTAATAACACTTGTTTTTATCGGATTTTGGGCTTTCCTGTTTGCATCCCTGAGGATTTTACCCAGAGGACCCTGTACCTCATATCCCTTGGTGGAGAGAATACTGTTTATGCTGTTTAGGATTGAGCAATACCTACTTCCTCTACCTTTGTGAGCATCCTTCCTTTTATCTTTTTTAATACTTTAGCATCACAGAGAGAACTATCTCCTGTTTTTATTTCTTTTTATTATACTGAAGCACTATTACTGGCCTATACAATGCACTGAATGTGAACACCCCCATTAGTGCTGACCACCAAATGCTGACTATTGGCCTAAGAACATCCTTCAACGCAGTACCAGGACTTTCAGCATATGATTAGTTGGGGATTGTACGGTCCAGGCCCGTATATCTGGAGCTGATTTGAATCTCCAGAAAATTGTAAGTGCAATTTATTTTATTCTAATGTCACTACACCCTAAATACTACATTATATCTGGATTCTTGTCCTCTTTTTTTCCAATATTGCTCCACTGGGATCTGAAACGAAGGACTTTATTTGAAAGCGCTGCTTTCCGGCATACTTTTAGTTATATTTATGAGTCTTTCTTGCTTTTTCCAGTAAAGCCAGCCCCCTCTAAACACGTGACCAATTTATGACAGCTGGTTTATTAATTAGATTACTGATGTGAGATCATCTCTTTGGTACAGAGATGGAGTACTTTTAAGCCTGTGATTTTTATCTGTTTGAGACCAAAACAATCTTTACTGCAAAATCCTTTGCTATGGGTACAGCAATGCTAACCCTTATCTCCAGTAAATTACTCACACTCAGCAATAAAGTCTCTCGGTCATGATATGCCTTTAGCATATTTATGTGGTACTGTCTCTGCCTCCTCCCTGATTCTATGGCCATGACAAAAGAGGTAGGGTCCTGCCATAGTAGAAAAGGATCGGAGCCATTAAAAGCAGCCTGCAGTTTATCCGGCTTGGTTGGGATTAGAACCATAATTTTTTGCCTCACTTTATAATCCCAGGTCCTGATATTATGGTTATACCACTTGTTCTGCTGGGACTGCAAAGCCCTAACATTAACATGCATTATCCGTGTCAGTTTCTTCATAAACTTCAGCACATTCAAGTGGGAAAATCCGATTCCCATTCCTCTTAAGCTAAATCTAGTGGCCCTCTCACTCGGTACACAATTCAAATGGTAAAAAAAAGTGCAGGACTTCTCGATACGCAAATCAGGTAAATACTCTCCCGATCTCAGCCTGAGAGTTCTCAAAAGCCTTAAACATTTGTTTAAAAGTCCCATTATTGATAACACAGAGCCCAGTAGTTTGGGGGTGATAAGGACGGACTACCAGATGTAGTCTTGCAGAGGCTTTACTTTTCTTTGCACATGAACTCTGGGCAATGGTCAGTAAACATTTCTTTAGTGAACCCCACTTTGCAGAATATGCTCATCAGAACATCCACCAGTTTGTCTGCTTTAATGGAGGACAAGGCAAGAGCCTCTGTGTACCTAGTGGAAAAATCCACTGGAGTGAGGATAGACATAGTGTTTGAGCTGGGTATCGCTAAGGCAATATCACATCTAAAGTCATGCTCTCAAATAATTCAGCAATGATGGGTAAAGGGAAAGGCACTAGGGTAACGTTCCCAGACTTTCCCACCCTCTGACAAACAGGACAGGCGAACATTACTTTGCTACAGCAGTGCCCATCCCAGACTAGTAAAAGTTGTATTTCTTTGCAATAGAAAAGAACAGGGCACAGAGTAAAAAAAATAAGGGTGTGGGAGGGCAGTAATCCACCAGGCTGCTCCAGACAGGGAGGGAAAGCTCCCCAAAATGCCCAAAGGAAGTAGATGCATACAATGGTTTCTTCTAAAAGGCATTCTTTATTTGGAACAAAGAAGTGAGAACAATGTTTCGGCTCCTGCATAAGCGTTTGTCATGTCTGATGAGTTAACCCAATCGCTGCTGTGGAAGTTTAATCGAAATCCCATATCCAGTGGCGGCTGGTGAAGTTTTAGATGGTGGAGCACCAAACCTCTCCCCCAAATTTTTACTCTTCCCTATACAGTACAGAGATATTCATCCAATACAGAGAGCTGAGCATAATACAGAGATGTTCATACAATAAAACAAGCTGAGAACAACACATAAAATATATATATTAGTTATATATTTGAGTAAATTCCCTTGCTTAATCAGCCTTCAGGCAGTCACTGAGGTTGTTGGGGGAGAGAAAAAGATAATATTATACTGTGCCATGCTCTTTCTGTGTTACTTCCAAGATGGCTTCTTACTTCTCTCTCCTGTGAGCACTGTAATCTCACCCTGACTGGAGAGGCCAATAGCATGCCTTTGCTCATGGACAGCTGGCTCTGCTTACCGAATGGCATCTCAATGGAAATTCTGGAAAATTACTATTTCAAGAACACTAGTCCTTGTGCACAATCTGCTTAAACAGATTTCAAACCACCCCCATTTTTTTGACTTCCCTGTATGTTCTCAAGTAAGTTTCTCAAAACAGCTACCAGTAGGGGGGGACGGGACTGAAACCTATTAGAAAGTTTAAGAGACACAATTTTTTCCCAAAATGTGTTTAGTTTACCACCATCCCCTCACAAAATAAATAAATAAAAGGATCTTAGTGTTTTTTTTTTTTTAACTACTGCAAATTATTTGTTCTCCACATATGACAGCCCTAAGTGCTCCTATGGATGAGCCTCCAATTCGGATAATTCAACCGGATTTGCTGCAATTGCCCGGATGCAAATGGTGTCTGGATTAAATTCAGATTTACAAAGCACCAGTGGGGGGAAAGCCTTTATAAAGATTTTCCGGCCTTGAAGCCTCATTCTGCCTGGAGCCCTAAAAGGGCAAAAATTGATTTTATTTTTTGCATTGCAGTTTTGATTTTTTCCATCTATTTTTCCAGGAGTTGCCTCACTTATTATGGATTTTACTTTGGTGTTTTGGGGGGCTGAAGATAAGACAATTTACATGAAAATAGGCTTCTGATAGTAAATACATATATGTATATATCTTACAGGTATTAGTTTAATACCCTCCCTCACTATTGTTAGGGTTGGATAAATTTAATTTAAGGGGGGGCTAGGGGACTAGTCTGGGGTGTATATGCCAGTCATTGGTGGCAGTTAGGAGGTAGGGACAACAGGTCTCCACCAATTATTATTAATGGAGTGCCCACCGCCAACAGGTCTCCACCAATTATTTTTAATGGAGTGCCCACCGCCAACAGGTCTCCACCAATTATTATTAATGGAGTGCCCACTGCCAACAGGTCTCCACCAATTATTATTAATGGAGTGCCCACCGCCAACAGGTCTCCACCAATTATTAATGGAGTGCCCACTGCCAACAGGTCTCCACCAATTATTAATGGAGTGCCCACCGCCAACAGGTCTCCACCAATTATTAATGGAGTGCCCACCGCCAACAGGTCTCCACCAATTATTAATGGAGTGCCCACTGCCAACAGGTCTCCACCAATTATTATTAATGGAGTGCCCACCGCCAACAGGTCTCCACCAATTATTAATGGAGTGCCCACCGCCAACAGGTCTCCACTAATTATTAGTAATAGAGTGCCCACCACCAATGTCCAGCAAAAACACATAATTCCAGCCACAATATCTCATGCGGGAATAGCTAGCAAGACAAATAAGGAGAAAAGACTTTGAGTAATGTGCAGATGTGAATTGTCCATATCCACATTTGAGAATTATTACCTCTCCAAGGTGTAGTGAAGGGGGGCAGGGCTGACAAATGACACAGGGCACCACAAGGCATAGGATTTATGGCATAAATTATTCCTATTTCATTGTCAATCTTGCGTAGTACAACTAGTAAAAACTATTTGTCATCTCAAACTCAATGGAACTTCTTGGGAGTTATGAGAGATATGGGTGATATGGGCAATAGTAAATGCCATTTCCATGAAACTACAAAATTTGCTAAAGCCAGGCTCCATGATATCAAGTTTGTAAATCTATTTTATTTTCCTAGCATGTAAGGTGCATAATAAACACACACACACATATATAAAAAAGAAAAATAATTTTGCACTCCATCAAAATCACTATAATGCCCAGTGCTTGTCCAGCCAAAAATACAAAAATTGATTGCAAAGGATAGCACTCCAAGGACTTAGAAAATTTAAGCTGAAACGTTGACAATTTTAACTGTAAGGTAAATAAAAGTATTTACCTTACAGTTAAAATTGTCAACGTTTCAGCTCGATTCCCTCAAGCTTTCATCAGGACATCTGTAACTGTAAGGTAAATAAAAGTTACATTTTATAAGTTCTTGGAGTGCTATCCATTGCAATCGATTTTCATATATACATTCTAGGGTAATCAAAGTCCAGGACACATCCAGCTCACTTTTTCCCGATTTAATTGGTGCAAGATATACAGGTACTTCAAAATAAAAATAAACAAAACAATATTCCTTGTTCTTGTTGAGCACTTACTAAACACAGTAATCACTACCTGGAATTGGGTGGCTTTCCCACTTACCAATTTACAATAACAAAATATACATGCAAGACACACCATTCCTCTGGCTCTTTCTCTCTTACTCTACAGAAGGCTGATCCCTTCTTTTAAATTGACCAGTAACAGATGAGCATCAACTGGTTCACATCTCTGGAACGCCTAAGGTATATACAAGTTCTGGTCTGGCTGTTACGTAGCAACTAGTGCTATTGGAGCACTGGCCTACCCTGCTCTCCAAATGTTCCGCCCCAGGGACCCTTGACGTGGTTTGCAGAGTACCAGCAATGTATCTTGCAAACCTAACATCTCTCCCTGCGACATTTCATTGAGAAACCTCAGGCTGCTGTTTAGTAAAGCAGGCCTAATATATCTTCCCTCAACAACCACTCCACATTTTCTCTCACACAAATGTTAGATAGATAGATAGAGAGTTCATCCTGCAGATTTTACCAACACCACATGCAGGGTTGTACACTAAAGTGAAGTCAAAATGAATTTCAAATTTGAGGCCAAAACCCCCAAATTATAGAAATTCTAAAGTATACCAATGAACCTGAATTCTCCATACCAAAACAATGGCCAGTCCCAAAATCCCCATCTACCAGGCAAGTATAATGTCCTCATTTCAGATCAGACTTTTTCCCCTTTTCTGCATTGAATAGAGGAGAGAATAACCAGATTATACAACACCTTTACTCTCTTACCTTACCAAAGGAATTGCCAGTGACCTAGGCTTTAAAGTGTACGGAAATAATAGTTTAAAATAAAAGTATTATCAGTGTCTAATGAATTCCTAATGCCCACTTGCAAGTCACCTCATTTTATAGAAAATGGGTGAGTCTTCATAATGTCAATCCTGTAATTAACCTTCGTCAGAAACTGTGGATTTCTTTGATTAGTAGACGATCATTCAAGCACATTGTTACACTTATTTTCTCTGTTGTCTTAAAAAATAACACTCATTTTCATTTTTTTATTTAAATGGTAAAGGGATATTAACATTTAATACACAGAGCAAATTATTATGTTTCCAATAATCAACTACACACAACACAAAAACAGAATACACAGCAAAACATAAAATAGGCCAGTGAATTTTTTTTTTTTTTTAAATACAAAAAAGAGTACTATGATTTATTGATATTAGCGATACACTCCAATTAGCATAATCACTAGAGCTTGCTGTAGTGCCAGGATTGCCCTGGCGCTCCACTATTGTAATAAGTCAAACTGTTTTTCAATGTCTGAGAGTGTCAGCCAATGAGCTAAGCCCTGCACTGCTCGGTAACTTAGTGTCTCTCCAGCGTTGATAGTGCAGGTGAGCAGCAGCACCTGGCAGATCTCAGGTAAGAAGTCAAACCATGGTAAAATGGTTTATGGTGGGTATGGGGCACTAGGAAACTCCGGGCACCATAACCACTATAGCAAACTGTAGTGGTTATGGTGCCTAGAGTGATCCTTCAAGAAGGAATTGCTTTTAGAGTACTTTGAGCTGAGGTAGCACATTATCAGTAGTGAGTGAAGCTTCTATTCTGCTGGCTCCTATCTAAAGACTAAATAATTATTTACAATTTTATAGAACCTATTCAGACAATTTTTTTTATATACACCAGGGTGTAGTAACATCCTCAAAAATGTATTCATTTGAATGGGTAAATAATGCGTTGTATAAATGATGCACAAAAGTCACAATCCACTCTGAATTGCTCCAGATGAGGCATGGAGCATAGCCACCTGTCAACCTGATAAGACACCAGATTAGTCATGAAGCATAGTCACCTGACAAGACACCAGGCTAGGCATGAAGCATAGACACCTGTCAACCTGACAAGAAACCAGATTAGTCGTGGAGCATAGTCACCTGTCAATCTGACAAGACACCAGACTAGTGATAAAGCATAGCCAAGTGTCAACCGAAGACTCCGGACTGGGAATAGACCATGGTCACCTGTCAACCTGACAAGACACTGCACTAGCCAAGGATCATTGTCACCTTTCTACCTGACAAGACACCAGGCTAGACATGGAGCATAGACACCTGTCAACCTGACAAGAAACCAGATTAGTGATAAAGCATAGCCAAGTGTCAACCGAAGACTCCGGACTGGGAATAGACCATGGTCACCTGTCAACCTGACAAGACACTGCACTAGCCAAGGATCATTGTCACCTTTCTACCTGACAAGACACAAGGCTAGACATGGAGCATAGACACCTGTCAACCTGACAATACACCAGGCTAGGCATGGAGCATAGACACCTGTCACCCTGATTAAACACCAGACTAGGCATGGAGCATAGACACCTATCAACTTGACTAGGCATGGAGCAGATCCACATATTGACACTTTCCTGTTGCCATTGCTGCTCACCACCAGTGTGGTGCATTGTGTCACTGGTACATCACTCACACTAAAACGTTCCCCTTCTTCCTGATTTCCTACTTTCAAAAGCTGGAAGGGTTATTGTGTCCATGGAGTGTTGTGTTATGCTCACCAGTTATTGTTTGTATGTACATATTTCAAACAACAGACCTTCGTGTGGTGAAACTAGTTATACTATGGCCTGGGCATTTATTGACCTGTCTACAAACACTTGAAAAGATCTGAACTTCATTATTAGCAGTAACATACTTAGGAGTGATGCTACCCTCACCTAATACACATGCCCTCTTTCCTCTAAGTAAAGTCCCATCCTATTCATCTGCCATACTTTATCTCCCTTTACCACCCTGGGCAGTCATGGTATCACCTTCTCTCCATTTCCTTTCAACAGTCACATTCCATTTTATCTATACTTTGCTTTCATTAACAGGCACTAGACTAAGCACAGTCACATAGAATGCATTATACATGTAATAGATTTCCATAGTAATGTGGATGGACAATTTCTGAGTTATAGAATATGTACAAATGTCCCAAACCATCACCACTTAGTGTACGGTGTAGTCAAAAATACTTATCCTTTGAGTATTATAATGTACAGCTTCCCCAGGGGATATCCCAGAAAATGTCCCTTGTAGAACAACCACAATACAAAATATATAGGGGATACAGCTGTAGATCTATAAAACAAATACCAATCTAGTGTAATATAGTTGTTTTTTTTTTTTTTTTTTAACTCTGCTTGAAGAAATACATTCACAGGATCTGTGATAAATAAATCACCTCTGGGGGCCTCCCCTTATATGTGTGGGTGCTATTCAACTACACCTTCCCTCCTGGCTGTGGTCTTCACATCAGCAAATGAAAGCAGGACTTAGGGGAAGTATCCAAATATTCAAAATTTATTGTAAGAAAAAATAACAATACACAAAATATAAACAAAATGGTGTGCTCCTATGAATTTCATCAAACTATTGAGCTTTCTCAGAGATCATATGTGCACAAAACAAAGTTTCAAATGTAATACAATTTTAAAAAAGCAATCATAGGAAATAGCAGCATGATGAGGAAATTGTTTTCATTGTATTTCATTTTAAACTTTATGTCTGATTTATTGCACATATGGTCCCATTTCAGAAGTCCAATAGTTGCATGAAATATATATCTTAAAAGGAAAATAGAAGAGAGAGAGTCAGAAATATATGTTTTGTACACACTAATAAACAATTTACATTATAGTCTAGCCAACTTTTGAACTGCCAGTAATTAACCAGCGTACTGCAATTTTTTGTCTACAAAAAATCAGACATATTTCGAAATAAGCAATAGGTAGTTTAAAATTGCAATGATCTGATCCATTTTTTTTCACAGTAATGAATAACTAACGGTATCAGAAGTTTTTATAGAGCTCTAGATAGAAATACACAACAAATATACACCAGAAGTCTTACAAACATCGTCATGAATTCTAAGCTAGATTGGAAGACAATACCATCACCAAAAATTGTATGAATTCTCAAGCAATCCAGAAGTACAAAACTGCAAATGTCCTAAAGATAAGATTATCTCTGTCAGTTTCTGACTCATTGGCAGTTAAAAATCTGTGAGTTGTACAAGTGTGATTGTGAAAGAGAAATCAGATTTTCTTATATACGCTGGTATTCTGAATTCCTTCTTCTTCTTACAAGCAGGACCACGAGAAGGATAATCAGAATCAATCCTACAACCGCCAGGACCACGCCAGCAGGGATTAATTTTTGGTTTTTGTCTGCAAAACATTCTGTCTCTGCGAATAAAGTCATAGCAAGATTTGCTGTTCAAATGAGTTATGTAATCAAGTATAGATTTGAAGTTGAATTCTTTTTGATAGGTAACAATAGCACATACATTCCAGGCTCAGCCACCTGTAACTGTGGCAGCAAAGAAGAATGGTGACCTTCCACACACACCAATAAACATGGTGGAAATACTGATCACTTAATATTTAGGAACTGCTATTTGTGTTTTGCACTTGGGGAAACCTAGCAACACAGCAAAGTAATCTGAAAGCCCGCCACCAGTATGTCGACCTTACAAATAACTCACTCCAAGTAGAATTTTTTGGTTATAATTTCTTCTTTTATCTTTGTTATTTATCTGTATGTCAGGATGAATACTCTCTAATGCTTCATTACACGTGATCTCTTTTGCTGATTTTGCATTTTATGCATATGGTGCCATACTTTGTTTCATGCATTGATATATATTGCATTAAAATGGACTTTCTGTCTTACATACAGGGCCAGATTAAGAGCCTAGTGGGCCTGGTGCTGACAATTATGAGGGGTCTAAGCACAGAATCTTATCGACCAAAAACACTAAAACAGTCATACTTCTCAAGCAGGGGAGGGCTGGCAGCCTTAGGCCTGGGGGGCAAAACCAGTCAAGTGGCCCATTACACCACTAAATCAGTTCACCATCCATGCCCACCTTTTCCTGGTTTTATAATGGATATTGATATAATGCTAATCAGTAGCTCTTTGCCATACCCGCTCCTTCACAGCTCTGACTTTCAATGTTGTCAAAGCGCAGGCTGAGAATCTCTGAGCCTGTGCTCCGACTCACTAACTGAGCATCGGAACCATGAGGGAGAGGCTATAATCTGACTGCACCTACTGCTGGTGCGCACCAGTGGACCACCAGCGAATCGTTTAAATTGAATATGCTGGTGTCCCCAACTTGTGAGCTGTGTTGGCCGCGGGGCGCCTCTGTTGTCATGGCACCCTGCGTGACTGCACAGCTTTCACACCCCAACCGCTGGCTCTGCTGACACACACTGACGTTACTACTTAGAAATCCCTCAATATTAATACAGATATCAGAGTAAACACCAATAAACTGTGGAAACAGAGCTGATCCCCCCAAATTTATAAAGATTTGCTTAGTGGATTTGTTGTAAGATTAAATCATGCCTCCTCCTCTCTCTCTCCCATTTGCTGCTCTGTAGGCTGGGAGGAAGTGAAGAGTAATCACATTCTCCCAGCATAGCGCTACCTGTGACTGCATGGGGAACAGCTGTTTAATGTAATGCTTGCAGGACGGCCAGCTGCCGCAGATCATCTTTGTTCCCGTCTCTGCAAAGGGCTCCAGGCACTGCTTGTTGTCAGTGTGAGCCACTCTAAATTAGGGGCAGAGGGCACTTGCACTGCGGTAAAGACGTGTCTGGGCAGGAGGAGAGTGCAGTGCAATCAGTGCACTCCCCTCCTGTGGGTCACCAGTAGACCTGCCCAGGATCAGAGCCGGTGCAAGGATTTTTGCCGCCCTAGACAAAAGAAAAATTTGCCGCCCCACCCATATGATTTGCCATTTGAACTAGCCCCAGTGCTGCACACAGTTTGTGTTTACATTAAAAAGCCTGCAGGGACCGGCTATAGACACCAGAACCACTTCATTAAGCTATAGTGTTCCTTTCATGTGAGGTAAATTATAGATTAGTGTCACTAATAATATACTAGATTGCCTACTTATAACCAGATGAGGATGATGATGGGCTGCAGTTTGGCTCCACTGGTCTGGTGTAGAACAGGATCTCTGGAGGCTGTTTGCAACTGTGGTCACAAAATTCAATGTTCTGGGAGAATTGGAAGCAGCTCCATTTTTTTGGGGCCCCTTACACAGCTCAAGGTCTGGGCCCCAGGGCCTGACGGTGAGTATGCCCACAAGGCCCACTCATAAGTCCACTTATATGTTCCACCCACCCATGAGTTCACTCACAGGGAGTGGAGTGTGTAGGGGATGTGTTATGTGTTATTGTAGAGGATCTAATATGTGTGCTTATGGTATGTAGTGTATAGGGATACCAGTTTGTGTAGGTAATGCAGTGTGCTGGTGTGTAGTGGAAGCAGTGTGTAGGCATAAGGGATGCAAGGTGTGTGTCTGTATGTGTGTGCATTGAGTGTAAGCGATGCATTGTGTTTCTGTGTGTATGTAAGAAAAGCAGTGTGTGTGTTTGCATGTGTGTGTAAGGGTTTGCATTGTGTGTTTCTGTGTATGTGTGCAAAGGATGCATTGTCTTTGTGTGTAAGGGTTGCATTGTGTGTGTGTGTAATGGATGCATTGTGTGTTTCTCTGTGTGTAAGGGAAGCATGTTGTGTTTCTGTGTGTAGGGATGCATTGTGTGTTTCTGTGTATGAAAAGGGATGCATTGTGTGTGTTTGTGTGTGCGTAGTGTGAAAGAGCTCCCTGTCTTGCCCCCTGTACTATAGAGCTGTCCCTTCTGTCCCTTAAAGCTCTCCCCTGCCCCTAAGTGGTCTCTCCTCTCCCCCACCCTCCCCTAGCGGTCTCTTCTCACACTCACACACCCACCCTGTGCTCTTCTCATCCCCCCTCCCCCTCCCTGTGTTCTTCTCACTGCCACCCACCATGTGTTCTCCTCACCCCACGTGTTCTTCTTACCCCCCTCCTCACTGTGTTCTTCTTACTTCCTCCCTTGTTCTTCTTACTCCCCCACCTGTTCTTCTTACTCCCCCTTCTTCTTCTTCTTACTCCCCCTTCTTCTTTCTCCCCCTTCTTCTTATTACTCCCTTCTTCTTCTTATTGCTCCCCTTCTTCTTCTTCTTACTCCCCCTTCTTCTTCTTACCCCCTCCTACTTCTTCTTACTCCCCCCTTCTTCTTACCCCACTCTTCTTCTTCTTCTTCTTCTTCTTCTTCTTACTTCTTCTTCTTACTTCTTTTTCTTACTCCCCCCCTCTTTTTCTTACTCCCCCCTTCTTCTTTTTACTTCTTTTATTTTTTTATATATGCATATATTATACAATTTTTTAAAAAAATACACAAAATATAAATTAAAATAAAATAGTGCGGTCACGCAGGGTGCCATGACAACAGAGACGCCCAGCGTCCAACACAGCTCACAAGTTGGGGACCCCAGCATATTCAATTTAAACGATTCGCTGGTGGTCCACTGGTGCGCACTAGCAGTAGGTGCAGTCAGATTATATCCTCTCCCTCATGGTTCCGACGCTCAGTTAGTGAGTCGAAGCACAGGCTCAGAGATTCTCAGCCTGCGCTCTGACAACATTGAAAGTCAGAGCCGTGAAGGAGCGGGTATGGTAAAGAGCTACTGATTAGCATAACATCAATATCCGTTACAAAACCAGGAAAAGGTGGGCATGGATGGTGAACTGATTTGGTGGTGCAAATGGCCACTTGACTGGTTTTGGCCCTCAGGCCTAAGGCTGTCAGTCCTCCCCTGGAAGCCAGACAAAGTTTCAGATTTTAAACTTTTATTTTTTCCTAAAATATTTCAAAGGTTTTTCTCAAGATGAATTATATTTGAAGTAAAATTTTGGATTGATATTAGAATTGAGGCTAATTTTGCTATTGCCGGTGAGAAAATATTCTAAAATTCTTCCAGAATAGTTCAGAGGTTTATTCTTGTTAAGAAACAGTACCATATTGATATCCTGAAGAAAGGTACATTTTCTTTTACAGAAAGTAAAATGGCATTGATATCATGTTGTCATCATGAATGTAAACCATTTCTCAAAAATATACTGTAGCTCATTATATCTGTAAAGATTATGACAAAGAGATGTCAACAATTTGGCATAACTCGGTTTGTGTTTACAGAAATGTCTTTGCAAAAACGGATGTTCAACTGACAATTTTGGCATTTACAGATATAATAGCTTGTTATCCCATTTTTTACTTTCATTGAATGCAGCAAATAGACATGCATAAGCATACACACACACAAACGCATGTGTGTGTATGTATGCAGCCATCATACATTTACATTTAGAATTAATATTGAATATAGGGTGAAAATTGCTTTTAGGATTAGCATTGCGGGTTATGATTTGAATGAAATTTTGGATTAAGCTTCAATTTATTCCTAACCATAGTTGTACACTCTCCCACCGCCTAATCCTTTGTTCCACCTATCTTTAATTTTTCCTTGTCTCTCCATACTCCATTGCCCTTCCAAAGCCCACTTTATCATCACTCTGCTAATCCATTGATTACACCTTTCTAACTACCTCCCTACTCTCCCATCTTCCTACATTTCTGCCATATGGGATTACAGTGCCTTGCAAAAGTATTCACCCCCCTTGACCTTTTACCTATTTTGTTACATTACAGCGTTAAGTTCAGTGTTTTATTAATCTGAATTTTATGTGATGGATCAGAACACAATAGTCTAAGTTAGTGAAGGGAAATGAGAAAAATATATACATAAAACTATTTTTTAGAAATAGAAAACAGAAACTCACGGACCGGGCAAAGAGGGCATTAAACAGAGAGGCAGCACAGAGACCTAAGGTAACCTTGGAGGAGCTGCAGAGTTCCAAAGCAGAGACTGGAGTATCTGTACAATAAGCCGTATGCTCCATAGAGTTGGGCTTTATGGCAGAGTGACGAGATGAAAGCCATTACTTTCAGTAAAAAAACAAAATGGCTCGTAAATTACATAATTACAAAATGACTCCCAAAATGTATGGAGGAAGGTGCTCTGGTCTGATGAGACTAAAATTGAACTTTTCGGCCATTAAAGAAAACGCTATGTCTGGCGCAAACCCAGCACATCACCCAAAGAACGCCATCCCCACAGTGAAACATGGTGGTGGCTGCATAATGCTGTGGGGATGTTTTTCAGCAGCCGGGACTGGGAAACTGGTCAGGGTTGAGGGAAAAATGTATTCTAAATACAGTGATATTCTTGCGCAAAATCTGTATTACTCTGTGCGTGATTTGAGGCTAGGACGGAGGTTCACCTTCCAGCAGGACAATGACCCCGAACACTGCAACATTTGAGTAGTTTAAGGGAAAACATGTAAATGTGTTGGAATGGCCTAGTCAAAGCCCAGACCTAAACCCAATAGAAAATCTGTGGTCAGACTTAAAGATTGCTGTTCACAAGCGCAAACCATCCAACTTGAAGGAGCTGGAGCAGTTTTGCAAGGAGGAATCGGAAAAACTCCCAGTGGTAAGATGTTGCAAACTCATAGAGACTTATCCAAAGCGACTTGGAGCTGTGATTGCCGCAAAAGGTGGCTCTACAAAGTATTGACTTTAGGGGGGTGAATAGTTATGCACATTGACTTTTTCTGTTATTTTGTCCTATTTGTTGTTTGCTTCACAATAAAAAAAAAATTTAAAAAAAAATCTTCAAAGTTGTGGGAATGTTCTGTAAAATACATTATGCAAATCCTCAAACAATCCATGTTAATTCCAGGTTGTGAGGCAACAAAACACAAAAAATGCCAATGGGGGTGAATACTTTTGCAAGGCACTGTAGCTGCTTCCTTGTTTTGTGAGGGAACAAGACTATTGCAGTTGTTGTCTTCTCAAATTGCCAAGACAGATTCAGGGCTCCCTTGCTCTCCAGAACCCACTCTTTTGCAGGTTATGTGTGCAATCATGGGAGATCTTAATCTCCTGGTTGGGAGGCAAAAACATGGTGCTGTGGATTTGAAGCCCCCGTAATAAAATGAGATATCAGGAGAGTTACATGATATCCCACATTGTTCTTTCACAACCTCCCAGTTAGCTCTCAGTTATTCAAAAATATTCTTTCACTCTTTAGTTACAAATATTAGAGGTTTTTCCTTGTCCTGTATATACATTTATTTATTTTTAATCTGCATTATGTGTTCCTGAAAAATATGCTTCGTTAAGCTTTAGCATTCAAAGCTGTACAGTTGATATATTTTATTTTTGTTTTATATAAGTGGCACTTTTCTCATATGAAGTCAGACATTTTGATGTATAAGCTGTTATCAGACCTACTGTAATCACATTATCTATGTACCCTGTTGGGAATAATACACTTTGTCTTTGCCTATCCTAACCCAAGGCTCAAGCTACAGATGACAGGATGTTCAGTCTGTTTAAAATTGCTAACTTGGAGCATATCAGCTATTTGAAACAATATACTTTGTCTATATACAATGCTTAGTGAATATACCCCTAGACAAGAGCTATAGAACATTGTGTAACAAGTGTTATTGTTACATCCTGTATGTTTCTGCTGTTGGCCTTATTTCCTGTGTTTCTCCCTTTGATCATAACTGCATAGTAATGTAACTGCGTAGTTAACATCTTTAATTTGAAGTGCGAATACATTGTAATTCTAAGTGCGTAGTTATAGTGAAATTTAGCTTTGAGCAAGGCCCGAACATGAAGATACACCTGCAAGCTTTCTATAGGTTAAGATGTTAAAATAAGACAGATGATTTTATTAGGATTGGATAACCACCCCTGTTTCCTACTGAATATAATCGGTTACACAGCCCATTAAACGTCAGAAGTCACTTTGAACTTTGCATTGTCTTGTCTCATTCATTGGGGCTCCTCCCCAGCTTGTTTGGAGTCAAGGAGTAATACAGAGAATTGCACATTGATACAAAAGGCCATGTCATGGGAAAGGGCCTGACAGAGAAAATTCCTCACTATCGTACCTTGACAATCACTTAGATACACTAAGCAGTGAAGGGTAAAAAAACTAAATTTGCTGCAAAGTTAAGCCCAAATTGCTATTGAGTAACTGGCATAACTCTGCTACAACACCAATTACTAAAAGCTTCTACAGCAGGGGTAGGCAACCTTTGGCACTCCAGATGTGGACTACATCTCCTCTCACACTCTGCCAGTATTATGGCTGTAAGAGGATTATTGGAAATGTAGTCCACAACATCTGGAGGGTCGAAGGTTGGATGCCCTCTGCTAAACCAGTAGAATTAATAAATATATAAGGAAGAGTCTTTTGAGAATAACCTGTTAGCCAGGAGTGTAGGGTAGACACAGCAATTAGTTGCGGGTCAATAAACACCAACTTTTAAAGAAAGTACAAGGGGTCTAAATTTGGAGAAAAATAAAAAAGTCCACTAGGGATAAGTGTTTTATCGCAGGTGACTAAAATGGTCAAACAATTAATGACCTGGCAAACTATCCTTGTCATGCACGTTGGGCATGATTCTGTCCCAGCATCGCCAGGGTTCGTCTGAATTGTCTGTTTGTTTTTTGTTTAGCATCACCAGGGTTAACCTGAATTCTCTAGTGAGGCTCTTTGATCAAAAGAGCATTGCTGTGGCTGTGTATTTTACAACTTTGCATAGAAGTAGAACTCATACTTTCTGCCTATATGTTGCAGTAAAAATATAGGTATATAAAAGATAAGAATCATGTCCTTAAAGGTACTCTATCTCTGGATTAAAGTCCACATCTGTAATGCAAATAAACCAAGTATCATAAACTGTTCATGTGGTCAGAAGGCTGGCTTTTGTTATCTTGTACTTACTTTGATATTGCTCACAGCACCTGCCTCGCAGACTTCTCATTGAGCTGCATTGGGAAGTCTGTGACTGGAGCGCCACAGCAAGTCTGGGCGGGGTTAGTTGGGTAGGGTTTGCAAAGACTGCAGACAAGAGATCTGCAGCTATTGCAAGCTGTTTTCAGATATACCCCAATAAAACAGCAGCCACGTGGAAAGATGACAACTATTTTCCCCTATGTAGCTGTAGACCTCCCCCTTTTTGAAGAATGTACAAGTTTTCAACATTCCATTCTCAACATATATGTTGAGGTCTAAAAATTCCCCTAATACTTTACTAAAATAGCTTTTAATGAATTTAATGCCCCAATCATGGCAATTAAGATGATTTAAAATAATTTCAATGAGGCTTCATCCCCCTTCCAAATAAAAAATATATGAATATTCTAGAGAATAAAAAATACACTTACAGATACCGATGAGAAAAGTAAGATATAAAATAAGTATGGACGTTTTATTTTTCCATTTCAGTACATACATGGAAAATGTGCCATTACCATTCCCTACAAAATGTGCCATTACCATTCCGGTGGCACACGCTGAGGGGGCCGGCCGCGTTCTACGCTGGAGCTGCCGGGCTGGGTGGCAGCCTCGCCGTCCCGACGGCACTCCTGTCACTAATGCTGAGGACGGAAGGATGGAGGAGCATGTCTCTCTCATGCTCCATGCGGTTCCCACAATTCCCAGAACAGGATGCACAGTATGCTGTGCTGGGAATTGTGGGAACTGCAAAGGAGCATGAGAGAGAGACATGCTCCTCCCTCCTTCCGTCCTGGAGCTACGGGCTAGAGTTCACTCTCAACACTGCGACCACCAGGGATTCCTGGTGGTCGCAGTAGTGAGAGTGAACTCTAGCCCCATACACACACTGCCCCCACACACACACCATACACATTCACACACTGCCCCCCCCACACACACACTGCCCCCATACACACACACTGCCCCCACACACACCATACACATTTACACACATTGCCTCACATACACACATACACTGCCCACCCATACACACACAGACCCCCATACACAGCCCCCCATACTAACATTGCCACACACATACACAGCCACCTCCATATACACATTGCCCCACACACCCTGCACATTCACACACTGCACCCCCCCCACACACACACTGAACCTTTCACACACACTGCACCCCTCACACATTGCACCACTGCTCCTATACCCTACTACGGCCCCATATCTCAGCAGACCCCAGGTAAGTTTTCAAACTCTTCTTAAACGATTTGGCTACTTACTCTGGGAGGGGGTCCCAGCCCTCCTGGCACCATAACCACTACACAGAGCAGCAGTGGTTATTGTGCATGGATTATTTCCTTAAATAATCTACAAGTGCCCCAGTAGCCAGCCAGCCCACAGGCCAGCAAGCCAGCCAGCCAACAGGCCTGCAAGCCAGCCAGCCAGCCAGCCCACAGGCCAGCCAGCCAGCCCGCCCGCCCTCAGGCCGGCCAGCCAGCCAGCCCACAGGCCAGCCAGGCCACCAGCCAACCCACAGGCCAACAAGGCCACCTGCCAGCCAGCCCACAGGCCACCAGCCAGCCCACAGGCCAGCCAGCCCACAGGCCACCAGTTAGCCAGCCCACAGACAGCCAGGCCAGCAGCCAGCCACAGGTTAGTAGCCAGCCCACAGACCTACAGCAAGCCACAGGCTTACAGCCAGCACAGCCTGCCAGTCAAAGCCAGCAAGCCACAGCCTGCCAGCCGCAGCCAGCAAGCCACAGCCTGCTGGCAGTAGCCAGCAAGCCCACAGCCTGCCGGCAGTAGCCAGCAAGCCCACAGCCTGCCGGCAGTAGCCAGCAAGCCCACAGCCTGCCAGGAAGCCACAGCCTGCCAGTCGTAGCCAGCAAGCCCACAGTCTTTCAGCAAGTACACAGACTGCCAGCCAGCAACAATAATAAAGGTAAGAGGAGCCAACTTGGCCTAGGTATCAGTGAGCTATGTTGTGTTGCTATATTGTGAATAGGAACCAGAGTGTTGGAGAGACCCCCCTCCAGGCCCCATTACACTCCATTGTAGTCTCTAATGGGGCCTAGAGGAGATTCCTTCTAACACACTCTCTAAAGGACACAGATAGCCTCTGCTAGAAAGACCTCCCCTCCATGGCCCATTAGCCCTCAATTGTAGTCTCTATTGGGGCCTGGAGGCAACTGTTTCCAGCAGAGGCTATCTAATGGACGCTGAGATGGCCTCTGTTAGAAAGACCCCCTTCCAAGCCTATCAGCTCCATTGTAGTCTCTAATGGGGCCTGGAGGAGATTCTTTCTAACACACTCTCTAAAGGACACTAAGATAGCCTCTGCTAGAAAGACCCCCCTCTCCATGGCCCCATTAACCCTCAATTGTAGTCTCTACTGGGGCCTGGAGGCGACCGTTTCTAACAGAGGCTCTCTAATGGACGCTGAGATGGCCTCTCCTAGAAAGACCCCCTTCCAAGCCTATTAGACTCCATTGTAGTCTCTAATGGGGCCTGGAGGGGATTCTTTCTCTCTAAAGGACACTGAGATAGCCTCTGCTAGAAAGAACCCTCTCCATGGCCCATTAGCCCTCAATCGTAGTCTCTACTGGGGCCTCGAGTGGATTATTGCACTGTTGTTCCTTGTGTCTAAAGATTGTGTAGGGTGTGGCTGGAGGCAGGACAAGGGTGGGGCTTGCTGTGGAGCATGGGTGGGGCCTATAAGGGGGCCCTTGATTTATTTTGCCCGGGGGCCCTGAGGGTTCTCAGTCCGCCCCTGTCTGTATGTATGTTAGTGTGTGTCTGTGTATCTGTATGTGTTTGTGTGTGTCTGTGTATCTGTATGTATGTTAGTTTGTGTGCTTCTGTATGTATGTTAGTGTGTGTCTGTGTATCTGTATGTGTTAGTGTGTCTATGTATCTGTATGTATGTTAGTGTGTGTCTGTGTATCTGTATGTGTTAGTGTGTCTATGTATCTGTATGTATGTTAGTGTGTGTCTGTGTATCTGTATGTGTGTTAGTGTGTGTCTGTGTATCTGTATGTATGTTAGTGTGTGTCTGTGTCTCGGTATGTGTGTAAGTGTGTCTGTATATCTGTATGTGTGTCTATGTATGTATGTTAGTGTGTGTCGGTATCTGTATGTGTATTAGTGTGTTTGTGTATCTGTATGCGTGTTAGTGTGTGTCTGTATATGTGTATGTGTATCTATATATGTATGTATGTTAGTGTGTGTCTGTATCTGTATGTGTATTAGTGTGTTTGTGTATCTGTATGCGTGTTAGTGTGTGTGTATCATTATGTGTGTTAGTGTGTGTCTGTGAATCTATGTGTCAATGTGTGTGTCTGTGTATCTATGTCAATGTGTGTGTCTGTGTATCTGTATATGTGTTGTTGTGTATGTGTATCTGTACGTGTATTAGTGTATCTGTGCAACTGTGTATCTTTTTGTGTCAAAAAGCATTCAAACACCAACACTTCACACAAATACACCCCTGCATTCAAATATCAACACTACATACAGACACACCCCTACATTCAAAGGCAAACACTACACACAAATACACCCCTACATTCACAAACACATACTCCATTCAAAACATGCTTACAGATACATACAAACATTGCTCAGGGCTAAGTACAACAAGGATGGGTAAATGGTAGATATCCATCTGGCAAAGTATTGTGGTAGTTGTACGAAAGATGGGGATCTACCTTTTTTTCAATCCTTACGATAGGTGGACCTAAAATAAATCTTACACCAACACCTGCTCTACTTGAGGTCAAAAAGGGAGTAAAATAACTTTTTAACAGGAGGAGACAGGCTGAGGACCTAAAAACTACCCCACTACAGTCCCTGTCCCCCACAACTACCAAAAACTACACTACAGTCTCTATCCACAATTACAGCGCCTTTTCCCCCATTAGAGCCCTTGTTGCCCATTACAGCCCTTATCTTCCCACTACAGCCCTATTCTCACACACTACGACTCCTGTCCTCCACTGAAGCCTCTTCCCTCCCATATTACAACCCTTTCTGTAACACATGTATGTGGGTGTGATGTATATTTATGTCTCTTGCAATTTGGTGGGTACACCAGGTGGGCAATTTGGTGGGTACATGGATCTTGTGATCTCCTATTGCCCAGGGGCCCCATGAGTTGTCAGTCCACCCTTGGCTTCAATGGCTAGATCCCTGCTCACAGTGATCTAGCAGGGGGAGAGGTTAGCAGTAGGAAGGAGGGAGGGGCAGACAATTGTGGAGGGGGAACTGAGGGGGAAAGTGAGGGAGGGACGGATCCTGACTCCTTTGTTGAGACCTACACGTGAGGAACCCCTGTTTGTCCGAGGCCTCTTTTTTCCCCATTACCTCTGGGTTTTTAGCATTCTAGATATTCCTCCCAGGGTTGCCAGATCTTTGTGAAAGCCCGCTCGGTGTTTCTAACCTGAGCTGTTAGTTTTTCCATAAGTGATCTTTTACTTTGAGAATGACCTGGTCTATGGTGGGTATGGTGCTGTTGAGCCAGGATTGGGCTATTGCTCGTCTTGCTGCTAACGTGATATTGTTATGCAACTTTTGTTCTTTGGTGGTCAGGCCCTTTACCGGTCTGGAAAACAGAAATATCCAGGGCTCTACGTCTATTTGTCTTCTTTACCTTTTGTTTTCGTCTATGCATGTTGTATGTTCTCCCCTAATTGTACAGTGCTAAGGAATATTCTGGTGTTTTATAAATGGCCGTAATAAATAAATAAGTATTAGTTCATACGCTGACTATGTGTAAGGCGAGGGAGAGACCCCAATAACCCAAACTGTAGCATGAGAGCAATGGAAGACTATTTTTTCTATTGAATAAGTAGTTTTAATGTACAGTTAGTTATACAAGTTTATCTAAATATGCCGAGAGACAAAGCTGGTCCTTTACACTTAAAGTTGAACAGTATTCATCATCGTGGTCATCAGATATGGTAATCACCAATTTTTATTCTGAAATAACTCCACCTACCTTTACCAAACTCTCCGTTGTTAAGGTCAAAAGCTTGGAGTTTTACTTCAGCCATCACAAGATTCAAATCATTTTTAAATTTTATAGTTGGAGTATTTTTACATTTAACAGCGTAGCCTTTGTCTGTATACAGCAGTTTTTCATTTGTGGAATTGGCTCTCCAAGTCTCTACAAAACAAAATACAGGACACATTGACTATTAGTAAATTGACTGTAACGTCACAGTAACTGATTTTGCAAAAATTTTAAGTATTTAAAGGGCACACTGGATATAACAACTTTAGCAGAATAAAGTTGTTATGGTGCAAGATGATCTTGTACACCAGCTTAACAACTAGTTTACCCCAAAGTCTTTAAGCTGGTGCTTGGTTGTTGTGCCCATGAACCTCCACTCCATGTCTGAGACTTGAATCAGGAAGCCCCTGACAAGACGCTGGTGGAAAAGTAGAATAGTGAAAAAGTGATTGGTTTTTATCTACTTTCCTATTTTGCCAACTTTGCTCTAGATTTAGCAAGCCATTTTGTCAAATAACCCCTAAAGAAAAATATAATATGAACACTAATACCAATCCTTGAATGTAAAATTTTAAGTATTCTGTAAGGTAAAGCAAATATAATGAAATACTATTATAATATATCCAATGTTAGCGATCATGATAGGTTCCAAAACCTCTGTGATAATTATTTTATCTGATGGGCAACCTAAGTGCTTATAGATCCATCTCATGCAAAAATAAAATAACTTCGTCAGCTGACAGTAATTTATAGTAGCTCTCAAGTGAGTGGTGAATTTACCTAAATTCATGGATTCTAACCACACATTTTACAGTGACGTTGGCAAGGTCAAAAAAGCAATGTGTATAAAGGCATGTTGGAGCATTGCAATTTGTCATGTTCTAGAAAAGTACTGGAGAAAACTTGAAAACAGTAAGTTTTGCTGTGCATGCAAGTGAGGTTTATTTCTGACTTGTCCTCTGAGGGACAATACAGATGTGCTATTGGCTATTCTATTGTATAGTTTTATAGGCTGACACATCAGCTGCTGGAGGTCACTTCCTTATCACCCTTAAAGGACCACTGTAGGCACCTAGACAACTTCAGCTTAATGAAGTGGTCTGGGTGCCTGGTCCAGCTAGGGTTAACCCTTTTTTTTAAATAAACATAGCAGTTTCAGAGAAACTGCTATGTTTATAAATAGGTTAATCCAGCCTCTAAAGCCTCTAGTGGCTGTCTCATTGACAGCCGCTAGAGGCGTTTGCGTGCTTCTCACTGTGAAAATCAGTGAGAAGACGCATGCGTCCATAGGAAAGCATTATGAATGCTTTCCTATGAGACTGGCTGAATGCGCGCACTGCTCCTGCCGCGCATGCGCATTCAGCCGAAGAGGAGGAGAGGAGGCGGAGAGGAGGAGGAGAGCTCCCCGCCCGGCGCTGGAGAAAGAGGTAAGTTTAACCCCTTCCTCTCCCCAGAGCCCGGCGGGAGGGAGTCCCTAAGGGTGGGGGCACCCTCAGGGCACTATAGTGCCAGGAAAACGAGTATGTTTTCCTGGCACTATAGTGGTCCTTTAATACTTGTAAAACAGTAGCAAAGAACTTTGTATGAAACGCTTTCCTTCCTGTCTCTTTAAAGTGGAGGTTTGACATTGGGACCTCTGATAAAGAAAGACTGTATCAAGGGGACACTATGAGCACTCTAACATATTGTGCTTCTTGCAATGGAGCACAAGAAGTATTTTTTCAAATATTTTTGAGCACAGGAAGATTTATGACCAATAGTTAGACATCTCGTATCAGTGCACAAAGGTTAGAGTGTACAGGTCTTTGATAGATGCAGCTTAACAATCAAAGTAGGTTACATATTTGGTTGTGTTACATCTTCGAGACTGTATACATACATCAGGTACAAGATATGTAGTGGTGTCAGCTGGTATATGGTGTAGCAGAGCAGAGTAGGTTCATAGGATGTTTACATTTCATACATGCAGGACGTATTAATCACCTGCCGTAAGTAGGCTTGTACATGCTCTTAGGACCTTGTGTGTTAGCACTCGCTACGAGTATGACTTTACACTGTGTACTTTCTCCTGTATGAGTTTTTCTTTGGTTTATCTGGGGGTGTGAAAAAGAAAAGATAGAGGGAGGATGAGGGGGGAGAGGTTAGCAGTAGGAAGGCGGGAGGGGCAGACAATTGTGGAGGGGGAACTGAGGGGAAAAGCGAGGGAGGGACGGATCCTGACTCCTTTGTTGAGACTTACACGTGAGGAACCCCTGTTTGTCCGAGGCCTCTTTTTTCCCCATTACCTCTGGGCTTTTAGCATTCTAGATATTCCTCCCAGGGTTGCCAGATCTTTGTGAAAGCCCGCTCTGTGTTTCTAACCTGAGCTGTTAGTTTTTCCATAAGTGATCTTTTACTTTGAGAATGACCTGGTCTATGGTGGGTATGGTGCTGTTGAGCCAGGATTGGGCTATTGCTCGTCATGCTGCTAACGTGATATTGTTATGCAACTTTTGTTCTTTGGTGGTCAGGCCCATTACCGGTCTGGAAAACAGAAACATCTAGGACTCTACGTCTATTTGTCTTTGTATCACTACTGTAAGGAAGTCTCTGACTAGAACCCAGAAACTAGCTAATTTTGGGTAGGTCCACCACATGTGTGTAAAAGTGCCTTTGTTCCCACATTGTCTCCAGCATTCATCTGTAGTTGTTTTACCCATGCGGAAAAGTTTCTCTGGTGTTGTGTATCACCTCATGAGCATTTTGTGTGGTTGCTCCTGGAGCGTGACACATATTGAGCATTTTTTGTCCGCCTCCCAGATATCCACCCAGTCTCCCCTGTCTAGTGTTTGTGACAGGTCTGCCTCCAATTCGGCGATGTATCGAAGCTCGTCTGCGTCTTTTTCTGGGGCGCTGAGTTATGTATAAACTGTGGTGATCAGGCCTTTATGTTTGGCTTCTGTTATACATAGTTTTTTGTAAAAAGTCATGGGGGTCTGTGCTGCTGTCTTTACTTGTTGGTCTCTGGCAAAGTCCCTAAGTTGGATGTACCCGAAGTAATCTTTGATATTTAGCGGTGCTAGTGTATTTAGATCGACGAATGACCTGAACGTGCCCTGTTCATACATTTGGAAGTATCTTTGCATCCCCTATGCCTCTATACCCCTGAAGTCCCTAGCGGTAATCCCAGGCTCAAAGGCCCTGTTGTGTAAGTACGGTGTCAGGAGGGAAGAGGTGTGTTTAAGCGAGTATTTTTGGGCCGTGAGGTCCCAGATTCGTATGGAATTCAATATAGCCGGGCAAGTCGTGCTCAGATTCGGTCTTTGCGTTTTGGGTACCCATATTAGAAAATTGCGTTCCCATTAGCGATGTTCCGAGATACACTCATTTGTGTGCGTCAGTGGGGAGTGCCATGCTACTATTTGTGCTAGTTGTGCGGCTAGATAGTAAAGATAAAGGATTGGGAAGCCTAGCCCTCTGTGTGTCTTGGGTCGGTGCAATAAATGTCTGGCTACTCTGTGTTGTTTCCCTGCCCAAATGAAGTTGTCATACTCTGTAAATAGCTTTGGTTTCTTTTACTCACTTTAATTGGTAGGCCTGGAACAGAAATAGCAGTCGCGGCAGTAGATACATTTTTACTGCATGTAATCTCCCTATCCATTATATGGGTTTCTCATCCCATTTTTGTAAATCTTGTGTTAGTGTTTTTGTCAGTGTTGTGAAATTATCTGAGTATAACTTGGTGGGATCGGCTTTTAATGTTGTTCCTAAGTATTTGAGTGAGTGGAAGTTGATTTTCAGACCCTGTCTCCTCCCCAGCAACACTGCCTCCTTCCGTGTCATGACTATCAGCATCGCTGCCGACTTGTCTAGGCTAATCTTATAACCTGATACTTTTGCATATGTATCCAGAACGTCTAGCAACGAGGGGAGGGAAGCCACCGGGTTACGGAGAGTAAGCATGCATCATCCGCATAGGCTGACACCTTGAATTCCTTGGTTTGCAGCTGTTAGGCCCCGGATCTCTGGGTGTGTTCTGATAAAGTGTAAAAGTGGCTCCAGGGCAATGACAAAGAGGAGTGAAGACAGGGGGCATCCTTGCCTTGTGCTGTTGCCGACTTTAAATGGGTTATTCCCTGATCCTGGGATAGATTCTTATGCTTGCGGGTCCAAGTAAAGCACCTTTACTGCTGTGATAAAGGACTGTGGCAGGCCGATGTGTTGTAGTAATGTGTTATGGGCAAATAGGTAATGCCATTGCACCCGGTCAAATGCCTTCTTCGCGTCCAAGGAGAGGACCAGAGAAGGCATTTGCTTTGTGAGTGCCCACCAGATGAGATCCACTCTTCCTCTGGTATTTTCATACAGTTGCCTATTAGGCACGAATCCCACCTGGTCTAGGTGGATCAGCTTGTTCAAGACTGGGTTTAACCTAGAGGCTAGGAGTTTTGCATATATTTTGATGCCAAAGTTTATCAGAGAAATCAGTCTGTAGTGTTGGACTTGGGTCTCGTCCCTGCTTGGCATGGGGATCACGGCGATGTCAGCTGTCAGTAAATCTTTGTTTGTGGTGCTCCCTTCCCTCCAGTCATTGTAGACCTTGGTTAGATAAGGTTTCAGGTTTTCTCAGAAGACTTTCCTAGGTCCCAGATTTGTATGAAATTCAATATAGCCGGGCAAGTCGTGCTCAGATTCGGTCTTTGCGTTTTGCGTACCCATATTAGAAAATGGCGTTCCCATTAGCGATGTTCCAAGATACAGTCATTTGTGTGCGTCAGTTGCGGAGTGCCATGCTACTATTTGTGCTACTTGTGCGGCTAGATAATAAAGATAAAGGATTGGGAAGCCTAGCCCTCTGTGTGTCTTGGGTCGGTGCAATAAATGTCTGGCTACTCTGTGTTGTTTCCCTGCCCAAATGAAGTTGTCATACTCTGTAAATAGCTTTGGTCTCTTTTACTCACTTTAATTGGTAGGGCCTGGAACAGAAATAGCAGTCGCGGCAGTAGATTAATTTTTACTGCATGTAATCTCCCTATCCATGATATGGGTTTCTCATCCCATTTTTGTAAATCTTGTGTTAGTGTTTTTGTCAGTGTTGTGAAATTATCTGAGTATAACTTGGTGGGATCGGCTTTTAATGTTGTTCCTAAGTATTTGAGTGAGTGGAAGTTGATTTTCAGACCCTGTCTCCTCCCCAGCAACACTGCCTCCTTCCGTGTCATGACTATCAGCATCGCTGCTGACTTGTCTAGGCTAATCTTATAACCTGATGGGGGGCGTGGCCTGAAGTCCGACAGACATGGACGTGTAAGTCCCGAGCTCCCTGCCACCTAGCTACCATCAGCCACTTACCGACCGCCAGCCTGCCTAAATGGGGCGCACAAAAAGGCAAGAGCCCCAACATACCCCCAGGGCAGCTCCACCGGCACCGCCGTCAGGACCGATGGACGGGTTCCTGCAAACCTCGCAGGGACCGAGCCGCGAGGCACACGGCTCCAAGATGGCGCCCGTCTCCCCAGCCTCCTCCTGCTCGGAACCCGACCAGCCTACTCTGGCTGACATAGGAGCTGAAATCAGACGACTGGCAGCCAATATGGTAACCAAAGCCGACCTGCAGTCCCTCACAGCCACCCTCACGGCCTCCCTCACGTCAGCAGTCTCAGCACTGCGCACAGATATGGAGGCACAAGATGGACGCATCCAAATGCTGGAAACACAGGCCCTAGAATCACAACGCCGTGCAACTGCTGCTGACACAGCCTTGACAAGGCAGGGCAACATGCTGCTGGCCCAGCGCAGGCAAATAGAGGACCTAGATAACCGGAGCCGCCGCTCAAACATCCGGGTAAGAGGGGTTCCAGAGGGTGAGGGGCAGGAAAATGTAGAAGAGCTGCTCACCGCGCTCTTCCTCCAAATCCTGGGACCTGACGCACCACCAAATATACGCTTTGAGCGTGCACATAGGGCACTGAGACCCAGAATCAGAGATGGGGACCCCAGAGACATTATATGCTGCTTACACTCATTTCCCCTTAAAGATCGCATAATGCAACGGGCTAGGGCTCGACCCACGTGGCGTTATCAAGAAACGGAAGTCTCCCTCTATAATGACCTCTCCCCTACCACGTTGGAGGCTAGACGCGCTCTTAGACCTATCACTACAGCACTAAGGGAACGCAATATCCCGTACAAATGGGGCTTCCCATTTAGCATCCAAGTGAGACACCAAAACGAATGGGTCGTGGCGCGCTGGCCGGACGAAATACCACGCTTTCTCCAACGGCTGGACCTCCCGCCCATAGCTATCCCAGACTGGATCCTGGAACCACTGGACCGAGAACCCAGACCACAAAGACAACCAAGGCACTCACGGAGAGGCCCAAGGGAAAACCGCATACACGAAGCACCTTCACACCCATCTAACCCAGAAGAATAGCCAAGCACCGATGGCACCGGGCTCGTCTCTCTGTGACACCTATGATCAGGTTACCTGAAAAGATGTAGACGCAACCGACGCCCCGCAGACAGAACTCATTACCCACAACCCACTGACCCAAGGAGCCAACTCCGCACGCTACCTCTGGTGTGCGCACACCCAGCGACCCACACAATCTAGATGGGGACTAGGAGGGACATAACAGGCTCTTGACCACAGGAGATGGAACTGTTGGTACCAGTTCTACTAGGCCCCACCGGCCAAGATACTCCCCACTTTATACCCACCTTTCCATAGCCTGTGGCACACGGGGTTGGCACTATCACGAGACTCTCTTGGGAGGGGGGGAAGGCTTGTGATAGCCACATTGGGAACCCAGGGAAGCTGAAGAATCACGAGTCGGATCCCTTGGCTGGACTTGCCACCGCACCTACAAGGAACCGACAAAAGAATATGATCCAGAACTGGATACCTGCACTGGCAGAGACACGACACTCTGGAGGACTCGTGCTAACAGGTTCAGGGGGGAATGATGAACGCTGGGCTGGCTGCATGTTGCGGACCTACGCTGGGTGCAGACAGGGGGGAGGGATTTGTGGGACTGTATTGGGCTGCATGGGGGGTAGTTTAGATCCAGCGAGACACTGATTGTTGTATTCCTAGGCCAACAGTTCAAACTGGTGGAGTGGGGGAGGATACGGGAGAATGGGAGGGTGGAATTTAGAATCCCTTAGCGTAGGACACCTGATGCAGATAGCTCATGACCACAGCAGATCTAGGTAGGAACCGCTATACACGATATCACCCCGTCCCCCCCCAGGCCTAGATACGGTCACACACAGGTACACCAACATGAGACGAGGGTGCTGCAAGAGGAAGATGGGAACTAGGAGGTACACGAAGGGGATCCAATGCTGCAACTGATGTATATATGTTTTGTTCTGCGGTTTGGGTGGGGAGGGAATGTACTGTGAGATATGATGCACATTTTGAATTGTTCACCACAATATTGACCGGGACAGCTATCTCATTGAAATTGGGGGAGATGACACCACTTACCCCCAGAGCGAACCAAACATCCCGCACATTACGTGACAGTCATGCCACACCAGGACTCTGCCCTACCCCAGACACAGGAATTTGCCCCGATCCGATATAGACCCTGACCCTGGCACCGACCATACAGCCTAAAAACACTCCACCACTCGATAGCACTACATCAACCAAGGATACGAAAAGCGACAATACTAATAACTGCTGATACCACCAGACTAGACCCATTACTCACACTAACGCTAACGACACTCAAATGCTCCCACACTGGTGGCACACCCACTGGGTAATCTCGGACTTATATACCTGTAACGACAAACAGTAGATACACCGTACGTGGTGGGAACGCGCGAAGACTAGACCACTAACCCCCGCCAAGTCCGCGTGAACAAATTCGAACCACGGAGAGTCGATAGTTGGAGGTCGTTAGATATTCTCTGACAGACCCGACTACTGACTGCTACCGTGGTCACGCGAACCAACCCTCACAGGAGGGATTTTTGACACCTACCTCTAGGTGCCGTACTGTCCCCCTCTGGGGACGGCTAACCTACCTCTACCTTCATACCCCTGCCTAGGGGACTCTCTACATCTTTTCTCAAACTCCACCCTACCTCATCCCTCCCCATACGACTCTGATCCAACCGCCCCTACCCAACTTCTACACTACCGTCACCCCCCCCTGCCACCTCCGTGCCCACGGCATTTCCTAAAAGAGACGGGGCAGCACCCGACACCAGGCACCGACTAGAAGAGTAAACAAAACGTTAAAGGACATGGCGAACCACCCCCACCAATCGCAAATGGCCTACAAACCTGACCCTCTACGCATCACAACCATGAACTGCAGGGGCCTAAATATCCCGGAGCGCAGATCGCACCTTCTCCGAGAGCTTACCTCTAAGCGCATATCGATTGCTTTCCTACAGGAAACACACTTTAAGGAAGGACATGCTCCGCCGTTGAAGAGCAAACACTACCCCACTGCGGCTCTCAGCAACCACCCGACTGCACGTAAGGCTGGTGTAGCAGTTCTCACCCATGCTCAACTACAGTTCCAGGAAGTGGAGCGACTGGTTGACCCTAATGGCAGATACCTGTTCATTAAGGGAGACATACAAAACCGTAGGTACACCCTCGTGACGATATACGCACCAAACAACAACCAATCACACTTCATACGTAAATCTCTCTCCAACCTCTCCTCATTCACGGAGGGCACGTTAATCGTTGGAGGAGATATTAATGTTCCCCTCATCCCTCTCATAGATTCATCCACGGGACATAGCAGCATCACCCAAGGAGCCATCCGAAGCATTCAAAAAACACTAAAGAACCTTAGGCTGGTGGATTGCTGGCGAGCGATGCACCCGGAAGACAGGGAATACACTCACTACTCGGTGATACATAAGCGATACGCAAGGATTGACTACATTTTCCTTCAACAGGAACATCTTGACGCTATCCAAACAGCAGAAATCGGAACAGCAAGCTGGTCGGATCATGGTCCTGTGACCCTGCAAATGGACTCCCCTAGGGTACGCCCAACCACTAGGTCGTGGCGACTCCAGGACTCATTACTCTTGGACCCATCAGTGAAGGAAAAGGTTTCCGAGGAACTCACCTCCTATTTCACACTGAATGAGACAGGTGATCTTCCCGCGACCACGATATGGGAAGCGCACAAAAGTGTGCTCAGAGGGACACTGATGCGCCTAGCTTCTCAGAAGAAGAGAGAATCTCGGAAACATATAACAGACCTGCTAACGCGCATAACTACGCTTGAACTGCAACATAAACGTTCACAACTCGAGGGGACGTATAAAGAATTATTGGAAGCTCGAAGATCTCTACATACACACATGACGAAACGACACTATAGCTCCATACAACGATCGAAGGCCTTCTTTTACCAACACGCCAACAAAGGAGGGCGACTGCTGGCCAGAATGCTTAGAGGCCCCCAAGGCATGACCCAGGTACATAAACTACGGACATCAGATGGCACGATCACACAATTCCCGGACAAAATAGCATCCGAGTTTCGCACATTTTACGCCTCGTTATACAACATCCCGGGACCCACACTACCGGAGGAGGTAACACTCAGACGGGATAGAATAAGGAGTTATATCGAATCACACATGAAGACGAGGTTGCAGCAAGGGGAATCGGAGTCCCTGGATATACCGATTACGGAGGCAGAAGTTGCAGGGGCACTCAAGACCGCCAAAACGGGACGGGCCCCAGGTCCTGATGGCTTTACCTTGGACTACTATAAAAAGTTCCGAACCCTACTGCTCCCGAGACTCACCAACTCATTTAACGCCTTGATAGACGGCGCCCGACTCGGACCCGAATCATTAGCGGCAACTATAACGGTTCTCCCGAAACCTGGGAAGGATCCCGAACTCTGCAGTAGCTATAGACCGATATCACTGCTAAATGTGGACGTGAAACTCCTCACTAAAATACTATCCACCAGAATAGGGAAAATGCTTCCGAGATTGGTCCACCCAGACCAGACGGGGTTCATCCCAGGGAGAGAAGCCAGGGACAGCACTCTTAGAGTGCAGGCCATCCATCACCTGGCAAAGAAATCAACAGATAAGCTCCTTCTATTGTCAACGGATGCGGAAAAAGCATTTGACCGGGTTGACTGGACATTCCTTATGACCACGCTACGGGAAATGGGCTTCGGAGAGAACATGATGAAATGGATTGATGCGATCTACCACTGCCCCAATGCGAAGGTGAGAGTGAACGGAGCGCTTACCGACTCCTTCCAGATCCACAATGGGACAAGACAGGGATGCCCACTCTCCCCCATGCTCTTCGCCCTAGCTCTCGAACCGTTCCTGGAAGCGGTGCGCACATCGGATACAATCAAAGGCTTCAAAAGCGGGGACACAACACACAAAGTAGCAGCATACGCAGATGACCTCTTATTTTTTATCACGGAACCGGAGGCAACAATGCCACACTTAGTCACTATGATCACGGATTACGGGGAGGTCTCAGGATTCAAACTGAACATGAATAAATGTGAAGTGCTTAACATTACCACCCCAACGGCCCAAACATCCACACTGAAGAACCAATTTCCGTTTAGATGGTGCGCAAACCATATGCGGTATCTAGGTATCGCAATAACCAGAGACCTGGACGACATGTATCGTACAAACTTCCTACCACTACTACAACGAATCCAACAAGATTTGAAAACGTGGACATATCCACACATCTCCTGGTTAGGCCGGATCGCAATACTTAAGATGAATATTCTACCACGGCTGTTATATTTATACCAGACGATTCCACAAGCTCTACCGACGGCATATTTCGCGTCACTACGTTCCGCGATGGTGAAGTTCATCTGGCATGGGAAACAGGCAAGACTACGACAGGAAGTCCTCTGCCTACCCCGAGCATGGGGGGGATTGGCACTCCCTGACCTCCGCAAATACCACCACGCGACAGTACTACAACGCGTCCTGGAATGGCATACCCAACCGGAACATAAACAATGGATCGAATTGGACAAACAACATATAGGCCCCTCCTTCTTGACATCAGTGTGGAATAAGAAGAAGATGCCGCAGACGAATTTGGAACCATCCTCTACCGTGGCACAGACACTGAAAACGTGGGACTATATCAGAAAAGCTACTCACGTCTCTCCAGCACCGAGCCCGATGATCCAGATACAATACAACCCCCAGATAGGGGGAGGACTACCACGGACAGCATGGTCCTTCCTGGGATAGAGGGAATCACACCCCATACATAAGGTGTTGACTAACGCAGATATGATCCCCCTGAGGGACCTAATAGAGGGTGACCAACCCACTAGCCTACAGACCCTCCGTTATATACAACTCAGAACATATTACCGGACACTTCCAGACAAGGAAAAGTTACACAGGGACTTGACATGGTTCGAAACGCTCTGCGATCACAAGACTACTCTAGGTAAAGCGATATCCCTGCTATACCAACACGTACTCGTGGGGCACCTCACTAACAACGACCAATTCCGCAGACGCTGGGAACGCATGCTAAATACATCTTTCACCACATCCCAATGGGAAAAGATCCTCATATTACACCATAAATGCTCATCGAGCTCCCAATATCAAGAAACCAACTATAAACTTCTCTCATTCTGGTACAGAACGCCCGACAGTCTACACAGGATCTTCCCGAATGTACCTGACATATGCTGGAGATGCGGAGATGAACGTGGTTCGCCACTGCACATATGGTGGGAATGCTCGCTCATTAAGCCATTCTGGGACGAAGTTATACAGAAAATAAGGGATCTCACAGGGACGGAAGGAAACCTCAACGCAGAGGCAGTCCTCCTACACTCAACATCGGATCCCATAAGCACATACAGGAAAAACATTCGTAGACACCTAATCAACGCAGCCAAGGCACTAATTCCATTATACTGGAAACAAACGATTACCCCGACGATAAGACAATGGTTGGAACGGGTGGAAGAAATATATAGAGCGGAATTAATACAGGCTACACTACGAGGACTAGAAGACAAGCATTTGGAGAGGTGGCGCCCGTGGCTACTCTACATAGCAGACCGAAACACAGATAGCAACGGCCGTTCGCAACCCCAAGGAGCCCCAGGACCACCCACAGACGGGGACTGATGCCTGGTCCGATACATACTACGCCGTGGTCACGGATGACGGGACCACCTCTCCCTTCATACTCCCCTATCCCCCCTCACCTAGCTCTCCCCTCCTCTTCCCCCCCTCCTTTTCTCTTACTTCTTCCTCAATTAACACTCATCTTCTCTTTAAAACTCCCCAACAATAGCTTCATTATAAGTTATATGATAAACGTAGCCCGCCTTAATCTGAGATTGCCCACAATTGTGTCACTCACTCACATTTGCACGTCAAAATGTACGCAAACATCCTCATCACGCAACTATACGACACGAGTAAGACAAGTCCCTGAACGACATCTGACATGACGACGGACCAATAGACCTCACTACCCCAAAGAGAATGAGGCTTAAGGGTGATAAGGTAATACTAGAGGATCACATAAAACAGACGCAAGGCACAAACTTATGAATATCCCTCTATTCAAGCCGCATTCCGATCACTCATATGTATGTCTTAACGTGTTAAACGTGACCAAATGTCATATAGAAATACTAAGTAACATTGTTTGAGTGTTGTCTGCACACTTAATGTTGAGACCTGCGAGTCCGTTATTTGTTATTTACTTGTTCAATCAACTGATACTTGCTAATGTACACGGATCAGGGCATACCCTGAAATGCTTATGTTTGAATAAAGCCTTTTTTAAAATCGAAAAAAAAAAAAAATATGCCCAGACTTAAATTCTTGTAAAAATGTGTTTAATTTTGTGTCATGTACGCCAAATATTTACTTCACCATTCCAATAAAGTATAGATGGTAAATGTAAAAAAAAAAAAAAAAAAAAAAATCTTATAACCTGATACTTTTGCATATGTATCCAGAAGGTCTAGCAACGAGGGGAGGGAAGCCACCAGGTTGCGGAGAGTAAGCATGCATCATCCGCATAGGCTGACACCTTGAATTCCTTGGTTTGCAGCTGTTAGGCCCCGGATCTCTGGGTGTGTTCTGATAAAGTGTAAAAGTGGCTCCAGGGCAATGACAAAGAGGAGGGAAGACAGGGGGCATCCTTGCCTTGTGCCGTTGCTGACTTTAAATGGGTTATTCCCTGATCCTGGGATAGATACTTATGCTTGCGGGTCCAAGTAAAGCACCTTTACTGCTGTGATAAAGGACTGTGGCAGGCTGATGTGTTGTAGTAATGCGTTGTGGGCAAATAGGTAATGCCATTGCACCCGGTCAAATGCCTTCTTCGTGTCCAAGGAGAGGACCAGAGAAGGTGTTTGCTTTGTGAGTGCCCACCAGATGAGATCCACTCTTCCTCTGGTATTTTCATACAGTTGCCTATTAGGCACGAATCCCACCTGGTCTAGGTGGATCAGCTTGTTCAAGACTGGGTTTAACCTAGAGGCTAGGAGTTTTGCATATATTTTGATGTCAAAGTTTATCAGTGAAATCAGTCTGTAGTGTTGGACTTGGGTCTCGTCCCTGCTTGGCATGGGGATCACGGTGATGTCAGCTGTCAGTAAATCTTTGTTTGTGGTGCTCCCTTCCCTCCAGTCATTGTAGACCTTGGTTAGATAAGGTTTCAGGTTTTCTCAGAAGACTTTGTAGTAGGTACTGTCAAAGCCATCTGGGCCTGGGGCTTTGTTGCCTCTTAGGGCTGATATGGCTATATCTACCTCTTCACTTGTTATTGGGGCTCCTAGGGTTTTGATAAGGTCTTCTTTAATTGCTGGCATACTAACGTCATGCACTACCACTCTTTTGAATAACTATTGAGCATTGATATACCATCTCTGAATGTTTTCCGGAGTGGATTACACTCTGTATCTAGGAATACTAATCTCATAAAATGTTACACTTTCAATATATTAAGAATTTGTTTTCGATATAAACATCATCACCCAACGGCTTTTCGAATAGGTAACATTATAATCTAAACTGAGTGCCTCCCCTCTGGATTATCCTTGGTATTTACTCTATATAGGGGTTCTGTTGTCATTTGTAGGTAACACATATGTATATAGTGTTCTTTACATGGATACCCTAAGAACGGACTTCTCGGCTATTTTTTTGTACCCCTGAAGATGAATTTATTCAAAGTATAGGTTCGTTGTCACTTATATGAATAGACAGATTTGTGATAAATTACTTAATTTTGTTGGCATTGAGGTTTGGTGTCTCCGTCGCTCTTTTGAATATCTTAGAGCAGCGTAGTATCATCTTAAAACATTTATGTTCCTATATATATTTTTTATTTTACAAAACTCAACATTTTTGATATTACTGGACTTCAATTTAGACTTATCCGGTCAATATGTTCTTCCCTGTCTTTATTAGACAAAATAATTGGTGGCAATCAAACATTGGCAATTGGCCCGCGGACCGGCATAGAAGGAGTTAAATTAAACTTCTGCTCAGTTACCGATGATGACAACCAATCGGTAACCAGTTGAGTTAAACGTTGGAAAACTCTGATTGGTTAATACCTTGATGATGTTTTTTGAATCTGCTCGGCGGTATTAGCGCCTCCTGAACATATAAAACAACATCTCTCCCCACACATCGGTTCCCCTCTGATGAGTGGTGGGCGAAACGCGCGCGTCAGGGGACCTCGTGGTTTTTCACACTGTGGATTCAGAACAGATTATACCGCAGTTGTTTTAACCACTGAGCACTTTTTCTCTTCTAGCTTGCGTTATATATATTATCTCTTTATTATGAAAAATCTTTAGAGACCCAGTATTTCATGTCATGACGAAATATATGAATTAGTAGTGTACTTTAGCGAGCTGGAGAGTTTAAACGTTTATTCACTATGTTGATACATTTGGTTCGGTATGCTTGCAGCATTGGCAACATTGTATTCATCTCCTATTTGAGACAGTGTTACTTGATATGTTACAGGAGAAGCCTCTATCGGATATTATTTGGAAGCTTATTCTTTCAGCATAGGTGTATTGCAAAACATCTTTTTGCACACACTATTGGTTGTTGGTCTCTGAAAACTTTTGAACAGAACCACACCATTAGCCTGTTTTAATTCTTAAGGAATGTTCTTTGGGGTGCTGGAGTCTCTGTGGATCCAGCAGCCCCATTTGGGCGATGAAGTTTTTAGTAGTTTATCTTGTCCCCCCTCCCCTGTGATCTTGGCTGTCCCCCCTTTATACTGCGGTCAATTGCTGTGCACGGTGTCACGCTGATGTCTCCCCCCACCACCACCACCCAATGTGGGAGCGATGCGACTAGAGTACCGAGATTTGACCAGAAGTCGTTATCAGGGTTGTTAGACCCACATACATTGATCAAATGTTATGTGGTGTTATGAATAGTACCTGTGAGGATTAGATATCTACCATCTGTTTCTGTGTAGTTTGCACCTGGAACGAGCAGTTTTTGTGTATGACTATTTCCACTCCGTGCCTCTTTGCCTGAGACCTAAAGGCATAGGCATAGGCACTCGTGTAGATGTGATCGACAGCTAGGCATGTGCATGGGGAAAATTTTCGGTTCGGCATTCCGAAATGTGGGACTATGGCAATTCGGGACTAAAAATTAATTAGTATTAGTAAATTATGCCCCTACTCGCTATACCACGAGTAGGGGCATGTCTATTAAACAGTGAACAGCCAGTGGCTGCTCACTGTTAAAAAAAAAAAGTGTCCCCCATCCCGAGCCGCGAGAGTGGAGGATTTTAAACTAAAGGGGGAACCTATTGCCCCCTCTGGCCCCCACCCCTGAGCGGCGGGTGGGGGCCCTAAAAAAGGGGGGGACCTTATGTCCTCCCCCTGCACCCACCCCTGAGCGGTGGGTGGGGGCCCTAAATAATAATTTAATCCCCCAGGTGACTAGGGGTCCCCAAACCCCTAGTCACCCCCTCCCAAAAATAAATGAACCACTACCTACCCTCCTCACTCTAAAAGTAATGAGGGGGGACCATTAACTAAGTACTTGTAAAAAAAAAAATAAAAAAAAAAATTACCATTTGATGTTTTCTTTTTTCTAAAATCTTCTTAAAAAAAGGCCAAATAAAAATCCATAATGACCGTCGCAATTAGAAATAAAAAGAAAAATCCTGAGCGTAAAAAAAAAGAATCCTTCTTCACTCATGGAGGGCTCCGCACAGAATGAGCTCTTCAGGGAGGGGGGAGGCTTATAAAGCCTTTCCCCGCCCTGCAATTAGGCTCAGAGAACTCTGGTTGGTTGGTTTAAGCCATCCAATCAGAGTGCTCTGACAGGTAAATGAAGAGACTGACAGGCAAGTCTCTACATTTACCTGTCACAGCACTCTGATTGGTTGGCTTGAAATCCACCCAATCAGAGTGTTCTGTGTCATTTTACACAGCGTGGGATAGTTATTTGTAATTTTCCCATGCTGTGTAATTTGACTCATAACAACACTCTGATTGGTGGATTAAGAGTAACCAATCAGAGAGTTAGGTCCCCCCTTATTCTAATTTAAGGCCCCCACACACCGCTCAGGGGTGGGGGCCAGGGGGGAGGACATTAGGTCCCCCCATTATTGGTATTTAGGGCCCCCACCCACCGCTCAGGGGTGGGGGTCAGGGGGGAGGACATTAGGTCCCCCCCCTTCTTCTAACATCAGCCCCCACCTGCCGCTCAGGGGTGGAGGCCGGGGGGGAGGACAATAGGTCCACCACCCTATTTTACTTTAGGGCCCCACCCGCCGTTCAGGGGTGGGGGCCGGGGGGGGGGCAATAGGTTCCCTCTTCAGGTTAGAAGCCCCTACTCGCGCAGCTCGGGAGGGGGACGTGTTTTTTTGTTTTTTTTTCACTGCTCAATGTTTACTAGACATACACCTACTCGAGGTATAGCGAGTAGGGGCATAATTTACTAATACTAAGTAATCTTTACTTAGTATTAGTAAATGTGGTTGAAAGACCAATTTAGGTCTTTCAGCCTTTTAGTAGATAACTCCCTAATACCGTGGGAGTTAGGGAGTTATCTACTTATTCATTCCTGTCATTCCATTGCCAGGCTAAGTAACTTACATTTTATATGAATGTGTGTTACTTGATTGTTGTAAGTGTTGCAAATGCTTACAGCTGAATCCTGGCTATGTTTGTATACTTTTTATTTAAACTTGTATACAGTGTAACATTCTTCATTCTTCCACTGAGTAAGTATATTAGTACTTAGGCAATACTGTGCTTCGGAACATCGGCACTACGGCACTACGGCACTTCGGAAATTCGGCAAGTTTGGAACTTCGGCATTTTGGCAATTCAGCTATTCGGAAGTACCCGAATTTCGTCCGAATTCGCATTCGGACCAAAATGAATTGCACATGTCTATCGACCACCAGCACCCGGGATGAGCGCTGTATGTAGGTTTCTTGTATGAATGCAATATCAGCTCTTTGCCTTTTTATTTCCCTGAGGAGGAGGTGTCTCTTATTAGGGACGTTCAGGCCATTGACCACTGGCGTACATACCAGGGTCGCAGGGGTCGCGACTGCGACCGGGCCCGGCCCACCAGGGGGCCCGGCCGCCCCTGCGACCCGGTATGTAGCCACAGGGCCAGCCTCTTCCCCTGGGGGGCCCAGGAGCCGACCACCCCAGGGCCCCCGAGGCTGGCCCTGCTGACCACCGGGCAGGTGGGTGGCCGGTGGGTCGGGCGGCGCGCGAGGGAGCACTCAGTGCTTCCTCTTCCAGCTCCCTCGGCGTGCCGCGAGGATGCGGGCGAGGGAGCTCATCGCAAGTGCTCCCTGCGCGCCCGCCTGCCCGCCCCGCAAACTTAAGCACTGGACCCCAGGGAATCCCCCCAGTACTCCAAAAGGTAAGGAGGCTGGGGGGATTACATTTAAAAAATAAAATAAAATCATGTGTGAGTGTTAGTGTGAGTGAGTGTTAGAGTGTGTGAGAGTGTTAGAGTGAGTGTTAGTGTGTGTCTGCTAGTGAGTGTTAGTGTGAGTGTTAGTATGTTAGTGTGTGTGTCTGCTAGTGAGTGTCAGTGAGTGTGTTACTGTGTGTGTCTTACTGAGTGTGTGTGTTAGTGAGTCTGTTTGATGTCTGTTAGTGAGTGTGTGTTTGTCAATGAGAGTGTATGTTTTGTAAGTGAGTGTGTATGTATGTCTGTCGCTGAGTGTGTCTCTGTCAGTAAATGTGTGTCTGTTAGCTAGTGTGTATGCGTCTGTAAGTGAGAGTGTGTGTGTCTTCAGCACTTACCTTTCTCCAGCGCCGGACTCCCTTGGCGCTGAGGATCCCTCAGCCTCTCAGCTCCGAATGCGACTGCGCACGCATTCAAACCACCCATAGGAAAGCATTACTCAATGCTTTCCTATGGACGTTCAGTGTGCTCCTCTAGCAGCTGTCCATGAGACAGCCACTAGAGGCTGGATTAACCCTCAGTGAAACATAGCAGTTTCTCTGAAACTGCTATGTTTTCAGCTGCAGGGTTAAAACTAGAGGGACCTGACACCCAGACAGCTTCATTGAGCTGATGTGATCTGGGTGTCTGTAGTGGTCCTTTAAAGGACCACTATAGTGCCAGGAAAACATACTCGTTTTCCTGGCACTATAGTGCCCTGAGGGTGCCCCCACCCTCAAGGACCCCCTCCCGCCCGGCTCTGGAAAGGGGTAAAACTTACCTTTTTCCACCGCTGGGCGGAGAGCTCTCCTCCTCCGATCCTCCTCTTCTCCTCCCCGTCGGCTGTATGCGCACGCGCGGCAAGAGCTGTGCACGCATTCAGCCAGTCACATAGGAAAGCATTCATAATGCTTTCCTATGGACGCTGGCGTGCTCTCACTGTGAAAATCACAGTGAGAAGCACGCAAGCGCCTCTAGTGGCTGTCAATGAGATAGCCACTAGAGGAAATAGGGGAAGGCTTAACCCATTCATAAACATAGCAGTTTCTCTGAAACTGCTATGTTTATGAAAAAATGGGTTAACCCTAGCTCGACCTGGCACCCAGATCACTTCATTAAGCTGAAGTGGTCTCGGTGCCTAGAGTGGTCCTTTAAGTGTGTGTGCATCTGCATGCACTGGCGTACATGCAGGGGTCGCAGCCCTGTAACCCCTGCGACCAGGTGCCCACCGCCATGTGTTGCGGCCCGGCCCGCGAGGGGGGGGGGGCCCACGGATCAATTTTCGCACCGGGGCCCCATGGGTCATGTGTACGCCACTGCCATTGACGTTTAGCGATGTAAGGCTAAGCGATGTATTGGTGCAACCTGCTGTTGTCAATCGGGCATCTGAGAGTGACTATGTCCGCCTTTTCTGTCGGTTACGCCGCCCCCACCAGTAGGGAGTGTGGGATAAGGGTAGGGAGGGGTAGGAGAATGAGAAGGGGAAAGAGAAGAAGGAAAAAGCAGGAAAGACAAGAGTAGTAGTGTGGTGGATCACCTGGCACCCCGACTGGGTACCTCCACCAATCGCTGCTTCCTAGTATCACAGAGTACTATAAGCACCGCACTGGACACCATAATCACCGTAGTCACTTTAGCCGCTGCAGCTTGACTGGGGTCCCTTCCCACCCTGGATCAACACCTGGATCCAGCTCCCAGTGGGAAGACTTCTCCTCCGAGAGAGTATAGCTGTATAGCAATCCAAAGAGCAGTATATCAAGTGATTATAGCAGGTATAGCTTTTCTCCCCACATATGAAACGAAGCTCTATGCTGTCAGTGAACTGGTTTATTGGGAGCCACACACAGCCTTTTATGTAACTCCCCATGCCAGGGGTTTCCTAAATTACATTCCAGGGACATTCCCTGCTGGACTTGAGAGGAGAGTGTTGCAAAGTACACATCTAAATTGAATTATCTCCCAGTACAGAAAACATGCAATACAACAATACCTCAAAAGTACCCCAAAAACATATAAAAAAACCCCACAAAAGTTACATCCCCTGATAGCCCCGATCTGGGTTACCAACATTTCCCAAAATTATGGCTTATGCAATGTATGATCATATAATGTAACTAAACCCCCATTATTTTTGCCTAGATTAGGTGTTTTTAAAAAAACTAATAAAATCTTTCAACATTGAAATTGCTGTTTAGTGGATAGGTGAGTGCGCTGGATCTTGTGTTTTGTATTATTTGGCCCCCAGCAGCACCCCCATTTATGCATGTTAAGGTGAGTGCAGCCAACCCCCTCTTGTTTTATATATATTTGGGAGTCTAGCCAACTCCTTGGTTTTGCACCCCTCTCTGTCACAGGTGCCTCATCCCAGGGCCCTATTTAGCCTTGTACTGCAGAGAGCCCCAGATGGATTTTTTTCCCCCAAGTAAGTGGGTTAATCTCATAAGAGCAGACTTTAGGTTGTTAGTGTAGGACCTGCCAAAGATGGGGTACATTGACGTTGTGGCAGGCTTATGCAATGTATGATCATATAATGTAACTAAACCCCTATAATTTTTGCCTAGATTAGGTGTTTAAAAAACAAAAACAAATAAAATCTTTCAACATTGAAGTTGCTGTTTAGTGGATAGGTGAGTGCGCTGGATCTTGTGTTTTGTATTATTTGGCCCCCAGCAGCACCCCCATTTATGCATGTTCAGGTGAGTGCAGCCAACTCCCTCTTGTTTTATATATATATATATATATATATATATATATATATATATATATATATACACACACACACACACACACACAAAGAAACTAGTCCTGCGCTCAAACTCTCAGGAATGTTTTGGGGTCAGCTGAAGGGAGGAGAATTGCGGACTTCGGGCAGTTAAATCCCAGCATCTTGAAGGGGAATCACCAGGCGAACCGCAGTCCCTTAGCCCTGATAAGATCAGCAATTGGCTTCCATTCTTTCTGGAGTGCCAAAGTGAGGGGTGCGATGTCTTAGAAGAGGCCTAGATCTTGTCCCTCATGCTTGAAGGTGTGTCGCCGGCTGGTCTTCATTATTGCCTCTTTTGTGGAGAAAAAATGCCAGCGTAGGATGACATCTCTGGCTGGGCCGTTTGGAGGATCCTTAGCCCGTAGTGCCCTATGGACCCTGTCAATGAGCCATAGCTGGTCTGGTATGTCAGGTAACAGATGAGCAGAGTTGTTCCAGGTCAGCGTCCCTTATGCTCTCTGGCAGGCCCCTTACCCTCATGTTATTTCTTCTGGACCTGTTGGAAGCGTCCTCCATCTCCAGCTCGAGCTCTGTGACTCTGTCTAGGAACAAGTTGGTCAGTGTGGCTGCTCCATTGTGCACCATCACCACGTGCTCCATGCAGCGCTCTAAGGAGTCTATTCAGGCTCTTACAGCCTGTATTTCTGCTTTCACCTCCTGTGTTGTTCTCTCACAGCTAAGGAGAGGAGTATGGCCCCTGATGAGTCTACGTGTGAGTGGCAAGCCGAGTCTGGTGAGCCCGGCGAGGTCAGGGAGGCACAACGGGAGGCACAACGGGTCGGGCTGGTGCCATCTTGGAGGGTGAAGGGTGAGGGCCTCTGTGCTCCCAGAATGTCCGCCACGGAAGGTGCGTTACCCTTATGTTTTTTGGACATTTTGTAGCTGGACATGTTCCAGAGCTGTTCTGTCAGTGTTCCTGGCAGGTTGTTGCAGGTGATGTTGGGGAAGAAGCTTTTACAGTGCTTTTTAGGGATCTCGGGTGCGGAGTGTTCTGATTATGCGGCCATTTCTCATGGCGATCAAGCCACGCCCCCAAGCCTACTCTTTTAATGTCTGATCTCAGAGAAGGAAACTATACTTCCTCCTTTACCTGTCCAAATATATGTATGTCATGCACATGCACAATAATGTCTGACACCTTCACTCACAAAACTTTAAATGGAACTGTCTATAAAGTGGTTATCAGTTACAATGTACCTGCTATCAAATCAGGCATGGGTTCCTTTTATGGTATAAGATGAATATAATTACTACCAATAGCTAAAACAACTCATTTCATAAACCCTGTAAGAAACTGTTGAATTAAAATGAAAGTGTAAGAAGACGCAATGGATAAATTGTCTGCCATCTTTCTAGTTCAGTTCAAGCTGTCGTTTTCTAGTAGTTCTCCTTTTTCTGGAAGTTATGGAGAAGTTGATGGGTCGATGTAAGGCAACTGAGAGTCACAAGGGCCAGATTACCAAAGAAAGTAAGAAGTGCAAAACAAGCACATAGAGCCTTTTTATATCCAGGCTGCCATTTTAATGCTTTAATATGTACTACTTGTTTAAATCCAATAGCCAAGAGGAAGACACAGGGACTGGGGAGTGTGAATTTACAGAGGGTGTGTGTAGAATCTGATATTGGACAGATAAGGAATTTTAGTGTAACCTGTATCAGAACTGGATTTCTCTGGTCAGGGTTGGCAGAATGAGTGTGCATTCTACTTACAGTCACATGAGGTAAATTGCGAAATTCTATTTATCCAGGCATCCTTCCAATTTCTTATTTACAGGTTAATGCTATCCAGTGTTGAAGATACACCCTTAGCATTTGATAAATACCTCTAGAATATTTATATTCGTTTTAAGCTTCACCATGTTAACTTGTTCATTAAAGGAACACAAAAATGTTTCTGCACTCATTAAAATGCAGCAGCACTGAAACATTAATAAAAAGGGCGGCATCTAAAATTAGAGGGGAGGATGAAGTAAAGTTATGGGAAATGTTTAATGTTTACGGGTCGTTAGCATTAGGGTTAGTAAGGAGGACTTAAGGTTATGGGTGTTTAATGTTATTAGTGGGCGGGCGTAGAGTTTGAAGATTCTGTGGATTGGATTTGCCAAGATAACTTTAAGCACCCTGTAGCTTTAACTACTCATACAGTTAAAGGACCACTCTAGGCACCCAGACCACTTCAGCTTAATGAAGTGGTCTGGGTGCTCGGTCCAGCCAGGATTAACCCATTCTTTTATAAACATAGCAGTTTCAGAGAAACTGCTATGTTTATGAATGGGTTAAGCCTTCCCCCAAAGCCTCTAGCTCCTGTCTCATTGACAGCCGCTAGAGACGCTTGCGTGCTTCTCACTGTGATTTTCACAGTGAGAGCACGCCAGCGTCCATAGGAAAGCATTGTGACTGCTTTCCTATGCGACCGGCTGAATGCGCGCGCAGCTCTTGCCGCGCGTGCGCATTCAGCCGACGGGGAGGAGAGGAGGAGGATCGGAGGAGGAGAGCTCCCCGCCCAGCGATGGAAAAAGGTAAGAATGGGGGGAATGTTTTCCTGGGACTATAGTGGTCCTTTAATGCATGGGTTATTCTGCTTTTCTCTTGCATAATTACAGTACTATACCTGAAGCTGTTATGATGCCCGTTTTTATAAACTATATTAACAGTCATTTCAATACAGAGTCATTGTAGTGTCATCTCTTTTAATTCATACTTTGAAAGTGAACATTTTTAAAGTAAAACACTGTCATCTGTGGGTGATATGCATGAGTGTATTTATTGCAGACATCCATTGCTTACGTGTAAAAGAAACATTTTAATAATTTTTTTTTTTTTTATAAAGAAACAAAGGTAACTGATGAACATCATCCACATGCATATAATTATCTGAAATTTAGCTGTTCAGGGAATTCAGGTGTGTGATTGACACCATGTTTTAATACTAAACGAGTCCCCAGGAGCCAATTTCCTTGGTGCTGCTTTGGTTAATAAGGAAGCATTAGCCTGTGTACGCATGACCTGTGGTGAATAGCTGAGAGTGTCAGCTGACCACATTTAGCCTATCACAGCTGTCATTGCTGGTATGATTTAGTATGGCTAGAAGAAAGTGTTTAATCTCTGTGTTTGCCTCAACTCCAACAGGGGCTGGACTATGGGTGGCTATTGACCTTCATTCAGCATTAAAGGACTACTATAGTGCCAGGAAAACATAATCGTTTTCCTGGCACTATAGTGCCCTGAGGGTGCCCCCACCCTCAGGGTCCCACTCCCGCCGGGAGTGAAACTACTATGAAACTACTATGTTTATAAAAAAAATGGGTTAATCCTAGAGGGACCTGGCACCCAGACCACTTCATTAAGCTGAAGTGGTCTGGGTGCCTAGAGTGGTCCTTTAAGCTGCTTGAAAATGGTTAAACATTAAAGGGAGAGGCAGCTCCAGGGGACTCCAGGCACTATAATCAATTCAATGAGATGAAAATGTCCCTTTAAACTTCACTTTTCCCTTTTCAAATCACAGCCACTTGACTGATGACTTACAAATATTACTCAATTCTTTCAGGGAGTTCTTGGGAAACATTATTTAAGCCATGCTCTCAGCTGCTGAAATAATGGCTGTTTCTGTTTTGAAATCTAACCTATTATGGGGCAACATGTGTATTGCAATCAACTAGAAGAATATAATGTTAACCAATGCATCAAATTAAATACTTGGCATCAGCTTTAGGACCGACAATTATAATTTCAATATAGTGTAACAAAGTTAGAAAAAAAGTGCACAGCTCAGCATGGTTAAGCCAATATTTCTGAGGAGAACTGATTCATAATCAATAATTCCCATTCATATCCACAGCAGAAATATAACTCCAACACAAGAGAACTGTTAGTAAGCTGCAGGTTTATTCATTATAACACCACAACCATGTTTCTGTCACCTGACCAAATCTTCACCTTTAATGTTTGTGGTGTTGCACTAAATGAGACTGCAGCTTCCTGTAACTGTTCCCTTGTGTTGGCGTTATTTGTCTACTGTGGTAAACAGAGGTCACCATAAAGAAATGAGAAAAATCTTTACTGACAGCTGGCACACAATATATAGCTGCTACGTAACGTAAAAACCTTAACACACTGTTTGTTGACCGTCAAAATGACTCTATATAGCAATGGATCATTTTGATACCAATGAAACATGGTTAATGGGGAACTACTTACAAGTGAGACTTACCATTAATAGGTCCTGTTGACTCCCTATGGTGATCATTGGGTCACCATGCCATAGCTACTGGGTTGCTATTGCCTTCTGGTGTTACTGGACTCATTATGGAAATACATACCAAATGAGGCATATACCAAGAAACTGCTGGATACCTTTGACCAGTCATAGGCAACCTTCGGCACTCCAGATGTTTTGGACTACACCTCCCATGATGCTTTGTCAGCATTATGGGTCTAAGAGCATTATGGGGGATGTAGTCCACAACATCTGGAGTGCTGAAGGTTGCCTACCCCTGCCTTAGCCAAAAGGCAGTCCAGAAATATGGCAAGTCTATCCTAGGTATCTGATCACAGTGACTGGCTGTCAAAAATCTGAGGTGGCTCAATAAATGCTCCACATCTGTAGGTAGCCTCTATACCCAGTACATGTCAAAATCCAGACTATTTCTGGAAGCCTCACAAAGCCTAAGCTCTGTAATAATGTTGCTCTTACAGGAGCATTCGTTTTGCCTATAATCTTGGTGTAGGGTTGGGGCCATATATTGGGGCAAGAATCAGAATTAGAATTTAGGCGAATACCTTTTTTATATATGCAGAGGTACTGGTTGGTTTAGAGCTTCAGTTGATGGCTCTGGCCTATCAGAGGCACCTCTGCCAGCAGCACGCTACGCTTCCTAAAAGTCAATTTCAGAAGCTGGATGATGCTGGAGGAATTGGAAATCCGTCGCTGGAGGCAACCGTAGGGGTTAAAGCAGTGGTGTATTTTGGATTTGTGCTGCCCTAGGCACGACTAACTTCGGGCACCCCCAAAATCTAAATTTGCCCCCGCAATTCCTGTCAAGGCCACTTTTTTGACTGACAGACACATGCCCTCATTGATACATGCATTCACTGACACACATCCAGTCATTGGCACACACAGTTTAACCAACACACACTTTCACTGAAAGACACACACTAACACACCCACTCACTGACATGCACACACTATCAGATACACATAAAATGACATACACACACTGACACACTCACAGGCACACGCATTCTCACAGAAAGACACACACACTTTCACTCGCTCACAGACACATACTGACAGCTACACTCAATCACAGTAAGGTGGACAGCCCCAGAACACGAGACAAACAAGGCATTTGTCTAGGAGCCTGATGGGGCGTATTTTGGCATACCCCCCCCCCCCGAAAGTGCTGCCCTAGGCAAATGCCTTGTTTGCCTTGTGGTAAATACATCCCTGGGTTAAACCACTAGAACAGTTTAACCCCTTATAGTAAGAACGCACCCAGTCAATTCCTTGCACCATAACAACTTTATTTTGATTAAGTCTTTATGGTGCCCAGAGCGATCCTTTAACTTAGGGAGACCCTTAGCAAAGTGCATTGAAACAAAAATAGAGATGATGCTGAACCCAAATACTTGACTGCAAAGTCTGTGTAAAACAAACTTTGGCAGAAGGATTACATTGGTTCAGGAAATAACTTGTGGAAGGTTATATTATTCCATATAACATGACATGATGGTGGTTGATCTTTTATGGAATTAAAATTTAATTTTGTATGAAAATAAATCATTTTGAAATTTAAAAAAAAGTGTTCTTAGTGTTCTAGGCATCATCGGTGCATGTTTTCTTGATCAGAAAGCACTGCATATATTTTATCATTTGTTCTATGGTTTTTACTTACGTGAAGACAGTTTGAAAACCACATCAACCTCTTTTATGTAATAACCACTTTTATCCTGAGGGGAAGAAAAAGAAAACAAGAACAAGCAATTTAGACTCTATGTTAATTAATTTTGAAAGTTTTAGGTTGAATAGAAATAGCTCAAGTTCCTGTTGTAGACGGGCATGTGACACGTTTATATCTTCTAAAAGTCCTCTCTCAACTAAACCTACCATGACTATAATTCATTTATATCTAGTCATTTTTTTAAAGTTGCTTATGAACAGATTCGGAATAAACATATTTCTTGTTATTTTTTTTTTATTATTTTTTTTTTTGTATTTTTGTTTTGCATAATATTAATACATACAAGCTCGGGGTGCCCCAACAGCAATCCTCAAGCATCTTATAATTCACAACATTAGAAACCCTAGAGAACACGTGCACATTTTTAAACATAATAAAAACACGTTTAGGTTTTCTAAAATAGTGAAGTAGTTAAACATAATATAGCTGCTCGTCACATTAGTATGTAAAGGTAGGCTTTGCGGAGTTAATATGGAATGCAGAAATGTTGTGGGTGCCTACTGTAGCACTTAGCATAAAAGCCAGAATAGTAGCCTAATAGTAACGTTAACCTAAACATGCAGAAGATAACTGTGAAGCTGCCCAGTTCTAGCGCCAACTGCTGCATCTAAGGGAGCCAGGAGAGTATTATGACTGTTTGGCAGCATCAGGGTTTCAGACTGTTGGGCTGGGTAGCTTAAAAGAAAACAACCGAGGCTATCAACCGAGGCCCCACACCTTCCCCGGTAGTGGGCATGCTGGGGTAGGCCTAAGGATGATGCCCAGGGTTATCAAGTGATAGTGTGGATGCCATGAGTAGTGACTGCGGGTGTACGCTACGGTAAAGCTCTGGGAAGCCTTCTCCCCTGTAAATCACTACACTGAATAGGACACATGGTCAAAGCATTAAACACAGAAGCTACAAGATTTAATCTAAATTGAGACATTATAGTAAAGAGTTGGAAGCCGTGGTCGAACCATGCAAGTCAGTTCCTTGTTCCCGTGGACAACACTCAGCACTAGCCCACTCCAATGCTCGGGAACTTGCTGGGATGACTCGGAGTCAGTGCTCGTGGGGGAGTAAGTGTGGCAACCCTCCTGCCCCGGGCTGTGGTGAATGCCTGCACTTCTAATTTCATATGTTGTAATGTATATATTAAACATGTGCATAAGCTCTAAATGTTCCTTGTTTGCGTGTTTTTCCAAGGATGATCTACTTCATCTACATTTGAGAACCTCAGCCTTCCACTCACTTGTACAGGGGAGATTTATTTTTGAAGTGACCAAAATGTAAGAAATGCAGAAATTTTAGACAAAGATAATATTGCTTCTGCTAAGGTTGCAACAGGAACCAGAGAAGTGGAACAATATTTTTTTTTTCTTTGTAGCAACCATTTATTTGGCATCATGCTAAACTATGAAGTACACCTATAAAGGGTAGACAACCATCGGCACTCCAGATTATTTGGACTACGTCTCCCATAATGCTCTTAAAGCCATAATTCTGGCAAAGCATCATAAGAAATGTAGTCCAAAATATCTGGAGTGCCAAAGGTTCCCTACGCATAATTAGGGTGAAAACATTAATATTTAAAAAAAAAAAAAAAACAAATATTTGAATGCAATTAGTTCATTATTCAAAATTCATTATTTTAATTGCCAGGTTTTCTGAATTCTGCGTCAGTTTATTATTCATTGAATAAAGAAAGATCCTTTTGGGTTACGAGTCGATTTTCAAGTAGGAAGGAGGGATAGGTTTCTTCAACCACATTATGACATGATGTACCAAGATTTGGCTCAGTAAATATTTAAACATCATACAATTGGGAAACGGTAATCAAAGAAAAAGTTGCTTAATCTGCCAACATCTGAAAGCTGCAAAAAGGTTCTCAAGTGGTCTAATAGATGCGTGTTTTCCATCCTAGGTCACAAGAGGACCATTCATCGTAGATCAAAGAATTACTGCAGTATGGGATATTAGTAGCTATTCTGACAAATCAAACACAGGACTGATTTAATAAGCTGAAGATCCTGCACTCTTTTTCACTTACTTCACTTACAGAAAATTCTCAGTGAATTCCTGAGTACAGCTTGTTTAACTTATTTACCAATTTTTGGCACTCAAATAAATAAAAGCATTGTAACCACATTTTTAACCCCTTAAGGACACACGACGGAAATATTCCGTCATGATTCCCTTTTATTCCAAAGGTTGTGTCCTTAAGGGGTTAATATGATACTTCATCATTTTTGAAAAATGTAATTAGGCTCCACATGTACACAATATCTTTATCTTATTTTAGTTCTAGAGCTTTGCACAGGGAAAAAAAATAACTTTTTTTCATTTCCATTCATTAGTTTTTGAAAAATTCGGATGTTCAATTCTCTCAATGGGGAATGGATAAAGATAGCAGTGAAAAACATTCACTATTGCTTTACAATTTACAGCACCGATTTAGGAAGTTATCTGCTAAACTGCAGACAAATCAAAATTAAGAAGAGCCCTCTTCTCAATTTTGATATTCAGTTGTTAAATGGATTACTCCATAATTTGCTATTTTTATTTACAATTTGCGTGGGAGTAGCATATTTAAGAATACCAAATAAGGGAGCTGTTAGCTAAACAGCCAACTAATTTGGTATCCTTAAATGTGACTTTGGCAATCTCAAAAGTCTTTTTTTTTTTTGTTGTTAATTTTGACAGTTTTTTTAGGAGATAGCTTCCTAATTTGGTATCATTAATTATGGCAATCCCATCTAAGGATAGCAAATTAGGGAGCTACTAAACGGTTGAAATATCAAAAATAAAATTCGGATACTTCTAAATTGTTAAATTTGATTCAGGACAAACTGCTTTATGCGAATGTGCTAGACTCTGATGACCTGATTATTTTATTGCATGAAAATATTAAGATTATTTGTAAAAATTTACCCGAACAAAGCCAAAATTTATAAAACCCTCTGCAAACGTAATGTTCAGGTTGGCCGCATCAGTTTCACATTTTCCTGTTGCTTTTGTTGTTTCTGGTACAATATCAAAGTACCCTTCAATCTGTGTGAGAAAAATGAAAAATAAAGGTAACAATGAATTTTAAATATATTAATATCACAATTAAAGGAAATTAAATTAATGAAACAAGTTCCTAATGGCGGGATAATCTTCATAAACTATGTGCAAATTTATTACTGGATGTATTTGAAAAGAAAAAGGAATAATCCAAATCCCTAAAGCACTTTAGCTTCCGGAGTGCTTTAAGAGTTACCAGGATATAAAAGTGCCAGTTTCAAGACAAAACAACACATTTAATAAGGTGCTAGAATGAACCCTTCTGATGTTCAGACAGTTTAAAAGGTGCTTTTCCTCAGTGCTTTGTTCTAAGGCAGGAACCAGTGCTTCTCTGTGAGAAGCATTGCAGGCACAGTGCAGTGATTGCGGTGCCATGCCTCTCAGTGCTTCTTTGTGAAAATCATTAGCCTAAAATTTGTAATTCAACCCAATCAATATCAATACCGCACTCAGACACATGCACTGTGTGTCAAAAAAATGAAATATTGTAGTAATGCAAAATTAATTTATTATTCAATTAATATCTTTAGAAAGATCAAAAAGATTACCAAAATAGTCAAAGCAAATGGTGCCTAATAAAGCTCAATATACACTCAGAATGGTGCACAACCTGAAATTACATATGATATAATGTACAATAGTTTATTTTGCAAAAAGTTAAATTCATACTATATACAAAACCTTCTATATACACCCCTCCATAGTAAGATCATAATAAGTAATGATCAGTAGTTCATACAGAGTCCGGTGGATCCACTGCGATTGATCAATTAGTGCATTCTCGACAGTCTTATCAGACACAGAAAAAAATATTAGTTATCATCAGAGAAAAAAAGGCCAAAAAGGAAAAAATCAGGAAACAATAAAGACCCTTGAACGGCGGGTGGGGGCCCTAAATGTAAATTTGGGGGACCTACAGGGTGCTCTGAGTAATTTTACACAGCGTGGGAAAGTTCTTTGGAATTTTCCCATGCTGTGTAATTTGACTCATAGAAACACTCTGATTGGTTGCTTTCGATCAACCAATCAGAGAGTTTTGAGTTAAATTACACAGCATGGGAAAATTCCAAAGAACTTTCCCACACTGTGTAAAATTACTCAGTGCACTCTGTAGGTCGCCCTGATTTACATTTAGGGCCCCCACCCACCGCTCAGGAGTGGGGGCTAGGGGGGAGGACAATAGGTCCCCCTCTCCATTTTCATTTAGGGCACCCACCTGCAGCTCATGGTTGGGGGCCAAGGGGGACCCTACATCACCTGTTTACTGGAATAGCTCCCACTCGCAGGGCATGGATAGGGGCTCGGGTGGGACACAATATCCCCCCCAGGCTAGTTAAGAGATGTTCCACCATGGGGCCATTTATTGGGAGGGAAGGGGTTACAATACAATGAAATTTCAAACTGAACAAAAGTTCAGAATTTCGTCCTAACATGAATGAATGCACTGCTCTCATTCTGTTAGGACAAAATTCTGTAGTTTTGCCGAAGTTCAGGAATACAGAAAGGAGGCATAGTGAGGAAAGGTGAGAATTGTGGGAAAATTTCTCTGACCACAGGAAACAGAACACACTTTGTTCCTCCGCTGGTCAAAGCTGGTTAAAGGACCACTATAGTGCCAGGAAAACATACTTGTTTTCCTGGCACTATAGTGCCATGAGGGTGCCCCCACCCTCAGGGACCCCCTCCCGCCCGGCTCTGGAAGAGGGAAAGGTGTTTAAACTTACCTTTTTCCAGCCCTGGGCGGGGAGCTCTCCTCCTTCTCTCCTCCTCCGATCCTCCTCCTGGGCTGAATGCGCATGCGCGGCAAGCGCTGCGCGCGCATTCAGCCGGTCGCATAGGAAAGCATTTACAATGCTTTCCTATGGACGCTGGCGTGCTCTCACTGTGAAAATCACAGTGAGAAGCACGCAAGTGCCTCTAGCGGCTGTCAATATGACAGCCACTAGAGGCTTTGGGGGAAGGCTTAACCCATTAATAAACATAGCAGTTTCTCTGAAACTGCTATGTTTATTAAGAAATGGGTTAACCCTAGAAGGACCTGGCACCCAGACCACTTCATTAAGCTGAAGTGGTCTGGGTGCCTAGAGTGGTCCTTTAAGCGTAGGAAACCTCCATAAGACAAAGTAGTCCCTACTTTGTCTTATGTTTTAAAGAAAACTAGAGCAGATAGGAAGAAATGAAGAACAGATCCTGACAAATATATTTCTGAATATATATATTTTGTTTCCAGGAGCATGGCCCTTTTGGTGACTGGTTGCAGACTGCAGAGCCTTGTTGCTGCATTTTTGGGGTGCAGATACATCATCAAAGTTTAATTTGTGCACCATATCATTTGAAGGAGATGTCCTGTTTGGGATAAATTTGGAAGTCTATATTAAAAAAGAGCTTCAGAAAGAAAAAAAAAAAAGCTTCCCTCATTTAAAAGAAATGTCCAAAAAGACTGCAATTTTCTGGTATGAACTCATCTAGCGATCAATATTTGGGGGGCCTTTGCATCTATTCAGGGCCGGATTAACATAGGGGCTGATGGAGCTGCAGCTCCAGGCCCAGGCCCATGGAATAGGCCCATTGATTTAAAAAAAAAAAAATTAAATTTTTTTTTATTTACATTTTTTTTTCACACACTACTCTTAGGTATTCCACCTGGCTTTTATTTTATTGGCACAGCCAGTATTTGAGGCTGCCTGGCTGGTGCCAATATTGCAGTGATACTGGCAATACAAATGCTGGTATTTTTATCAGTATAAACAAGAGATTACTATGCAATACCAGCACTGGCCAGTAGGGGTCGCTGTGTGTGGAGACAGGCAGGGATAGGAAGTTCCAGCATATCCCTCCCTGCCTATCTATACTCACTGATCTGCAGGGGTGCAGCTACAGAGAGTCCAGACAGCAACTCCCACCCTGCAGAGACAGCCTACAGCTCAGGGAAGTAAGGGATGGGGGAAAGGCTGCAAGGAGACATATACTGAGACACTAAGGGACATTGGGAGACATTATGACAGACACTGAGACACTAAGGGACACTGGGAGACATTATGGCAGACACTGAGACACTAAGGGACACTGGGAAACATTATGGCAGACAATGAGACACTAAGGGACACTGGGAGACATTATGGCAGACACTGAGACACTAAGGGACATTGGGAGACCTTATGGCAGACACTGGGACACTAAGGGACATTGGGAGACATTATGGCAGACACTGAGACACTAAGGGACATTGGGAGATATTATGACACAGACACATGGGGACACAGTGTCCCCATGTCTCCCAGCCAGTGTCCCTGGTGTCTCAGTGCCCTCTAGTCTCCCAGTCTCTCACTGTCCCCATGTCTCTTAGTGCCTCCATGTCTCTCATTGCCTCAAGTGTCACAATGTCCCCATGTCTCCAAGCTAGTGTCCCTAGTGTCTGTGGCCCTGGTGTCTCAGTGTCCCCATGTTTCCCAGTGCCCCCATGTCTCAATGTCCCCATGTCCACCAGCCAGTGTCTCTAGTGTCTTTGTCCCTTGTGTCTGTGTCCCCATGTCTTCAAGTGTCCCCTATTTTCCCATTGTCCCCATGTGCCCCAGCCAGAGTCCCCTAGTCTCCCAGTGTCACTTGTGTCTCCGTGTCCCTAGGTCTCCCCGTGTCCCGAGGTCTCCCCGTCTTCCTAGTGTCCTAGTGACATGGGGACCCTGGGATACATGGGGACACAGGAAGACATGGGGCATTGAGACACTGTGATACATAGGATCACTGGTAGACCTGGGGACACGACACTGGGAGACATGGGGCACTGAGACACTGATACATAGGAACACTGAGACCTGGAGTAATCGACACATGGGGGCACTGAGTCATGAGGACACTGGGAGACATAGGAGCACTGGGAGGAATCCATCTATACAGCAGAATCAAACTAAGTAGTTTTTTGGTGATTTTACAGCATTTTCTCTTATGTCACTCCTTTTTTTCCAAGAAAAGTGGCAAACCTAACTACTTTTCACATACTCTTACTTAAGTATGGAAACTTAAGTGGGATGTATGGGAACAAAACTTGTGTGGACTGGCTGACAATGAATATAGTTAAAGGGACACTATAGTCACCAGAACAACTACAGCTTATTGAATTTGTTCTGGTGAGTAGAATCATTACCATCAGGCTTTTTGCTGTAAACACAGAGAAAATGCAGTCTTTAAATTACATCCTAGTGATAACTTCACTGGCCACTCCTTAGATGACTGTTAGAGATCCTTCCTGGGTCATGGCTGCCTAAAATGCATCCAAACATTCAGTGTCTCCTCCCTCTGCATGCAGACACTGAACTTTCCTCATAGAGATTCATTAATTAAATTCATCTATATAAGGAGATGCTGATTGGCCAGGGCTGTGTTTGAATCATGCTGGCTCTGACCCTGATCTGCCTCTTTGTCAGTCTCAGCCAATCCTATGGGGAAGCACTGTGATTGGATCAGGCCACCACTTCTAATGATGTCAGCAGACTGCTTGTTTTTATGAGTCTAACAGCATGCAGAGTTACAGCTTTGGGCTTGAATATAGTAAGATTTTGCTATATTTATGGAGGCCCAGGGGGCTAGATGGTGGTGTTAACACTAAAGGGTCACAAATTCCTGTTTGTGTTCCTGACCCTATAGTGATCCTTTAAGGTAATGCTGACTTTGGTCTCTCTAACACTGTGACATTTTCCCTTTCTTCTACACTCACTACATACAGCTTTTCTCTGTCCCAGACCATATACCAGGAGCTTCTGCCTGCTAGTAAGAAGGTAAGTGGACCAGCGAGTGCTAGGGGACAGTCCTTAGAAAGCGTTGAGTGAGCGACTCATTAAATGCATTTATGCCAAGCTCAGGGTGCTGTGTGCATAGTATGCCCTTAGTTGGCCAGCTGCATGATTGGCAGGCAGCCTGACATGCATTCATGCCAGGCTGGCCTTCTAATTCTTTGAGCAGACATGTCCTCTTTTTGGGCATGTTCGCCCCTTTTGGCAGGTTACGTGATTACATGATTTGTGTCAGTGGCACACCCTTTTACCATGCCCATTGACTTCCAGCCTGACTGGACACTGCTGTTAGGGGTTATGGATTTACTTGAAAGATGAAAACATAAATTAGAGAGAGATTAGCCTTTTCTTATAGCTGCTGTTTTCTTTCTCTCCAGCACCATCTCCATCAGATACATGATGCTTGGGGGTGTTTTACTGTTTTTGGTCGATATGATTCTGTAATTAGGCCCGTCATAATTGTCAGCACCAGGCCCACTGGGCTCTTAATCTGGCCCTGCATCTATTGCACTGGTTGAATTACAACTGACTGATAAAAAAATAACAGATACAATTAGTATCTTGTAACTTGCTTTCGGGAGATCCTCACTTTCTCAAGTCTTAAGTGTTTCTGAACAAAAACAACACATAGAAGATTTGGACTTAAAGCGTCTTGAGAGTGCAAACAAAACAACACATAGAACTCAAGGTTGCGTTATTATACTGAGGTTAAAGTGTTATGAGAGTGCAGGTATTACACCGTTATAATCTGTGTATTTCCGGAGATCCTCTTCTGGTTCTGCCACTGGGTAGGGGTATACCCGGATACCCCTACCACCCACCAGGTTCTGAGCCACCACCAAGCTAGAAACCTACCAAAGTTCATAACGAACCATTTAACCAGCAGCCTAACTGCCCTATTCTATTTAAACTAACCCAGAGCCTGTTTGTCCCCTAACTTTTTTCTCTCTAGCCCCGCCACTGTGACCAAACGGGAGCTAACACCCCTTACCATTTTGCATGGGAGGGAGGGAGGGACAAATTAGGCCAGGTAAGCAATTTAAAAGTGACTAATTCTAAAACGGCTGCCTATTTATACTGGGCCAACCCCTTAACACTCCAACTCCCAATCCCTGGGGCCTTCCCCCTATGCCCGCCTCCTAGCTCTGTCAGGCCCCATTCCCCTAAGCTGCGCTTGTTCCATAGGGTTACACATTTGGCAGCAGTAGTGCAGTATGGGTTGAATGATCTCCAAGTAAATTTTAAAAAATGCGTATCAACGATCAATATGACTCCCATATAACTATTGTGCGTACAAACTCCCCCTTCAACCGGGATTGTCTGTGAGGTCATGTCTGCTAAATGGTGAGCAGCCAGCAGTTGGCATTTTGTTTGTTTTTAATGTGAGGGGATTGTTTTTAATCAGGATGTTTTTGTGAGACATGTATAGGTCCTTACAGTTGTCTAAAGTATATTTTGGATATTTGCCTGAATCCAGGCAAAATCTGATATAAATCTGGAGTTTGATAAATATGTGGATGCAATATTTGTGTTTGATTCGCATGCGAGAATTACTGATTTAAACCAAATATTGCACTGCACAGAGTGAGATGTGCTGATTGAGTTGAAATAACCAAATTTCAGTCAGATCGGCTGTTAGTAAATATGAGTATTCCAAATCTGGTTGAAATTGGGTTATTTTAACCAAATATTGTCCACCTCGACCAAGTGCAGTCCTTAGTGAATAGCTGGTCCTTAAAATATAATCTACATATTCCTTTAAGTGATTCAAATAGATGGGACAATTTGGATTTAGAAAATAAACTAAACAGGATTTAAATATGTTATGTCAACTATCATGACTACGACCACCTCCTTTACTATGCATGCTAGTTATATAATAAGAAATTAACTACTGAACAGCTTCCAGTTATGGAAGGGTTCAAAGTTTTATTGTAATGGATATTTTGACATTAATAAACGGGTGTTATTTGCTTGGCAAACTTAAAAAGACAGTACAGTAATTTTTTTACAAAATTTCACTTTCTTTCAGTTAACACATTCTGTCTACATGAAAGAGCATGTTGCCATTGTAACTTTGAAAGGGACAGGGTTATGCACTAAAATCCAAATGGCCACGTAATGAACGGGACAAAACCATCCAGCAGCATACAGTACCATTCGGACTGCAAAATGTGGACATTGTGCACGTTATTTCACAATATCTAGATTTTGCAATCTAGGGCCCTAACAGACCAGAATTTGTCAAGATTTTAACCAGAATGTACACTACAGACGTAAACTTATCTCTCAAGACTTGGCTGTCAGATCAGTCCGATTGGTTATACTAGCCGACCAATCAGAGCACTCTTATTCATACCTGTCCTCTCCTGATCTCTCCCCGTCCCTCTTGACTAGTGTCTCTGACTGCCTCTCTGCTGTTTCTAACTGGATGGCTGCTCACTTCCTTAAACTAAACTTGCCCAAAACTGAAATTCTGGTCTTTCCTCCCTCAAGTGTTGTTACTCCCGTGTCTGTATCCCTCCATGTCAACGGTGCTACCAGCAGCTCCATCAAGCAGGCTCGCTGCCTAGGTGTTCTCTTTGACTCCGACCTCTCCTTCAAGCCTCATGTTCAATCTACCGCCAAATCCTGTTATTTCCATCTCAAAAACATTTCGCGCATCCGCCCCTACTTAACGCCAGATGCGACTAAGGTGTTGGTCTATTCCACTGTCCTTTCTCGCCTTGACTACTGTAATCCGCTTCTCAGTGGTCTCATGTGCTCCCAGCTTGCGCCTTTACAGTCCATAATGAATGTGGCGGCGAGGCTCATCTTCCTGTCCGCCCGCACCTCCCATGCCTCACCCTTCTGTCAGTCCCTACATTGGCTTCCTATAAAATATAGAGCTCAATTTAAAATTCTGGTTCTTGCTTTCAAATCTCTACATAATGCTGCTCCCACCTATCTATCCTCCCTTATACACAAGTATGTCCCGTCTAGGCCCTTACGATCTGCTGAAGACTTACGTCTATCTTCTGTCCGTACTCCCACCTCTGATGCTCGCCTTCAAGATTTCTCGAGGGCTGCACCGTTCCTGTGGAACTCGCTTCCCTCCTCCGTTAGATGCTCACCCAGTCTCCACTCCTTAAAAAAATCGTAAAAAACCCACTTCTTAATAAAAGCGTGTCAATTAAACTGTTAATAGCTCCCGACTGATTCCTCTTCTGCAACTGTCATTAGTCTAATACCTTATTGTAACGAACCGTTTTGCCCACAAGAGGTTAAAAACGTTAAGGCGATATTCCCCTTTCATATGCACAGACAGCTACTGTAAGCACCAATCTCCCGAACTGCAAACTACACAAATTCTCCAACTGCGGAACAGGAAACTCACGAATACTGGAAACAGCTGAACAGGAAAAACCATACGAAAGGTTTACACTCCTGGCAGTCAGCATACAATCCAATTCCCCCAATAACGAGATGACACTTCGTTTGAGGGTTAAGCAGAATCTGTTTACTAGCACCAAAAGAACCTTCTTTTATGCAGGTTTTCCTTAGGGTTTTACAAAACAACCAATCATACACGTATATTAAAGAAACACTCCCAGCAATTACATACAAAATCCTCCCCCTCTGCCTTTGATCTAATTATGGCACACAATGGTTTAACATAATTAAACACAGGCAGTAAAAATACAGTTTTTATACATATCCTGTAACTTTAAAACCACACATCCAATCTCTGTAATGACATATTTAGAATCAGCAACCTTCAAATATAAACATAACCAAAAATCAGCCAAATCCATCCAGGGGTTAAAAAGTCAGCTGGAGGTCCCTTTATGACCGACCGCAAGCACATTTTCCTGCCCAAAACAGTTCCATAGATTTGGGCTGTGCGGTCGGTCTATTTCAGGCTGAAAAAACGACTAAGTCCCATTGCCGAATGGGACTTAGTCTCTGCAGCTGTAAAATCATTGTGGAAGAAGGTAGGGCTCAGCGGTGTTCGCTGAAATGTGTAGCCGATTTTAGTTCCATGAATTTGTGTTGTTAATGTAAGAAGAAACAAAGAGTCTGTAATTGACCAGAAAACTCCAAAATAGCCAAACTGGAACAACAAATCACAGTTTAGTAAATAACCCTGAAAGTCTTTTCAACTGTTGGGATTTTATTCATTACATTTTGAATTGCTGTTAAATGTCAATAAAAAAATGCAAAATATACTCCAAAATAGTCAAATAAAAAAAAACAACCTTTAAAATGAAGCATTTTTGGGGGGCAATTCTGATCTTGATTTTGCATTTATATGAAATAAGATTTTGATCCAGGCACTCTTAAGGTAATAGCCAAAAAGCAGCTTTATTGGAGCAATATCCACAAATATTTAATCATATGAAAAGCTTATACAAAACATATCAAATTGAGGCCATTATTGGCAGAAAACATGATTGTGTTTAAAATATACATGTAATACTGAATGAAGTTCAAAAACCTTTGTCAAACAAAAACTATTTCATGATTATGATTGAGACTTTTATTTGAAAACAAATTAAAATATATACAAATCCATCATGTGGTATGTCTTATGAGCCCAGTATTTAGAAGAAGCATCAGAGTGCTCAGAGAGTAGATTACAGTGTATTAGGGGGAAAAAAATTAAACACAGTGATTTTGAAAAGGAATTTTCTCTTACCCTTGAGGAATTATAGAGCTGTAGTTCTAAACCCATAGATGCCTTTATACATGTCACTTTTTCATCTTTTACTGTGTAGTTGCCAGATGCCGGTTGTGAGGAATGTGGAGCCAAGGTCGGGGTTGGCAGTGTTGTGTGGTGTGCGGTTGTGGTATTTGCTGCATGAGTTGTGACGTTTGGTGCATGAGTTGTGGTGTTTGGTGCATGAGTTGTGGTGTTTGGTGCATGAGTTGTGACGTTTGGTGCATGAGTTGTGACGTTTGGTGCATGAGTTGTGACGTTTGGTGCATGAGTTGTGGTGTTTGGTGCATGAGTTGTGACGTTTGGTGCATGAGTTGTGACGTTTGGTGCATGAGTTGTGGTGTTTGGTGCATGAGTTGTAACGTTGGGGGCAGTAGTTGTGGTGTTTGGTGCAGTAGTTGTGATGTTTGGTGCAGTAGTTGTGATGTTTGGTGCATGAGTTGTGGTGTTTGGTGCATGGGTTGTGGTGTTTGGTGCATGAGTTGTGGTGTTTGGTGCATGAGTTGTGGTGTTTGGTGAAGTAGCCATTAAAGGGTCACCTGCTCCTGTCACTTGAAGTAAAACACCTAGAAAGTAGAATATAAAATCTGTTAAAAAATCTCACTAAAGGAAAAGAGAAACATGTAATGCTGCATACATAGATATAAAAAAAGTTTGGCAAGACCAAAAGAAAAAAAGGTATAGACAAAAGTGAAGAAATTAAATTTCAAATCTTGCTCAATGGCTGGGAAGAGATACCAGGGATGGCATGAGGTCCAAGTTGAAATTCTGGCAATTAATATCTCTAGTAAGTTCTTCTCTGATTATCACGTGACAGTCTTTAATAAAGGTTTTGGGTTTTGTTCATATATTTTCTGGAAGTAAAATAGGTCTCTTCACCTTAAAGAATTTTTTTGCACTCCGGATTTAAGGAAACAGGGCCTATGGAGACCATAATTCTGCCAAGTCTACTACAAAGTGATTATCATTTTATTTGTATTTCGGCACTGCAGAGTCCCTTTAATAATACGCTGGATACAATCTTGTTCCGTCTTGAGTGATTATGAGAAAATGTACTTCTTCAATGTTATTGGTGAGTTATTGGTTAGAAATAGAAAATTGAGCTTTGATTTATTCACAGAGCCCTCCTATCTCCCATTTATATTCATATAGGCTCAACTCAGACAAACTAACTTAAAAAAAAAATATATCATACAACTAATAATTAAGAAAATTATTTCTGAAAGAGAAAGATACTCTACGGTGTGCTAGTGAACCCATTAATGCGATCTTGAGCAGCAATTACAGAACGGACAACTTGAATTAGTGTAATTTAAAAGCTCTTTAGTTGGAGAATTACAGGTAGATGTTTTTGTGTGATAAAGTTTTAGCATCCAGAAAGGTGCCAAGTATTTGGTTGAAAAGACAATAACAGGGCATTAACCCAGCAATTAGAAAACTGAATTACAAGGAATGAACCCTATGAAAGAGGAAAACACTCCTACCAAAGAAAAGAAATTGCCTAGTAAGGGACACTATAGGCACCAGAACAACTATAGCTTAATGAAGCAGTTTTAGAGTATAGATCATGCCTCTGAAGTTTCTCTGCAGTTTCACGGCTCAGTTCTCTGCCATTTAGGAGTTAAATCATTGCCCTCTGCATGTGACTTGCACAGCTTTCCTAAACACTTCTTATAAAGAGAGACCCAATGTTTAACCCGTTAAGGACTGAGCCAAATGTACACGCTGTGATCAAAACAAAAACTTGAATTTGCGCTATATATCTGTTCAGGCGTAATTTGCCTCTTTCATATTATGTGCACCCACACTTATTATATATCATTTTATTCAGGGGAAACAGGGCTTTCATTTAACATCAAATATTTAGGTATGAAACATAATTTAATATGAATATAATATAAAAAAATGGGAAAAAATAAGAATTTAACAATTTTGTTTTAGTTCTACATGCCATTTTAACTGTGAGTGTCATAATACTGTTTGCTTTTTAATAAAATACACATATTTGTATTCACCGATGTCTCATGTGTAAAACAGTACCCCCTATTTACAGGTTTTATGGTGTTTTTGGAAGTTACAGGGTTAAATATAGTGCTAGCAAATTAAATTGCCTGGACTTTTGGCCTGGGTTGTCAGGCAGGTCCCGCTAATTGTAATGAATAAAATGACCTAATTATGTAAAATTATTACATAAAAATATATCGCAGTCCCAACATAATGCCATACCGCTGCTCAGATCACGAGTCACATCTAAAATGGCGGCAACTGCGAATCCGCCCGCTCAAACCAAGGAGAACGCCACCTTTCCCTCCTTGCAGTATACAATCTCCACAAATCCTAGGCGGACGCATGACAGGCAAGAACATAGTCATACACTACCACGGTATTTGCCGGACCAGAACACAGCACAGAACCAGCCAACGCTAAACAACCCCAGCAGACATACCCTCGGGCCTCTCCCGGTGGCTGGTTCACGATGCAAGACATTGTTTCCTCCCTTGGATCTAGCCCGCAGCACCTCTGTGACAGCACCGCAACACTTGCAAACAGCCGGATCGAAGCAGGATGGTACCAGTTCGTTAGAGGGTGTCGGCTGAAGCGAACTCTCATTGTCAAATATTGGTCTTTCCTGTCTTCATCCTTCTTAATGCGGACTTTAATTGGGAATGCCTTAAATTAATGTCTTGAGCCTAATGATATGTGCAAAACCTGCCTTTCAACTCTACCAGGGGCATTACTATATCATCTGCCGTGGGGGTTGTTTACACACTACATGTTTGGTTTTATCTTGATGTCTAACATGTTTTCCATTATCAAACTCAGTGGTTATTCCTCAATGGCATAGCTGGCAGGTTGTATTTACCCTGATATGGTTGTACCTCAACTGTACTTATCTGGTCTAGCTAATTAAACCTGCTTTATATTTAGCCTAGCCTATCTACGAACCACGTGTATAACGTTAATAGTTAGACATGCTTGTTCAACATATTTTTGCTGTAGTGTACTCATACTCATTTTCTATCATTTCTGTATTACCTACCGATTATACCCCTTAAGTCTAGATGGTCTACCCAGTTTCAAGCTTTTAATGCAGTTTAGCAATCTGAATGCATTGTTATTGGGCCTTGCAAGGTTTTGTGTACTACTATGCACACAAAAATAAAGAATACATTTATTTTTTTAAATACTTCTAATTTAAGTAACATCTGATGTGTCAGTCACAGCTAGGGGAGGTATGGCTAGAGCTGCATGGGCAGAAACAAAAGTGATATAGTGACACTGCAGATCTATACACAAAAGCTGCTTCATAAGGCAAAAGGGAATAAAAGTATATTGTTGAGTTCTCCATTCTGCTACAATCATCAGCTACATATTTTCATGTTTGCTGGGGCTTGTAGGTGTTGAAAGGTAATTATTTGGATGTGGTTGTAGTTAGTTACAGTGAGTTGACAGCTGTCACATGTTCATCCTCACCTTGTGGTATCCGTAATGGTAACTATATTCCTGGCCTTAATGGAGATGCTAATCAGCAGCTCTGTGCTGGTGTATATGACTCCTGCGGCATGTTGAAAGACGCTGGCCGCTTCAGATCCATACCAATTTATAACACTACATCCACCCACGGTATTGACGATGTCAATGTGCGTGTGACGTCACGCAAAGGTCGCGCACGCACATTCTGGGGTCAAAGGCCGGGTACAGCCAGTCGGATTTAAAGGTGTCTTATTTAAACTCCTTTCTTGCTTTTCCTCATTGCCCTGTCGTGGTTTCCCTAAGTGGTTGTGTGAGAGTGTGTTCCTGAGCGTTTATTTCTGATTATTGACTTTTGGCTTCATTTTGACTTCCCTGTATTCTAGTATCCTTGACTTTTGGCTTTCCCTCATGGTTGTGTTTCTTTCTGTCTGTGTCCCCGACCTCAGCAAGTATTCTGACTATTCTCTGGTATGTTAAGTCCGGCCATTCTAAGGCCTGGTAAGATGTTACCTTTAGTCCTAGTTGTGATACAGTTCTGCGTGCTGGATCAACTAGTATCCTGACAAAAGCATACAAAAAAAAAAAATAGGCCAAAATTGAAAGGTTGGAGGTTTAAAAAAAAAAGAAAAAAAAAAAAATGTATATTTTGACCTAAGGTTGTTATGGACCACATCCCAACACTGGGATGTATCAAATCAGAATGGTAGGGAGGCTGGGCTGAAATTGAGAAATGTCAGTGATAAGGTGCACCCAAAAACCAGTTGTGTCCATCAAGAATGCATATGGCCCTGTTATTATTATTTATATAGAGCCAACATATTCAGCAAAGCTTACCATCTATGGTAGGCAGAGATATACCTTTAGGGGTTGTGCCCAAGAGCACTTGCTGTTGAGGTGGTCTGACCAGGTTTAAAACCTGAGTTTCCCAGTTCTAAGACAGTGATGTTACCACTGCTCTAACCAGCCAATGTCCATTGGTGGGCCTCCCTAGTCCTGCTTTGGAGGCTGTTCTCAGGTATTCCAAGACGTTATACACCAGGGGAAAACACAGGTTGGAAATACTAAGGTTCCATATTAGGACTGTTATGCCAGAACTATTATTATTACATTATTGGGCAGGACAGTTCTCTCCAATATATGATAACAAACTGAACATGTTTAGACCTCACAGGCAACCTGAATATTGTCAGTCATTTTATTTGTTAAAACATAACATAACGTACATGCGGTATTAAGGGTTTTACCTTCCTTTTAAAAGAACGTCAATATTTCCTTTCATATACGAGTCTTTTTATTGAATCCAATATGCAGTGATTGAGAAACTAAAAAAACACATATGTATTTACACAATTTATATCTATAAACTTTGTAGCATTATCTCTCAGTATTTCTATTGATTAACACACTAGCCCTGGTCCGTCTGTCAGGATTAAGAAGGCAGAGAATGACTACTGCTGTCTGCTAATGTGCTAAGTTTAGAAAACAAGCTTTAGCTAATGCAAATATGTGATGCTCTTGCATAACATCAGTATCCTCCCCCATCTTCCCCAACTGACAAAAGTTAGTGCACTTTATTCTGCTCAGGAAGTAATATGAATGGTTTTATTCCTTTGAAGGGACACTATAGTCATCCAGACCACTTCAGCTCAATGAAGTGGTCTGGGTGCCAGGTCCCTCAGGTTTTAACAATTCAGATGCAAATATAGCAGTTTCAGAGAAACTGCTATGTTCACATTTGGGGTTAAGCCAGCCACTAGTGGCTGTCTTCCGGACAGCCACTAGAAGCGCATCTGTGATGCTGGAGGCATATTATGAGCATTGAGAAATGCTTTTCTATGGACACTTCGATTGCGCCTGCGGCACTTGACGCGCATACGCATTTCTACTCCGCTGACGTCGGCGGGGTAGGAGACGTCACCAGCGCTGAGTGAGCCTGGCGCTGGATTAAGGTAAGATGCTGAAGGGGTTTTACCCCTTCAGCGCCACGGGAGGGGGACCCTGAGGGTGGGGGCAATCTCAGGGCACTATAGTGTCAGGAAAACCGCTTTGTTTTCCTGACACTATAGTGATCCTTTAAATATATATTTATCACTGATATTAACCACAATTATACAATGAAAAAAGAAAGAAATACAAAAAAGTATGCACAAACAGTAAAGGTAAAATGTCTACAGCTGAAAAACTTGCACTTATGTGAGCCACAGTGAACCTTAAACCAACACCTGCACACATTTTAACGTTATGTACAATTTAAGTATACTTTATTATATTGTATTATATATATATATATATATATATATATATATATATATATATAGTCAGATACACCTATGAGCTGTATATTTAAATAACATATACAAACATGTTTATTACCTATGTAACTTTCTGAGCTTGGCATAGTGTTACACGTTTGTTTTTTATATTTGTTTATTGATGTGAGAAACACACATAGCTTTTGCAGGAAGTTAATTTATGACTGTGTTTAGACTGTGTTTTTTTCTATTCTTTAATGAGTTTCACTGCCTCACCCAGTTTAAACTTCCCAATGCAGCTCAATGAAAAGTCTTTGCAAGGCAGGTTCTGGGCAATTACCTGCCTCTTGAGTTTAGCTCCACTGAGCTAAACAAACGGAGAAGTAACAGAACCGGTTGTCTGATTGATAGCTTGGGTGTGTTACAAGGTTAATTTATAAAAGTACAAATTTCTATTGAAATCTGCAGTATTTATAAACTAAAAAAAGAGGAAAACAATAAAGTCCTTTAGGTGTTAGGAGTCTTCCTTTAATGTAGGGGTGCCCAAAAGGTAGATCCACAGAGGTTGTAGAACTACAAATCTCATGAGGCTTTGCATGTCTTTAGAATGCTTTGGAATAGCAAAGTATCATGGATTTAAAACATCTGGGGATCTACCTTCTGTGCACCCCTGCTTTAGTGTATACATTAGATAGAATCTTCTAATTTCACAATGTCCACAATTGGAGTTCACTAAATGCTTTTTAAAGAAACACTCCACACACCTAAAGCAGTTTAGCTTGCTGAAGTGTTTTATGTGTAAAGAATGTGTCCTCTATGTGAAAATCTCAATAGAAACTGTTAGTTTCATAAATTAACTTTGTAACTAACCCCTGGCTATCAATCAGACAACCAGTCCTGTTACCTCCAGGTTTGTTTAAACTCAAGAGACAGGCAATTGCCAAGATAACATGTCTTGCGAAGGCTGTAGGCAAAAGACCCCAATGAAAAAGTGCATCATTGATTTGTTTTTTTAATTTGGGTAGTGGAGACTGTTCTGGACATCAGGTCACCCAATTACCAGTCACATGAAGAGCTAAAGGATCCTTTACAAATATAAGAATTTGTAGCCAAATTGTCTAATTTGTGTACAATAACGAGGGGTTAAGTGAAACTCTAGTCCTGTTATTCATTAAGTTTAAATTTGATAGAATAATTTGCTTATGAGTTTGAATTTCATTATAGGTTTGGTTACATCTTTGCCAGTTAAAAATATTTTTAATTACAATGAAAACTGCAAATAAACCTATTTATTAACAGCTTATATGTAAAAGAATTGCACACAAATTCTTCAAGTGAGATAAATTCATAAACCGATTAATCCATTAAATACCCCTATAAGAATAGCTGAATCCTGAATACTAGCAGGTAATGGTCACCATATGAAACATTAACAATAATTGTAATACTATTATAAATACATTAAAAAGAAAAATCGAACAAGGACGGTAACAACAGAATATGTTTTGTTATTTTTGTCTTTTGTTTAAAGGACAGTGAATTTCAGATAAATGAAACAGTGTAATGTGTTTAACCCCTTAAAGGACCACTCTAGGCACCCAGACCACTTCAGCTTTATGAAGTGGTCTGGGTGCCAGGCCCCTCTAGGATTAACCCTTTTTTTTTAATAAACATATGCTATGTTTATACTGAGGGTTAATCCAGCCTCCAGAGCCTCTAGTGGCTGTCTCATTGACAGCCGCTAGAGGCGCTTGCGTGCTTCTCACTGTGAAAATCACAGTGAGAGCACACAAGCGTCCATAGGAAAGCATTGTAAATGCTTTCCTATGCGACCGGCTGAATGCGCGCGCGGCTCCTGCAGCGCATGCGCATTCAGCCGATGACGTCGCGAGCAAGGAGGAGAGGAGGAGTACAGCTCCCCGCCCGGCGCTGGAGAAAGGTAAGTGTTTAACCCCTTCCTCTCTCCAGAGCCCGGCGGGAGGGGGACCCTGAGGGTGGGGGCACTCTCAGGGCACTATAGTGCCAGGAAAACGAGTATGTTTTCCTGGCACTATAGTGGTCCTTTAAGGACACATGACATGTGTGACATGTCATGATTCCCTTTTATTCCAGAAGTTTGGTCCTAAAGGGGTTAAACGCTGACAGCCAATTTTCCAAGTCCTATAATTTCTTTCACTGGGTCTTCCAGGGTCTAATGAGTTGTTACTGCTTTAAAGGTTTCATTTCCCTTTCTGTGAATGAATTTACAGTCAGACTGTGATGTTTGCCAACTGACAAACCCACACAGATGTAATTTGAACAAGTCACGGTTCGTGTATTTCACCATTATCGTAAAAACAAGTATTGCAGATTAGACCAACTTAAAGGAAAATTGAACCAAAAACCTAAGAAAGAGGAAATTTAAAACGTCAAGTTTCAATGTGCCTCCACGTTGCATATTTCTGGAAAAATCCATATATTTGACCCAAAATTTAAATCTGCATACCCACAGATAATGATTTGAAAGTGCATTGTAACTTCAGCATCATATATTAAAAGGACACTGTAGGCATCAAAATAATTTAGATTAATGAAGCAGATTTAGTGTATATACCATGCCCCTGCCGTCTGACTGCTGAATTATCTGCCATTTAGTACTTCAATCATTTTTTTTCTGTGCACGCAGCTCCAGCCACACCTCCCCTGTCTGTGACTCACACAGCCTGCATGAAAAAAAGTTTCATTTTCAATCAGATGTTAACTTACATGAGAGGTTTTTATCTCCCAGTGCTACGGAATTTGCTGGCACTATATAAATAATAAAATAATAATTATAATAATAATTTCCTGCTCTGTAAATTGAACTTTAATCACACACAGGAGGCTCCGGCAGGTCCTAGAAGGCTATTAACAGAGACAGAGATAAGAAATTCTAAATTAAAGAGACAAAAAAGTTAGTTTAAACATTAGATGTGTCTTTACAGGAAGTATTTAAGAAAACTGTGCAAAGTCACATGCAGGGAGGTGTGACAAGGGTTGCATACACAAAGTGATTTAACTCCTAAATGGCAGAGAAGTGAATAGTAAGACTGCAATGACATGACCTATACATGAAAACTGCTTCATAAAGCTAAAGTTGTTATGGTGACTATAGTGTGGTAGACCAAGCTGCCTGACTATGAGACATTTATAAATGACTGAAAACTGAAACAGATTTAACTTTGACCTTAAATTTAAAATTTGCTTTGCATTCCTGACACTTCTCATTTTAGCAAATAACCCTTGTGTTTCTTAGGCTTGCAGAACTCTTACTGATATCTGTGAGTTTCGTGCTAAAAAATAAAAGGCTATTTATTTGTACTTGCCCCTCAGACCAAGGGTTGCCAGCCCTCCCCTGTACTCATTGGTGAATGCCACAAGACTGTGACCTAAGATGTAAGTATGGCTGCCTGTGTATTCACAGGGAGATAAACTTTAAGGAGCAGGTTTGGTATAAAGGTGTCTATTCCCCACCTTGAACATGAGTCTTCACAGAATGCAATGGAACATTTTGATCTTCACCTGTTTATGTCTTGAGAAGAGCAATCTAGTGTCTGACATTGCTTTGTCTCCATTCTATTAATTATCATTCAACTTTCAAGTCACACATATAGTGTGTATAAAATAAAAACACATTCATTATGTGTTAAAGATCAAATATGCTTTGTTATTGACAATCATTTACCTGTCAGCTTGAGAAACGGACTGTTGAACTTATTCATTAAACTGGGAATTGCGGGGCATTGACAAAGGTAATGGAAATGTTACCCAAAATAGTCTATTTTATAGATAATTAGCCGAGTTGGAGAATAATGCCAAATTGACTATTTTGGTCTGGAATTCCTGATTTAGAGAAAAGAGAACTGAACTTTTCTCAATCTTGGCTATTTTGACTCAAGTTTTACTGCTTAGTGATTAAAGCTCAGTGCGTCTGTTTTAAAGGTTAACAAGTATGATTGTTTTTTCCTTGCTGGCATAATGTGAATAGGTGTTTAACTTCAGAGCGCTTTGTTTTTGTGCACGGCAGAGAGAAATGCTCTGTCACAACAAAAAGAACAATTAATACAATACTCAGATTAAACCGGTTTAGCTACTCTGTATTTTTCCAGAGTAATTTAATGTACTGCAACGATTTGTTAAGTGAAAGGTTTACAGTATAGCCAGTAAAAGTTAAGAAAGTACAAAATATTGCTGCAGATGAAGATTAACTAGCCTGAGCTTAAAGAGACAAACTCTCCATTCACGAACTGTGCTTCTTTGGTTTAAGAAAGCACAGCAAATAATGGCATACAGCAGTGATTTCGCACCCAGAGCTTAAAACACACCAGCAGTCTACTATTTAGACTTTTGTCTATTCTTATCCAATGGGGATACTGATAAAACCTGTACCTATACTGTGCTTTAGTAAGGGGTATGGAACCACTAGCATAACCTTCTGTTCTGTGTCTTTGTCAGGTTCCTGTATTGTGATTGAGGATACTGAGGAACTTTGTGACTTTATACCCAGACAACTGTAGAGATTAATAAAATAGTTGTGAAAGGTAGCAGGGTGGAGATTTACAAAACAATGAAAACACAAATCCCCTTCACAGACAGACAGTATGCCTAGGAGGACAATACCATCCCATTGGCATAGATACATTGTATACATGACATGACACTCACCAGAGAAGAGCAGAGCAGCACATATGTACACCAGTCGAGCCATGCTTCAGCCTGTGCAGCTAAGGAGCTATGAAATGAAAAGATCTGCAGAAACGTTCAGCTTAAATCTTAAAACTAGAAGAGGAACAATTACAGGGCTTTGACACTCAGGACACCGTCTAGCTTTATCACATGAGTGCGAGGAAATGTACTCTGTCACAGGAATGCCATGACTTGTGTAAGCACGCTGGTGACAAAATGAGGAAATTACTTTGCTCTTTTGTCAGGTGCTCTTAAAAAAGGTTGCTTAACTCAGCATAGTGGGCTGTTACGGATGCGTTCTTGTAGTAATCCAGCAGAGAATTTCACTTTCTATTGGCAACAATTTCTCTTATGCAGTAATGCTCACAATCAGAAATGTTGGGGCTAGGGTCAAAGTTAAACGATCACTCGAAGCACAACAGTAATATTTAATAGTAACCTTTGGCGTGGAACTGTATCAAATGCCTTAGGAAAATTCCATCCAATCTATATTTCCACTAATTTATTTATACAACACAATTAAGTTAGACTGATAAAAACTCAACTGTGTGGTATACAGGTGATACTCGAAAAATTAGAATATCGTGCAAAAGTTTATTTATTTCAGTAATGCAACGTAAAAGAGGAAACTAATATATGAGATAGACGCATTACATGCAAAGCAAGATAGTTCAAGCCATGATTTGTCATAAGTGCGATGATTATGGCTTACAGCTCATGACACAGAGTGCATATATGTCTGTCAGTAAGTGTTGTATATGTGTTTGTCAGTATGTATCCGTCAGTGAGTGTGTCCCAGTGTGTGTTTGTGTCTGACACTGAGTGAGTGTGTATGCATTTCTGTCAGTGAGTGTGCATGTGTGTCTTGTCAGTGAGTGTGTATGTGTCTGTCGGTGAATGCGTGCCTGTCAGTTAGTGTAGATGTGTGTCTGAAGCAATTTTGGTGTAAAGACTGCTCCTGCAGTCTCATTGCTCAATTCTCTATTATTTAGGAGTTGTCACTTTGTATATGCAGCCCTAGACACACCACTCTGCATGTGACTTATGCGGCCTTCCTAAATACTTCCTATAAAGAGTCTACTAATGTTTATACTTCATTGATTGCACAGTCTGTTTAATTTAAAATTTATTATCTCCTGCACTGTTAATAGCTTGCTAAATCTTGCAGAAGCCTCCTGTATGTAATTAAAGTTCAGTTTACAGAGCATGAGATAAAAACTAAGTGACATCTGATTGAAAATAAAACCATTTTGTTTTTATGCAGGCTGAGGCCAGGGCTCCACGCACCACTGCCCTGGAAAGTAGTCACCAAAGTCCAAAGAGCCTGACGCATCGGTATATAAATCCAAATCACCATTTGACACTGCGGCACGTAACCAGCAAGACTGCCCATTATACATACCCAGAAAGGAACTCCATACCTGTAGATCTTCCCGATGCAGTCGAGTGATACGGATAAAATGAAAAGGCTGCTTGACCCCAACCATCGACAAGAACAGCCGCAGACAAAAAGCCCTGCCCATAGATAAAATGCTAAATTCAAATGCCCTAACAAGTCCTGCAACTGATGCAGCTGCACTTTTTTTGCCCTTTTAACTGAGTACACCAAGCGAAGCAATTGAGCAAGTTTATCCTCCGGAAGATGGAAAACCATGACCTGCAAATCCACTTCTATCCCCAGATAAGACAGAATCTGGACCAGCCTCATCATCTTCTTAGGCGCCACCATGACTCCAAAGTCCGACGCCACCCGACGAAAAGACCCCAGGAGCACCTCACAGTCCAAAAAGACAAACAAAACGCACCGACAAACAAAAAGTCATCCAGATAGTGAGTCAATGACAACATCCCCGACACCTGAATAAAACCCCCGTTCAAGAAATGATGCAAACATTTCAAAGTACGAACATGAAATAGCGCAACCCATTGGCAAACACGTATTAAAAAAGAACGACCCCTGAAAGTGGCATCTGAACAAGTGGAAGCAGTCAGGGTGAATCGGGAGCAAGCGAAAGGCGGACTCAATGTCCGACTTCACCAGCTGTTCACCTATCCCAGCCTCCCGCACCAACTCAAGCGCCCAATCAAAGGAAGCATATTGAACCCTAGACACCTTCTTATCAATATCAGCATTCAACGACCCGCCTGACAGGTAGGACAGGTGATGAATGAGGCTAAAAGCCCCCAGATCCTTCTTAGGCACCAGCCCTAGGGGAGAGACCCATAAATAGGGGAAGTGCAATGAATCGAACGGCCCGGCCATCCTACCTAAAAGGACTTCCTTTCTAAGCTTCTCTTCAATAATTGCTTCCTTGCCCACCACCAAATGCATATTTCTCGCAAACAACAGGGAATCCGAATGGACAAATGGTATCCAAAAACCCACGGAAAACCCATCTAACAAAATCTGCGCCTCCCTATGCCTGTGGTACTGGCGTGCTATGCTCTAGGCACGTCCTCTCTAGAAAATCTAGCTCCTTGCTTGCCTTTTTTAAAAGCACCACAACGTGGGGTGGGCTCCACCCCAATGGGAGCACTCATGTTGGAATCTGCAGGATCCATACCACCTGCAGTGGCTCTCATTGAAGAGCCCACAAACACCCTAGCACTGCCCAGCCAACACACTGGATTGACAGGGAGTCATTAACAGCAACTATAGGCTACCGTCCTACCGTCCTGGATCCCAGAATCCAGGACTGGATGCACTGTCACCTACTGGCAAAATTGCTGGTCGTATTTAAACCAGCATTTACTGGACGCACTGTCACCTACTGGCAAAATTGCTGGTCGTATTTAAACCAACATTTACCCCAATATTTCTTACACGCCCCCAAATTGGGTCTAAGTACCCGCACAACACTGGCACTGACTCCGGAAAACGCAGTGACAAAATGCTCGCAAGAATGGAGAACCCCTGAAGCCAGTTGCCAATGGTATGCGACCTTTTTCCCCATCCGACATGTCACCTTGAAGCGGCCTAACCACTAATTTTCCGTATCTGGGGGAACCAGGGACAGCAAATCCACAAACTCACCTTTAATAATTTTGTCCCTGATGTCCAGCAAAACATGCATCCCTAATGGGGACAATTTGCAGCCCGGCAAGCACGGACGCGCTGCCCCTGGAAGCACACCCTCAATACCATATAGTCTGGCTCTGGGACTGGGCAGGAAGAGTGTAAGGGGCCAAGGAAGAGAGAGAACAAACCCCCCTAGGGAGCCTGTTCAGCACTGCCCTAAGCAGACTAAGCACTTCCCCCTGACTCTGAAACACAGGAAGACTACCCTGGAAACCGTCTCCCCCTCCCCTGGCTCCAGCCAGTGCATCCCAGGTGCTAGCAAAATACCCACGGTTGGTTGCCTGAGGATCCTGTACAGGAAACACCAGGGACTCCTCCTCTGATCCGGAACTGGAGCTGTCTGACCCGGGTGATGATGAGAGGGAGGGGTGGTATGAGGGGGTGATGGTGAGAGGAAGGGGGATGATGTGTGAGGGAGAGGGGGGTGATGATGAGAGGAGGGGGGTGATGTGTGAGGATGGGGTGATGATGAGAGGAGGGGGGTGATGTGTGAGGGAGGGGGGTGATGAGATGGAGGGTGATATGAGAGAGAGGGGGGTGATGGTGTAAGAGGGGGCTGATAAGAGGGAGGGTGGGTGATGGAAGAGGGGGATAATGTGAGAGGGAGGGACTAAATACCTTGGCTCCCTGGTGGTCCGGTGGGCTCCCTGGTGGTCTGGTGGGCATAATATCCGGTCTGCAGCTCTGCAGAGCTGCAGACCATGAATCTCGTGAGACACAATCAGAGCGTTGCTGTGGTAACCCATGGCAATGCTCTGATTGATCAGAGCTCGTGAGACACATGGGCTGCATTTCTCCACATTCCGGAGCTGCAGACCGGTGTCTGCAATGGGCCAGGAGGGGCATCACACCCAGCGGCATATCGAGCAAGCCACCGTGCCCCCTCCTGGTCAGTGACCCAGGACCCGACACAGTCTGCCCCAGACACCCCCCTAGTGAGGGGCACCTGGGGCGGACCTACCCCACCCCCGCCGTCCCCCTTTAGTACACCACTGCCTATAGGACATTGCATTGTATGTTGTGCTCTAGCAGCCTTGAGTGCCGTGCAAAGTACACATACCATAGGTTGCTGACCCCTGCACTAATATACAGAACTTGTTGTTAATTATTGTTACCTAGTGACAGTGACGTACTAAGGGGGGGGCGGAGGGGGCGGTCCGCCCCGGGGGCCACCAGGGTGGGGGGTGCCATGACCCTCATGCTGCAGCCACCTGAGCGCGCTGTAGAGTGCCTCAGGCGGCTGCAGCTTTGCCCGGGCTGGTGCATCCATGAGGGCGCACCGCCCGGGAGCAGCATGAGGAGAGGGGCTGACAGGAGGGAAGCGCTCAGCGCTCCCTCCTGTCACTCCCTCACTGTAGCGTGCACACTTCCTTTTAGTCCGGCCAGATACAGGAAACAAAAGCACCCTGTACCCACAGACCATACAGGGCTCGGCCACGCTACAACAGTGGTGGGGTGTGGGGAAAAGAAATTGAAGGGAGAAGGAAATTGGATGGGGGGATAAAGAAAGAAATAGGAGAGATAAAGAAAGAAATTGGGAGGGGACAAAAAAAGATGGGGGATAAAAAGAAAGAAATTGGGGGAAAAAGAAATTGGGGGAGAAAGAAATTTGGGAAAGAAAGAAATTGGGAGGGGAGATAAAGAAAGAAATTGGGGGGGGAAAGAAAGAAATTGGGAGGGGGGAAAGAAAGAAATTGGGAGGGGGGAGAAGGAAATTGGAGGGGGGGAGAGAATGACATTCATCACACACAATGCACCACTTACACACAGAAAAACACACAATGCATTACACACACAGACACACAAGCAATGCAACCGTTACAATGCATCCCTTACACACACAGAAACACACAATGCATTCATTACACACACTCAATGCACCCCTTACACACACTCAATGCATCCCTTACAGACACACACGGCATCCCGTACATACACAGAAACACACCTTGCAGCCCTTACACATACAAACACAGATTCACACAATGCATTCCTTACACACATATCAGGACATCCCCTACACACTCCACCCCCTGTGAACAAACTCATTGGTGGAACATGAAGGTGGACCCTGGGACCCAGACCTTGAGCTGTGTAAAAGGACCCCAAAAAATGGAGCTGCTTCCCGTTCTCCCAGAACATTGATTTTTGTGACCACAGTTACAAACCGCCTCCAGAGAGCCTGTTCTACACCAGACGAGTGGAGCCAGACTGCAGCTAGAGCCTATCATAATCCACATCTGGTTGTAAGTAGGCAATCTAGTATATTATTTGTGGCACTAAGCTCTAATTTACCTCACATTAAAGAAACACTATAGTCCCCAGAACCACTGCAGCTTAATGTAGTGGTTCTGTTGTCTATAGCCTGTCCCTGCAGGCCTTTTAATGTAAACACGGCGGCACTGCAGCACTGCAGCACTGGCGTTAGTTAACATGGCAGATCATATGGGTGGGGCATTGTGATGTCACGTGGGGGGGGGGCGGCAAACTTTACTTTTGCCTAGGGCGGCAAAAATCCTTGCACCGGCCCTGGCTGGAGGGGGCTGTGTGAGCTGTGGCCGCACAGTGCCCCATGGTAGTTAGGGTGCCATGCGGCCAGTACAGCTCACACAAGCAAACAGCTGATAAACTGGCCGCACAGAGGAAAAGTGTATGTGTGACTATCTGCCTGTGACTGTTTGATGTTGCCTGTAACCGTGTGTGACTGTCTGACTGTGACTGTGTGCATGTGACTGTCTGCTGCTGTCGTGTGTGTGTCAATGTATATATGACTGTCTGTGACTGCATGTGTGTCTGTGTGCGTGTGACTGTCTGCCTGTAACTGTGTGTGACTGTCTGCCTGTAACTGTGTGTGACAGTCTGCCTGTAACTGAGTGTGTGACTGTCTGTCTGTAACTGAGTGTGTGACTGTCTGCCTGTAAATGTGTGTGTGGGGCTGCAGGGATTTTGTAGAAGGGGGCGGGGGAATTGTAGACGGGGCAGTACAGGATTTGTAGAAGGGGTAGGACAGAGGTTTTGTAGGAGGGGCGGGGCAGGACAAGGGTTTTGTAGGAGGGGCTGACAGCGGTTTTGCAAAGTTTAAAAATTGTTAAAAAAAATGAAAGAAAACCTTTAACATTTTTTACAGGTTTTAGCGCAAGTGCAAGCACAGGATCCGCCCCGGGTGCCAAATGCTCTAGGTACGCCTCTGCCTAGTGATAAACTTGGTAATCTCTATGGAGAACACTTAAGAACACAAACTCTTTCAGTATGCAATGCAAACATTTATCAAACTATGAATAAAAGTGTCTTGAGAGCAACTACATGATAAACACATTACACCCCAAGGAAGGTTAATTGCACAAAACACAGAGTAGGAATTAATCCAAGGATTAACATAACATGTAGAAAGCTATTCCAAACACCTTATTACAATAATGTTTCTTCCACTCTGCACATATGCAACCCAAGCATATTAAGCACCTCATCTGTTTGAGGTGGATATGATGGCTAAAAATGCCTTGGTACCACCACTGAAAATTACTGTTAAACCATTTTATTATGGTTTAACAGTGAACTAGGGTCACTGGCTGCCCATGGCACCTCCTTGCTACTTCCTTTTGAGCTCCTCATGGTGCCTCCCCACCACTTCCCCTTGATAAATAGAGTGGGGGCAGTACAAGGTTAAGAGTGTCAGATGAGCACTCTCAACCTATCAGACAATCCTCAAAATGTAAGTTGCAGAAAAGTAAGATCCTGGCATTCAAGTTAAATCCAGTGAGCAGATTTATAGAAACAGATGCAAAGCAACGCTTGACAAAGGCCCTGTTGTGGACCGAAACGTTGCTTTTCATCTTCTTCAATAAATCTGCTCACTGGATTTAACTTGAGTGCTTGGACCATCATTATTTTTTTACAAATATGTATTGTATGGATTATTCTGTATATGTGCATCTTGGTTTTGAGCTGTGTACTCTAATAAGGAAGTGTTTTTAC